CTCGAAATGGATGCCTAATGGACAAAAGGTCGCTGTTGACTCTCACCCACGACTCTCGGGTATCATGGACACTCTGAATGCGACTGACGCTCATGGACCGGAAACCAAGCTCCCCAAGACATTCTACGATCCCAAAGCCCGCTCAATCATCGATAAGATTGCCGTGGAAGAATGGTACAAGGGCTACACTGAGTCGTCCGAGTACCGTATGCTCGGTATTGGCGGTCTGATGGGCGACATCACCTCTCGCATGGTCGGCAGCGTCGAACGTAACGGAAACTCTGGGATCGTCGAGGTAGGCGGTGTAGATGGCCAGCTAGGCAAAGGCCGAGGCGGAGAAACAAACATCCGCTTTGCCATGTCCGGCTGCCACGATACGACCTTGGCCGGCATATTGACGTCGCTCGGTGCATTTGAAGGCGAGAACTGGCCGCCTTTCACATCTCATGTCGCCGTTGAGATGTTCAGAAAGCGAGGTGCCAACACTGTCACCCAGACGCCTCCCCTGCCTGAACAGAACCCACAAACCCAAACCCAAAGCTGGTGGTCTTCCCTCTTTGGCAGTACAAAAGTCACTTCAGACGCCAGCCTCACACCCCAAGGCATTGCGCGAAAGCCTTTGACCGACCTTACGAAGACCCAGCGTGACCAGTTGAACGACTACTACGTGCGAATCAGGTACAACGACAAGATTATGCAGATACCAGGTTGCAAAGCAGCAGGCAAGCATCTCGAAGGAGACACGACCTTCTGCACGCTAGAAGCTTTCAAGGGCATCGTTGACAAGTATACGCCCAAGAACTGGAAGGCTGCATGCACCAGTCGTTTGGATCAGCCTGCGTTCCCCGAGCAACCCGAACCAGCTGGGTTCGAATAGATGCGTATTACTAGACATAGACATAGAGTTCTTCTTCTTGTTTATCCAAACATCATGATATTAGAATTAGTTTAGTCAATATACAAATTCTAGACTTTTCTTCTTCCTCTCTTGTATTCTAATAAATCCAGCTCTAACCCCAGTTTTTCTATTAAATTCTTTTTTTTTACATTGCCTTACAAAACAGACAAGTCGGCATGGCTAACAAACCAAGTCCCGTTGTTAGTATCGAGCGTGAGGTTGTTTTGCACCGTCTTTCCTCCCTTCAAACTACCGCTCTCAACAACACCGCCCGCAACGGGACGTTGCAGCTTGTTCTCTCCGCTCTTGACTGTGAAGTTGGCAAGAGGAATCTCCCAGCCATTGCGCGTGACTACCGTTGGTAGACCAAAGAACTTCGCCGTCAGCTCGTCATGCGAAAAGTGGAGCTCAAAGTAACCGCGGTAGTACAAGTCTTGCCATTGCAGCTCCTGGTTCGCCGACTGAATAATGGACGAGTAGTTGTTTGCGGTTGCAAGAGAGATGTTTGCGCCATAGGGGCAAGGCGAAGTTACTGCCGAGCCAGCGAATTCGACGCCGATGCTGCCGGCGCCAGTGCTGGGATCATAGTTCTTTTCATCGAGCCAGATGAGGTCGCTGACCCACGAAGCGTGGCTATCTCCTGCGAGGAAAATATTGTTGTTAATGTTATTGCTGTAGAGGTGGTTTAGTGTGCGGTTCTTGTTAGCGAGATACCCGTCCCATGCATCGTAGTTGAGTGGGTTCTCTTCGCCGTATGCCGCGGACTGGTTCAGGCGCGAGAAGATGATCTGAGAGCCAACAACGCGCCATGTTGCGCCGCGTTTGGCCGAATGCGAGAGACTGCGGTAGAACCAGTTCTCCTGGTTGGCGCCCATGAGAGAGCGGCTGGCGTCATTGGAGATTTCGTGGATGTAGTCAGTATTCCAATAGAGGTCGGTTATGGAGCGATCGTATTGGCGTGTGTCGAGCATAATCAAATCGACCAGTTTGCCAATGGAGAAGGATCGCCAAATACGCAGGTTATCATCCATGTCAACCTGGCGAATAGGCATCCATTCAAAGTAGGCGCGAACTGCGTTCATTTTCCGCTGGTCGACGGAGACGCCCCCATCGTAAATGAAGGAGTCTTCAGTGTTGTTTAGTTTGGCACTGCCGTCGCGATACTATTGATTATTAGAATAAGTTTTGTAAAGAGGAGAGACTGAGCATACCGTGTTATCAGCTACTTCATGATCGTCCCAAACCGGGATCCATGCGAATTTCTGGTGGCTAGCAACAAGATCCAAGTCGGTGCGGTAGGTTGCAAGTCGCTTGCGGTAATCATACAAAGTGTAGATGTCACGGTCCGGTTCGGGAATACGGCCAATGCTGTTACCCCAGCCATACTCGCCGTTCTTGTACTCGTAGATGTAGTCTCCAAGATGAACGACGTAATCAACAGAGTCCTGCATCAGGATTAGTTCAGGGTAGGTTCGACTCGAAAAGTAGCATAATATACCTTTCGCACGGTGTTACCGTACGCATTGAAGAAGCCAAAGGGATAGTTTGAACAGCTGTATACAGCAAGCCTAACATTAGTGATGTCGTCGTCGGCATTTGGTGTGGTTTTGGTGCGACCAAGAGGACTCTTATTGTCCGAATTGCATACATTGAACTGGTAGTAATATGTGCTGTATGGCTTCAAGCTCTTGGCCTCAACCTTGACCGTAAAATCAACATCGGAGCTGGTGTATACTTTGCCCGAATCTACTGTCGAAGAGCATTCCTTATCCTCGTAGACCTTGTATTCCACGCAAATTGGCGACTTGGAAACCTGCACATACTTTTCGTTGTCGTGGTCGAAAAGAGGTGCGTAGCCTGTGACTGTAACATTGGATTGCGAGTTGTCGTTCTGAGGTGCAACGCGTGTCCAGAGAATGACGCTGTCTGGGTATGGGTCTCCCGAGGCAACGCCATGAGTGAAGTTCAAGTTGGAAGGTTCATAAGCGGATGCTGGATCATTCCTCTTGGCCACCTTGTGGATTGAGATTCCAAGAGCTGGATGATGTTCCGAAGGTGAGCGGTAATTCAGATTCTTCGACCAGCTGGCGCTAGCAACGGATGCCAGCGGCAGCAACAAAAGGAGTTGAAGCTTCATGTTGAAAAATGTCCCTTGTGCTTTAGGAGAATACCGCTCAAGCTTGGGGGATCAAGCTTTTGGACGTCCATGGCCTTTTTGTAGCTTTCCATGACGTTGGACTTTCTCCAGGATTCCGGGTTACCGAGGAGCTAGTCCTGTAAGTTTCTCCAATGCTACTGCATGGCCCGCGGGAACAAGTATTGATGGGATGCAAAATTCCAATCACAGTTCGTGTACCTAGCATGCTGCGGCATTTGGGGCGCCGACACGGGAGAAACGATGGATAACAGCGCGGCGGACATGGCAATGAAGGATAGTCGAAGAGGAGCAGATCGTCATCGAGCATAATCATCGCAACGTTCATTCGATAGCGATGCCGGGCTACAGTACGTCTGCAGAACGGTATTGCTTGGTTCAGGACATGTGCGTTGGTAGGGCGATGTTATTGGCTGCAAAGAGATGGACGGGCGAACGTGCTCGGCAACCAAAGCTTGTCAGGAACATGGCATGGTGCACTGACATGCACTAATTCAGAAGGTGCTGTGGAAGCTCACCCCCGATGATACGATCGTGTGTTCGTGTGTTAAGATACCTAGACAATGTAAGAGAAAGCTAGTTGTTATGACTAATTTGAGTATGTTCATGCGAATGAATAGAGAAAGGAACAAGTGAACGTGGTCCAAGATAAGATAGTCCTATCAGTATATACAAAGACTAGAGCCCCACACTCCACCACAACGAAAAGATATATACAAGAATTTTTCCGCATCCATGCAAGAGAGAAGCAGTATGCCCAGCGCTCAGATCTACCAATCCATCTAATTTTCGGCCAAGCTGAACGCGCTGGTAACAAACTTGGCGTTGCTGCCAGAGAAAGGCTCAGTACCAGCACCCGCGCTAATCAGAATCTGACTGCTGGGAAGGCCTTGCTTGGAAGTAAGATACTTGATAAAGTCCATAAGGTCTCCACTGAAGCCTTGGACTTGTTTCTCAGCGACGAAGCTGAACACGTTCATCTGGCCGTTCTTGCCATTGTACAGTTTCCAGCTGTTACCTGCAAGGGTGACGGTAGCGATAGGCCTGCCAGTAGCGGAGATGGGGCCAGCGCCACCAAGGGCAGCAAGCCAGATCATGACCTCGTATTCTTCGCTGCCGGTGGGCGTGCTCGAGGTGAAGAGGTCGTAGGCTACGTCCGCAATGATGTTGTTGCCGGTGTAGGTCCACTTCCAGACTGAAGGGAGGGACTTGATCGACGCAAGTGACTTCTTGTTGATCTTTGTTACTACATTGGCAAAGGACTTGACCTTTCCCTGACTGTTGGCGCGGTTAGACACGTGATGCTAATATGAATTATTAAGGATGTAACGAACCCGCCAGCCCACGACCACGAGGTATGCCATTTGAGTGTGTTGCCGCTGAGGCCGTCAACTCCAGTGCATTGAGATCCCGAAGTAGCATCAGCCTTGCCCCAGAGGTTGTTGTAGGTGGTGTAGGCGCCATTGACTTGAGAGCCCCATTGATCACAGAAGTCTGCGCGCTTCTGAATAGAGGATGCAGGCACCGCAAGGGCAAGGGATGCCGAGCTTACAGCAAGGAATGCGGAAAACTTCATGGTTGGCAAGAGTGTGTTGTGAAATGAAAGGGTGGATAGGTGTGGTCTAAAGTTACAAACTTGGAGGGAATTACCGACCTTTAAGTATTTTAATTGTGCAAAGACGCGTATGGTCAGCGAGATGAAGGGTGGAGCAGACATACACGGGAAACCCTGTACAGTAACCTACAACCGACGTTTCGACATAAACGAAAGTATACGTCGAGGGAGCTATTCTAGAACAAGGAGTTTCTCCTCTTCAAGATGTCCAATGATTGGCCATAAACACGTCGATCATCTTGAATAGGCGGGGGTCCCGTTCTAGACATTGGTGGGGAATTGGCCCGGCTTTGGCTCTGGATTAGCAGACGGAAGAAATTCACAAAGTGGTCGCATGCTCTTCTCCTAACATGATCTGCATTCCCCATGTACCCCGTAGCTGGTAACGCCGTGCTTACATTCGAAACGCGGTACCGCTACCCGTTCTGTACATAGTGTTTGCGCTAGTTGTGCCCCACATGTGAAACAAATCGCCGGTGCTTAATTGATAGCCAATTTAAATGCCAATAGCGCCATGGAAGTAAAGCCATAATTCTCCGGCGCAGATGCAAGAAGAGTCCTTTTGATAGTATTTAACAAGCTTTTTTCAGTCTGTGCGGATAAAAGCTTCCTCCACCATAAGGGAGTCTAAATAGTCCATGTCGTCTGGGCGGTTGGTGTCACAGAGTGATCTCAGTGTGGGCTGCACATATGACAAGTCAGCAAATGTCGCTTGCTCGGATAAGACCTAGTAATCCACTTACTGTGCCCATGTCGCCCTTCCTGTCAATCTTCCATTCATTTTCTGATTGCCGCACCTCATGTTGAACATAGAATGGCTCTGGTCTCGAAACTTGCCAGAACGCTGTGAGATGACGAGTGATCTTCGTCAATTTTGGGCTCACGTCAGGTGCAATAGGTGCATCGAGCCATGGCTGCATGTTTTCCCATTTTCGTTCCGGCAGGTCCCATCTTTCCCCTTCTGATGCTTGCATGAGCACATCTACACTGAGTTCTTCAACATGAGGGAAGTAATCAAGCACACTTTTGATGGCTAGTGTGGCGGCATCTGGCTTGGCTACCTCATCTGCATTGACGCGAGGATTTCCATATTTGTCGACAAGAAGCTGAGGACCGCCGTTCCACCACTCATACCCAGGCCAGAGAATGAGCCTCAATTTTCTCGTCTTGTCCATAAGTGGCAAGAGTCCAAGAAAACGAGGTGATAAATGCTTGTGATCGCGTATCGGAACGTAATACCCGTGGGGACCACGCAGACGCCTTTGTATCTCCAAGGTGATTCGCAGCGTACTATCGTCGCAAGCTCGTTCCGCCTCTTCAGCGAACTCAGAGCCAAGCCTTTCTGCCAGTATGTTGCTCATGGGTCGATCTGTAGGGTTTGGCGATATACTTGGCTCGGCGGCGTGCAGACAGCGGGCATGGTATTCAAGGCACTCTTGTCTTAGCTGGCGACAGGTTGCAAGAACATTTGCAGGCGGACGTTGAGGCAGCCTGATACGTGTGTCCATATAGGTCTCCCCCGTAGCATGATTCGATCGGTACAAATTGTAGGTGTCTTCAGTTGTACTCGAAGTATAGACGTATTGTGGTAGTGTGAGATGGGATAGAATCTCATCTCGCAGTTCACGGGGCAAGGACAAGAATAACGATGAACCGGCGGAAGACATGATGGTTTATGTAGAACCCAAATAGGTCGGATTCCTTTTGCAGCTTAAGCCCAAGGCTATGTTCAGGAATCTGTTGGTTGACGCGCTCCAAGCTCCTTTATGTTATTGCTCTGTGGGGGCCATCGGACTTCCGCATTTGCTCCGCACGTGGTCCGTGGCACCTCACGCGTAGTCGTGACTTTGTGCGTGTAAATTCAGCTGGGGAGGAATTGACGAAAAAGGTAACTAGTCGCATGTGTGGGTCAGCTTGTAGTAAATTGCCATGCCCAGTGAGGTGTTGTGCGTATGCCAGTTGGTGATGGTCACGTGATGCCTCTGACATGTGCAAGGAGAATCATGTAACCACAGTGCTTCAAGACTGTATGTCACCGTCCATTGCTAAATCCGAAAAGCGCCTCATGCTGATATGTATATGTACGTAAAGGCCTGAGGAAGGGCAAGATGTTCGGTAGTGAGAGAAAATGGGGCGTGCTACCGCAGGTACTGCGCAATAGACGTCACGCTGCATGTCCGCCGTGTTGTACCTTGAGGAATGAAGCCGGGACGACACCCGACGACCGAGAGCCGACTTGTTAGCAGCATGGCACAAGACGGTAGTCGAACGACCGACACCAAAGTCTTCGCAGAGCCTTGGCCAACACTGCGCTCGTCGCAGCAGAGGGCGCACCGGCACGATCCCAGCACGCAAACGACGGCATCGAGCAGCACAGCCCAGGTACCCTGAGCTTCACGCGACAAACGCTCATTTGCAGGCACAAGCTTACGCAAACAGCCTGCATCGCTTTTCACTGACCCCTCTAGCCTCGCTTCACGCGCAAACACGCTCATCACAACTGCGGGCGCCAGACAGCCCGGTAACCATCTCGCCAGCGCAGCGTCCACAACAGTCACCAGCCAACCAGTGACGGCATCAGTAGCAACGGCAACAGCAGCAGCAACAATAGCGGCAGCAGAGGAAGAGCCGTATACAAGACATCACCATCATCATCACCACCCCCCACTCACAGCCCCGCGCGGGCGAGACAGAGGAAACGGCGATCGAGTCCTTGCCTCACCGCGACGTGGCGGCAGCAGCAGCAGCAGTAGCAATAATACGTTACCGAGGCAACAAAACCCCGACACCGCCCTCGTCAGCGCTATTAGGCACAATCTTGCTGTTACCATGCAACCGCGCGTGCCTCAAGACTTCTTCAATGCCTTCGGGCAGCAGCAAAACAACACCAGCGACGATGGCGGGGTGGGCCAAGATTGGACCTTCCGACTTCCCTTGAGACCCCAGGGCAACGCTCCCGAACAACGTCAGCCTCGCTTGTCGCCTGATCGCCCCCGCGAACCCAAACAGGACGAGGATGATGACGAGGCACGGTCGGCAGTAGACGACATGTCACTCGAGCGCACAATCGATCCCCTCCACCGCGTCATGGCCGTTACTTCCAAGCGCCCTCGCCAGACAATCGAAAATGCTGATGACAAGGACATGAGCAACATGCTACGCAACAATGGGGCCGTTGCTGTCATGGTGTACCACAGCGAAAGCCCAGACCTACAAGCAAACGACATCTGGCCTCAATGCCGCAGCCCAACAAAACTGCCTGCTAGGTACTACCTCTTAGATCATAACATACAGTATGCATCCGGCCCCAAGCCACAGACTTCCAGCAACGGTGGAGTTAGAGGGACAGTCTCCAAACAGAAACAAGAAGCAGCCGCTCTTCCTGCAGGCGCCCCGATCAGCCGCTCACAGTGGAAGTTGCCTGTCGAATTGGTAGAGTTGATTGCTTCATTTCTTAATCGTGATGACATCAAAGCACTACGGCTCGTCAGCCGCGAGCTGAATCACTATGTCTCTCAGGTTATATTCAAAACAGTTGTCGTCCCTTTCAACACTGAAATCTACGGTATGCTAGGGAAAGAAGTAAAACCCGATTTGAAAGGGAAGAAGCGAGCAAAATTCGAGACAACCAGGTATTCTTGGAAGAACGCCAACGGCGATGAAGTGTACGATGGCCACGGCCTTGACGTATTTCGTGGATTCGGTAAACACATTCGAAGATACGGAATGAGTTTCGAGGTCAATGAAGACTCACTTTCAGCGCCGCCTATCAAATCACTAACTGAGAACAAAACAAGCTTCTGGGGTAGATATGAGTGGCCGTATGAGGAGTACCGTCGATTTGATGCTGTCGCTGGCCTCGAAACAGCCGCTGACGAAACACCGCGGATGAAAACCGCATTCTCTGAGCTCACCGAGGTGAAAGAACTTGCACTCTCAATCGACAGTGGCCTTGGATGGCTCAATGGGCCCGACAAGTCTATACGGGCGCGCATTTTCCACAGACCTTCCAATGTTTTTGGAACGAACAAAGCTGTCCCGGACCGTAGGGCCCAAGCTCAACAGGAGCTTTGGAGACACATTGATTTATGCTATCAGGAAGTCGGCAGTGATATCAGACACGCAACTCTCTACAGAATGGAAGGCCAACGTCCTCTGTCTGAACTCAGAGACGCTGGCCTGTTGGCTGACGCACAACCGGAAATGCCTTACTTAGATCCTCAGCTGATACATGAGGCAACTCCACACGATATCCTTGACATTCCTATGCCCACTTCCTTTGATGACCCATACGTTTTGGAACGCTTCGTGTCCGCACCCTCTTCATTAGGTACCGGTATTTTGTTCGCATCATCTGCCTCGCCACCTGATGCTGGACAAGTCGTGAATCCGATCATACCTGCCAACCTCACTACAGCTCAGCAAGAGTGGTTGCTGGAAACGGAATGGGCCCAGCGAGCTTTCATATCTTCATACATGCTCTCTATCATCGATAACCCTTCCACATTCCAACAGGTGCACACTTTGAATATCGCAGGACTTTCTGATCGCTACTTGTCAATGCTGAAACGTTCGGATTTTTGGGATGCACTACCCAGTCTTTGCGACGTCACTCTTATGGTAATACCGGGATGGCGAACAGTTCACAAGGATGAGGCCGGCTTCGTTACTACTTCAGCAGTCAATCCTGTTCTAGGGGCCAATATGTTATTTGCCATACTTCGCGATCATATCGCTCGCCGCTCAAACGTTCGAAAACTAACAGTCGGCTGGACGGCTGGCGGTGAACATGCTGAGGGGCTCTATGCAAGGAACAAACTTCTGTGTCCTGCACCTATCATGGACTTGCGGGTTCCTTCGGATCGTCCTGCATCTGTCAACCCTGCAGCGCTTGTTGAGGCCGATGCAGCTCTTTTACGGGCATTACTCCTTGAGCTGCCCCACATCGAGAGGTTGAGGCTGAAGAACTGCTGGATCACTCCTTCCAGCCTGCTGCAATTTGTCAAAGTCCATGATGCATATCGCTTGAAGGAATTGGTACTCGATTCCGTTTCGCTTACGGCGATGCTACGTCCCAATGCTCCTAACGCCAATGGAAATTTTGTACCCCATCAAGCAGTCGCTGTCCAGAATGCTCCTCCTCAAGCGCCAATGCCTGCAATCCCCCAGTTCTTACCTGCCCATCAACAGATCCTGCAAGTCTACGTCCATGCTCAGCAGTTACAACTTCAGCAGCTTCATGCAAATGCAGCTGCGCTACAGCAAAACCACATTGCCGCTCTGCAAGTTCAGTTGCAACAGCAACTCCAGCAGATGCAGATGCACAACTTAATTCTACAACACCAAGGACAGGGACCGAATCAAGCCCTAGTGCCAGCTCCACTACAAACACCACTGCAAGCCCAACAGCATCAGCCAATCCACCCTACTGCGATTATCACAAACATCACTCATATCGCTGCTCAAGTAAACCAACTACATCATCAGATTACAGCTGGTCAGCATCATCCCTTAGGACAACAACCTATGCATGCTCCGATACCAGCGGCCAATCTGGCCACCACAGATTATCAGTCTCCACTTACGGCAAGGCCCCGCGAAGGATCATGGATGGATATCATCGACCAGATCTCGCCTGGAACTAATCTTTCCGATTTTGAATCTAACTATTCCAAGGCTGACTGCAACCGCCAAACGTCTCTTCGAGAGATTGAGTTCATATCGTGCGGTTATGCCAAACTCACTCACGCTCCGTTCGACCAGACAGCTATCGACCTAGGTCAGGGTGCTGCCGCCGCTTCACGTCACCCATGGTTCACCCGGCGCATGGCCGCCCTTTCTCCTGCAATGATGAGCACCAAATGGACCTATCTTGCTGACATCATACAAGAAGTCAATTCGTCAGAATTCACCGTCCTTGAGAATGGCTGGAACTTGCGAACTGGTTGGGAAGACGACGAGGAAGCGCGCGCTGTTGAGTTTGATGGTCTTTTTCCTGGTGGTACGGGGCGCTTCACAGGCACCATACGCTATTCGGACAGGATGGTCGATGATGTTTCTGGGATGTAGTGATGCTTCTGAGCAGTCTTTGCTTTTCAACTATGTACCAATACTACCACAAAACGTCGGGAATTCACTTTGTGACTAGGGAAGAATGGCTTGCAATAACAGAATTCCTGGAAGAACCACTTAATAACAGCATTAGGCGGTATAGGTCTTCATGTAGTGATGAGTTAGCACATGCACTAGTAAATACAGAGTGTTTAGCTATTATGTAAATGTCCCTCTGCGAAGCCTTGCTGATATTTAGAAGCAGAAAATGGGTTATTACTCTTCATTCAGTCGTTGAGAACTCTATGTCCCCTTAACAAGTGTCTCGGCAGGGCATCATGCCAAGTAGGCCAGAAACCATTGCGCCGGGCACAGACTGCAGCTCATCCAGATAGATCATCCTACCTCTTTGAGGTAAGTTCTGTATTCCTTTTTGGTACTGCAATTCGATCCCAGGCTCGTTTTGGAGACTAGCGTGCAGGTTGATGAGGGGGAAAGCGGAGGAAAGGCCGACACATCGTGTCTTGGCAGTAGTGATCAGTGATGTCATTCATCCTCCCCATCTAATGTGTGACCACTCTCTCAGTCACCCCTAAATATCTTCTGAAAACCAATCTCCAAGCCTCGTTGTGTTCCATCGTGCAAAATAACCTCATGGGAATATGCTAATCATCTGTCTCAAGCGGTTCTTCCACCGTTTGCACAGATCGACAGTAGTAATCACAGATTGCAGAATATGCAGTAGCGTCTTAGCCTTACTATCCCTTTTTGTCACACACAGCCACCTAGACAAATGCACCACCATCTAAGAGGGAAGACGCGGAAAGGCTAAGATCATTTGAGGATTGAGATGACTACGGATCTTGATCTATCCGAACCAAGATGGCTAGGCGATGTCTTGGGAGCGATCATGCTACAGAAAAGGATGTAAGCTCACTATTCAAGAGATGGAAAGTACCATTACCAAGACATTGAACGGCGTCTTCACGGTACCATTACAATCCACTATTCATCGGTCCATCGTGCTACGAACTGGTGAATCCCATGGTCACATGCTTACCTCAGTAGTTTTGCATGGGGTTGTCCCTAATCATCTTACATTCTAGGGATGGCTCCAAGACCACTAACCAAGAGCTCGGGCATGCCTCTCACTTCCAAGTCTTTTGGCATTACGAAAAGGCTTTCATACCCATGTTGGGGACTTGGCTGCTCAGTCCCAAAAGCCTCACCAAGACACCGGCATGTATCTTCAGAGCCTAAACACGAATCAATGACCAATCCCCATCCACTCACTGATGTCATTGGGCTCTGAATTGGAAGCACCGTGGTAGTTTTAGTGAGAAAGCAGCTCTCTGCTTTTGTATAAAGACTGGTGCAAAGATGGATTCAAAATAGCATCGACCCATAAAATCACTCTCCTCACTACCTCCACGAACCACGCATAGCTGGAATCACAGTCACGCACAACACGTTCACAATGCACTTCACTACTCCAGCCCTCGTTGCTCTGCTCGCTGCCCCTCTGGCCGTGGCCGCCCCAACTCAGGCATCTGATTACAAAGAGAGCTGCAAGAAGGACTTTGACAAGGTGTGGAACTCACACGATGACAAGTGGTGGAAGAAGGAAAAGACCTTCTACTTTGACGCTGAGTATGTCGTAAAGGCCACTCCCGACCAAGTCATTGCCAACAGCGGCGTTCCTACACCCGGTGAGAACGGTGCACGCGGCCTTTTCAAGTACGGCATCAATGTCGCAGAGAATGTAATCTGCTACAACATTACCCTCAGCGGCGTGACTGGCCAATATCAGAGCCCAGCGATTACCGCGACACACATCCACGAGGGCGTCAAGGGCAAGCCCGGCCCCCCTCGCCTGGTAAGCATGGCCCTTTTGATATCTTACTCTACCTACGTCCCAGGCAGTAAAGAAAATTTACTTATAGTTTCTAGGCCTTCCCTAACCCCACTGGTCCCGACTACCGCCGTAACTCTGTCGGATGCTTGAAGGGCCCCTTCTTCGTCAACGTAACCAACCCAGCGACCGGTAAAGACCAAGCCGATGGCTTCCACGTCTCCCAGATTGTAAAGAACCCCAAGGGTTTCTTTACCGACTCGCATACCTCCAATTTTACTGCTGGCGCTGTTCGCGGGCAGCTTCCTGGCTACTAAACGCGATATTTCGGGGTCTGCGAGCATGAGAAGTCGTGGATCAGAAGTGTGTGTGAGGATAGACGAGAAAATTCATCAAGCTCAGTTTACACTGAATAAGTGTAGTGTAATGTAATTTTTAAGGATATACGCAAATAGCATTGTATACTAGTTAATTTTCTGTGTCCTACACGGTTGGTGTTCGCAGTCAAAATCTCGATTGAAACTAGTTATCTAGTATGCTGAATCATACCGACTGGACATTCTCTTTTTAGTTATCAGAAAATTAATATATGCTAGTTCTTCCAAATACCACGAATGGAATATATGTGCGTTTGAACATATCCAGAATTTGATTCCGAGCATCTTCATAAGTATTACTAGCGTCGTTCACGACAACTTCTCCAACTCTCCACCATCGCCGATTCATACACATAACAAAACAAAATCATGCCACACCAGCTCGCAATACCGACGTCAGGTACCCACTCAACCAATAGATCTGTCTATGCCCTCAGCGCTCAGCTTAGCGGTGGACCATGCATGACGTCGACTTGATGTCAAAGTGGTGACGCCCTCCATATACTATACGAATCTCTTCTCATAAATAGCTTCCTGTAAGAAGGATACACATTCGAATTATACAAACCTCTGCACTTCAATTATCCAATTCTAATCGTCAACACTTTGCAATTTCTCAAATCTAAATACACATATCCCAAACATGAGCCAGAACAAGAACCCCGACGCAGTCAGCGACTCGCGCCAGTTTGCAGGACACGTAGCTCCTAGCGAGCCTCTCATGACCAGTGGTGTAAGTAGTTGTCTTCATTTTCAGAAAACATGTGGAAGCATCTTGATCAATCACATTGCATCTGGCAATGGCTCAATGTGACCCGTAGATAATACCTCTTTATCAACACCAGCTAACCAAATCCACAGCATCAAGTCGGAAAACTCGTCGGCAACGATGCCGTTCCCGAATTCCACGCTCAAACCCTCCCTGCAGGCTCGGCCCCCACAGACAAAACCTACACACCCAACCCAGACCTCAACAACCAAAAGATGTACCAGCAAGCTTCCAACACGCTCCAAGGCGCCACATCAGCGGACGTGCACACTGGCCTTGGCCACCCAGGCCAGGGCCAGACGTCCAAGGAGCTGCGTGATGGGTCGAGTGTTGGACAGGGTCTTACTGGACTGGCGTCCGGCGTCAAGGACCAGCAGAGTGGTGGGGATGTTAGCACGCTCAAGGATGATCCAAGGCATGCTGCTCAGAGGAATCTGGGTGATGTGCCGACGGGTCAGAGGGGTAATGTGGGAGGGCCACCTGCTGAGGAGAGGGAACCTGTTCAGGCTTAGAATCTTTTTGATAAGAAATATGAATGATGATGATTAAACATTTCCTCTTATTTCTTCTTAAGAAAGTAAGAATAGGTATACGTGAAGAGGCTTCGTGTTGTTGTCTTCAATTTCTAGTTCTTAAAATTCTTGTGCGTGATAACATGTCGCTAACTAAGAGAGCTCTTATTGCTTTGATTGTGAATAGATGTACATTTCTTTAAAGTTGTTAAGAGTTCTAAAGATGCTTTTGCGTTACATATAAAACCATGTCGAATATGACCCCGAAGGTATGTTCGATGTCCTGGAGGGTGCGTTCAATGAAGCCGCCCAGGCAGCTTACGTCCTGGACGGCCTCAAACAACTAACGACTACGAGAACTCATGTCTTGACTACGCAATACAAAAATATTTTTGCTGTGTAATACGTAGAGTTCTAAGCATATAATAAGAATACTATCGAATTAAAAAACTTATTAAAATTATATAATGAACTAAACTTAGTGCACTTAAGTAAACTATATCAACTACCTACGGATACATCGTCAACTAGCAAAACATGCCTTTGCTTCAAGTCTTGGTATTTGTTCTTCGTATGTACATGCTTGATAGGATACTAAAACTGGATAAGAGCTTCATTATGTAAGGAGAAGTAGCTCGAAGAGAAGTACAACAGATAAACACAGGTGATAAGAAAGCACATGTTCAATAGCAACCCCCTTCATCACCACAAGTTCCACAGAACGAGAAACGTCTACACAAATTTGAGAACAGTTTGCATGTTCGTGAATGTAATTAGGCATTGTGGGTTGTATAGGCTCGACAAGATACGTGTGCCATCTTCGGTGTGTGCAACAGTTTTTGGGTGGAGTTTTGTATTAACTCCCTTGTTTTCCACGAGATCAGTGCGGAAGAAGTTTCTGATCTCCGCTCGGATTGTTGTTATATCTGTGGGAAGGTGGTTGCAGCAGCGTTGCATGATGAAGACGATCATTCCCATGTAAGGTTGAACAAAGTTAACACTTAACTTGTCGGAGATGCGGCCGACCCGAGAGCGTACCAAATACAGGGCGTAATCTTTCAGAATAGCTATTCTCGGAGGATCAACTCCTGGTGTGAAGTACGTAGCTTCCGTGTCTGTGTCAGGATATACGTTGTTCATGAACTCCGTGAACCAACGTCTTGCCATCTTCAGTTCCTCTGTGGTGATGTGTACAACAGGAGCGATAGAAGCTACTCGATTCGGTCGATCTTGGTCTTCAAGTTGCTGTGGACTTAGCTCCGTCTAAGCTCTCTTGAAGCGAGAACTGCGCTTCTCAGCAGGGGTGAGGATGCGGCGAGTGCTAGCCTGTGAAAGCATAGTATTTGTATGCCTTAATGTGGTGGTGAGGCGTGGGTGAGATGGCGATGCTTGTAGCGAAAAGCAGATTACAGGGGACAATGGAAACTAGAGTTAAAGTAAGTTTCTGGCGAGGTATGGAGGGAGTGGAGTGAGATGGTGGTTAGAGAGTGTGGCGTGTTCCATGCAGGAGTGTTTGTTTACTTTGTTTGTTGTGGAATGCACTCCTTGTGCTTGCTCTCTTTCCTCACGGTTGCCCTCTACTGCCTAACTCGCTAGGTGTAATATCGCTTTTATAGATGCAACGATGGTGTGTTTGATGACAGATTAAAGTTTCCACAAAAATGTGGGAAGACGGTCTCTTCTAAAGCTGGTCCACACCATGGTGGACTCCCTACCAAGATACGCAATAAGCTATATGAGCTATCAGTCTTCCCTAACAAGACTAAAGTTAAGCCAGCCGAGAAAATAGTAGATGAGGGTGTCATCAGCGAGATGGACACCACCCGTTCCTTCTATCTCGACCACGTTACCAACGCCGGGAACAGTGAACTTTCCAGAAAGAAAAACATTAATCGCGTGGCAGAGATGTCATACGAGGTACTGAGTTTGGTGACACCGTGCATACTATTCATTTTCGACCAGCCATCAGGCTTGCTCCTCTTCGTAGAGGCATCCAATGCCCACACTCTCCACGTCGAGGCACCAATCAAGCTCCATGTTGATTTCGACATGAGTAGCACACTTGGAGAAGATGAAAGTATTAAATTTGACAGTTGGAGGCCAAGCAGGCTTTCCCATGACCGTGAGGTTGATACCCACGAGATCTTCGAGACATAGATGGTTGCCACCTAAGACTTGTGTCCCACAACCCACATACATCTTGTCTTCCCTTATATTTAGCGCGACTTCCGTAGTCTTCGAGATCTATCAAAGCGCACTGGCTTGTTTCGTCATCCTGTTACCTTCCGCTTACCTGCTAGCAACAACCAAACGTCTCTGCCACACCGCGACTTTCTCATCGCTCAAACTATTGCTGCGGCAAAAGACATCGGGATACCAGAGGAAGCCAATATTAGCCGGGGCTTCAATCTCCCATGATCTCAAATTGAGTATACCTAAGGGCGTCGCGTGGGAGAGGGTTTGTACGATTCAAGGTCAAAGTAAGGAGGAAGGAAGCAGAGAGATATAGATAAGAAAGACTAGTAACGGTTGAAGTAGAGAATCTAGTTCTTCGGGGTGATTAACCAAAAACGCGTGGTAATGCATTAGTGCTATCAATGATTAACAGATGGAATACAGAACTGCGTTGCCAAACTTGTCTAGCTAAAGCGTAATAATAATGCGAACAATCTTTGATCTCTACGGAGAATGGAAGAAATTATAGAGCGTCTTCTGGAAGAAGTTGGTCAGCATTTCCACGATGAGGCTATGCATGAACAACTTCGGATACAGGTTCTTAGAGGATAAGGTCTGGAAGGAAACAAGGATTTGAGGTGGCTGCAGAGGAAGCATGATGGTAGCGGTAGAAATCCCTTAAATAGCGACAGTTATGTAGTGACGATGTTATCTTTTCATAGGGAGACACAGATGAGTAGCTCTGATCCCGCTGACGAGAGGTAGGTCTTAATTTCGCCCAACAACCTGTTTACGCCAACTATGAGTCCCAGATAATACTTGAACTTCTGATTGCCTTCTTCCGAAGCTATTCAAAATCTCACCATAGGCTGATAGAGCACCCTGTTGATAATCTTGATGTCGTGTAGGATCTGACGCGTGACACCTTCGAGCTGCTGTGGCTTCCATCCATAGGTTGCGCGGTCATGAACCATCCATCTCTGGGAAGAGAGGAATTTTGTGATACAGGAACTCGCTTCCCAGTTCATTATTCTTCATGATAGCGTGAATGTCGACAATGAGATCGGAGCTAACGTCACTCAAAAATGGATGTCAGGTCCGATGCTGGTATTACCAAACGATGGGCAGTGGGTAACATAGTAGCAGTGGTCAGAACTTAACTTCTTCAACGAGCTTCTCAGCGTCTTCTTTCTTAGGGATCTCACTGAAATCCCAGAATGCTACAGTTCCTTCATTGCTCGGCCTCTTGATCAACCTCGGCGCGAGCTTGATCAAGGTATCTCTCATCGCCTTCGCAGCTTTGAGATCGTCGGTAATCTTCCATACACAATATTGTGGGAAGATAGCATTGGATTTAGTTACTGGCCTGGTGACTGTGAGGGTATTAGGCAGCTTCGTGTTGTTGGGTTCAGAAACGGTTATCTTAGTCCTCTCCGCCTCCTTCTTGGTCTTCGATGCATGGCATTTGCAAGCAGTGCCAAGTGCTATTCGACGCTGTTTAATTTGGGCGTTGTGCGAAATGTTGCCTCAGGTCTCGAAGAAATAGAATATCATGTCTCTTGTAGTGAGGTGCATGTCGCAAAGATCTATCGTCTGATGGCATGCCACGTAATACTTGATGCTCCCGTTGACGATAGTCTCGCTGACGGGAGTTATGATTCTTGGAAAGTTTGCTTCCGCTGGCAAAATTCCCATGTCCTTCTTTTTCATCTTTTTCATCTTCTTCTTCTTCTTCTTCTCATCTCGCTCGCTTTCTCGCGCCTGGCCAGAGCCTTTAGTGGAACACTTAGAAGGTTCGGTTACAAGTGCTAATCCAAAGACAGGGGATTGAATCATTTTAGGTCTCCCTTGTTTCTCTTCACGAGTTAGTAAGATAGACAGGGCCTGATGTCTAGGCGGGCTATCTAAAGTGGCTTAATATAGGATTTTTAGCTTAGAAAATTGGATACAGTAGTCAATCAAGGAGAAACTGAGAAAGCGTCTTTGGCACTAAAACTCAAAAACTCCTCTCTGCGTCTTAGAAGTCGAAAGTTAATTAGTTTCAATGCTGGAGATTTCTTCGAAAATTGTGTATTATTTTTAGCACTAAAGGGCGAGAGATTCGAGCTCTCGACCTTGCGGGTTCCTTAGATCAAGCATACATCACGCTTTTAAAGATTACTTTAACGCTAAATACTAACTACAACTAGCTATCAGGGCATACTCTGGACCGAATAGATAGAGAATCATTATAAGTCCCTCTCCCCTACTCGACGGCACCATCACAGTTGGAAAAGAGAGTTTCGAAGAACTAGAAGAAAATGAGGGCTACTTGCTAGTATACCGCAATACGTTGGGCGATGGCGACCAGATTGGAAGAAGTCTACAAGCCTTGATCGTATTGTTCAAACTTAGATACCTTAGTAGCGCCCACTGTAACGATCAGATCCTGGCCACCCCACTGATACAGCATATCCTTGAGTCAGCCCTTGATGCTGTGGTAAGATGAGGTGTAGTCGTAGGTTGGACCAACAAACACAAAGCTGTAGCGTGCTCGGGTGCCCGCGACGAGGGTGCGGGGTTGTCGCCAGAAAAAACCTTTATCATTTCCGATAGTGTCTAGGCCCACATGAGGGTGGTTTTTGCCCATGGGGGAGTCCACCGTGATGATCATAACTTGAGAGGGTCACACTCATTGATTCATTTGTGCCAATGTCCGGCTTTAGGGGTGGCATGTATTAGCGATAGGTGACCGTACGTTCAGCTCCGCTGAACGCTTCTCGTTTAGGGTGAGTGGAATTCCAGGACTCCATGGCAAACTGGCTTCTAGGATCACAGCCACCCAGACGATATGGTCGACAGTGTCATGTGATGTAGGTGTAGTAGATTGAGTGCCGCGGCTGGGCTTCGTCGGCTAGACTGTAATGGTATCGGGATTTTCCGACACCGCTTCGTGCGAGGGAGGGAGGCACCGACATGTCCCAGACAGTGGACAAATGTGAAGTGTCTGAGAGGCCGATTCTATCATCTACCCGTAGAGGCAGCTTCATAAACCCAGGTGAGTGACAAGGCGCTACTATCCCCCATTGGGTGGAACCATTGGCCCGTGTTGTTTGCTGAGCATCTGAAAGGTCGAAATAGATCTGGAAGGAAATCCATTCTGACTTCTGAGCATACTCTATCGGTGAGACAGACTCAAAGGTAACGTGTCTAAAACAAACGATAGTGTACATCGATAGCTGGAAAAGCGTAAAAAGTTGTTACATGCAATGTATACTTTGAACAATTACGACTCAACTACCAACCCCCAACCCACCTTTTCCCGTTTCACCACCGATTTCTCAATTGTTTTCTCAAGTCCTACTCTGCCTGTAGCACCCTAGGCTTTCTGAGACATATAAATTCTCGGCTATAAACATCTCTAACCCCTTACTCTAGGTTTTCGGGATTAGAGGAATAAAACATGCAGATGTATAATCTGGGGGGATGGAGACACAACTGCCACCACATTACAAAGGTTCATATCAATAATCCAATTCAAGGCATTTATACCATTTCTTTCATTGTTCAAAAGGGTACACAGCCGTCCAAAAGATCAGAAAAAGGTAGCTTAATGGACCCCTTTCCGCAATCCATTTAAGAAAAAAGGTTTTATCCCAGCTCTTGGGATAGTGCAAAATGAGGAAAGCGAAAAAAGACAAAAAGGCACATACACGTGCACTCAAAAACACTTCTTTTTTGCTCCTTGTCAGCGTCCACGATTTAAAACTCCCACCCCAACCCGGACGTGAGAACGCCATCGCTGATGAATGCAAGTGAATAATGAAAAGATCCCGAAAAAAAAGTCGGAAGAAAATAATCTTTCTTGAATTTCTTCATACCCGTCCAGGTACATTAGTGGAGATGGGGGGCAGATTCCTATTAACCTCCGTCTTCATATCCTTGTCCGTGTTCTTCATGCGCGCTAAGATGAGCGTAAGCGTCTTCTTTTCGCGGCCGTCATTCTCGAGCACGTGAATGAGATCGCGAAGTTGGATGCCAGCGCCTGTCTCCGTCTGCTCAATGGCCTCGCCGAACTTGCGTTTGCGGCCGATGAGGGCCTTCTCGGGCGCTTGGGCGACCGGTGTTGCCGTGCCGCTGCCGCCAGATGCTGCTACGGGCCGTGGTGTTGAGGTGCCAGATGCGCTTCCACCGCCGCCACCTCCGCCTCCGCCTCCGCCTCCACCAGTCATCCATGAATACTTCTTCTTTTTTCCGCCGAGGGCCATGCTGGCTGTTTCGTTGGCTTTGCCGAATACAACGACGTCTGACTGGCTCTGCTTTTTCGCAGCTGCCAAGGCTTTCTTTGTAACTGGCTCCGGGAGTGGTATTGGTATGGCTGGCGCATCTGCTGATGTACTGGAAACACCTGCTTGTCGCTTTGCTCGCTTGCGAAGGCGTTCTTGTTCCCATTTGTAGTCATCTTGAACACGCTTGGTGAGTGCATTGGCGACGTGGTTAATATTTTGAAATGTCCGCTGGGGGGTAGGTGGTGCTTCGCTTGGTGGTGTAGGTAGGCGTGCCGCATTGGGTAGGCCTATATCTGTTAGCTGCCGTTTTAAACACTCGAAGAATAAACCAACCCTTGTTTGCTGTCGCTGTGGGGCTGACAGCGCTATCTGGTGCTTCCCACGGTGTCTTCAAGATATTGACAGGCCGAACTATCTTTTCTTGGGCATTCTCATCTATAACAGCGACATCAACCATCTGAGGGGGGATGACGCCATCGGAGGTGTTCTGGCGACCTTGACACAGAGCAAAAGAATCTTCGACAAGAGTCCGTACACGCTCCTCGGCAGCAAGAGTTATTAATGTTAGAATCTCCACAAGCGGAGCATTCTGGTTGAGTAGACTGGCAGCCTCCAAACCGATGATTTGCTCGCCGTTTGCGCCGGTTTGCGTGCTGCGCGTAATCTCTTGCTGACCCTTGTCAGGAATCTTGTCGAACAAACCATCCACGTTGATCTGAATTCCGTGCTCGTATCCACGTTTTGCGATGCGGTGCCGAAGCACACTCGCCGACAGGAATGGGTCGTTCAAGGGGTGTTGAGCCGACTCATTCAGGATGCGAGCGGCCTGTTCGTGCTTCCTGATAAATTCGGCTTGCTGCTGCTCCTTGGTCATTTCCTGGCTGAGCGGACCGGTCCCTTGGTATGCGCCATGGCCTTGCTGGTTCCAGCTGTTAAAACTCCCGTGGGGCGATACTGTAGATGCAGAGCCTTGCGAGGTGAAGCTCCGATAGTTCTGCAGCAGATTGTCCTCCTCAGCGCGCAAGTCGATACCCGATCCGGTGAGCACATCGCTGATGTTGTTAACGTCCAAATCGCGCGCATTCGCCTTTTCCAGCTCCGAATTGTCAGTGGCCTTGCTGTACGGAACCTTTGGCGGCGGCATAGAACTCTGTGGCGCGGGTGAGTGCGCATTTGGTTGCTGGTAGGGCTGCGGCTGGTGAAAGGGCGGGGGCTGCATCGCGGCGGGTGATGTTGGCAGCGATAGATAGCCGGGCGTCTGGGGGGAATTGGCGTAGGGCGACGAGGGATATGCCGGCGCGCCAGGCATGCCGAAGGGCGACTGGTAGGGTGCTGGCGACGGTGGGTTGGGCGACAGGCGCTGTCGCTTGTTGGGAGGAATGCCGCTGCCCATGGTCGGGGAGAGGGCCGTTGGTGAGTGCTGGTAATTTTGCGGAGAGAATGCGCGCGGCGGCTGCTGCTGCTGGCCCTGGGGCGGAGGATACTGCTGGTTGTAGGACATGGTGGGCAGCTCGTCCCCTGTGGGGAGTTGCGCAGGCGAGAAGCGTCTATCCGCGTGTCATCCGGGAGTGGCGAATTTTGCGTGCGACAGGGCTGGCGATGAGCCGTGATTTCTGTAGACGGTCGCGGTGGGTGGTGTCGGTCGGCGCGTCGATACCTTTGGGAGTCCTGATGGAGCAAGGTTACGAAGTTACGCCAGCGGTGGCAGGCGCACTAACTGGGGCTTGGCAGACGCGCCCGACAAAGCGCAGCCGCAACGGAACATCACCTTACTCTCACCCAACGCGCAACAACACCAGGCAGTAGCAGCAGCTTTACCTTCACCCTCGCCTGTCATTACTGGGGCGCATGATTGCTACGCCGACACTGACCATCTGACTAATGAAGCTTAGCTAGAGCGCTCTTTGTTGCAACCTCGACGCGTTCTCTGGCACTCACCTTCCCCCCATCTTTTGTAGTACTCGCCTCTTGCCTCGTCCGTGTCAGTCAAGAAGAAGTGCGCTTGTTCGACCCCACCTGCCGCGACCATGGCTGCAAAGAGAAAGGCGGCTGCAATGGCGCCCGAAGACGACGACCCCATAGATCCCTCCGACGAGCTCATGTTCCTCTGCTTGGGAGGCGGTAACGAGGTCGGGCGATCATGTCACATCATCCAGTACAAGGGCAAGACGGTCATGGTGCGCAGACAGACTCGGAGCCCAAGGCGACCCTGCTAACAAGGCGCAGCTCGATGCCGGCATGCACCCCGCCCACGAGGGCTTGTCCGCCATGCCCTTTTACGACGACTTTGATCTCAGCACTGTAGACGTGCTCTTGATATCACAGTATGTATACGCACATCTTGCTTGCTATGGGACTTGGGGTTCGGCGCATCACTGGAGTCGGACCATGAGCGCACATTGGGCACTCGCAGTTCAGCGACTTGTATATCAGTATCAATGGAATATAATTTGCATCCTCCCCGTTCGACTTCAATGATGTACCAATCCCCGCTTTCCGCCCCTGTATCTAGCTACTCCTCTACGTCTACTCTCCGAGCTTGTCCTTGTCCTTGTTGGCCGTCGTTCAGTAGGCTGACATTAGGCTAGTTTTCACGTCGACCATGCAGCTTCTCTCCCATACGTCCTTGCCAAAACAAACTTCAAGGGCCGCGTCTTCATGACACATCCTACCAAAGCAATCTATAAGTGGCTCATCCAAGATTCGGTCCGTGTTGGCAACATGTCAAGCAACTCTGAGACCAAGATCCAAATGTACACTGAGGCCGATCATCTCAACACCTACCCCATGATCGAGTCCATTGATTTCTACACTACACATACAGTCTCTGGTGTACGGATAACACCATATCCAGCAGGTCACGTGCTTGGTGCTGCCATGTTCCTCATGGAGATTGCTGGTTTAAAGATACTCTTCACTGGCGATTACTCGCGAGAAGATGACCGACATTTGGTGTCAGCTTCCGTACCGCCTGGCGTCAAGATTGATGTTCTCATTACTGAGTCAACATTTGGTATCTCGATGCACACTCCCCGTGTTGAGCGAGAGGCACAGCTCATGAAGGCCATTACTGATGTGCTCAACCGCGGTGGCAGAGCTCTGCTCCCAGTTTTTGCCCTGGGACGAGCGCAAGAACTTTTGCTCATCTTGGACGAGTACTGGAGCAAGCATCCAGAGGTTCAGAAGATACCCATCTATTACAACTCGAGTCTGGCGCGAAAGTGTATGCAGGTCTACCAAACATACGTTTCGGCCATGAACGACAACATCAAGCGGCTCTTCGCTGAGCGCATGGCAGAGGCTGAAGCAGCAGGCGACACGGGCCGTCGTGGAGCTTGGGACTTCAAATTCGTTCGATCACTCAAGAGTCTGGAGCGCTTCGATGATCTGGGAGGTTGTGTCATGCTAGCTTCACCTGGTATGATGCAGTCAGGAACATCACGTGAGCTGCTTGAGCGATGGGCGCCAGATCCGAGAAACGGTGTCATCATCACGGGTTACTCTGTCGAAGGCACAATGGCGAAGCAAATTGTACACGAGCCCGACCAAATCCCCGCTATAATGACACGAGCAAGCAACACAGCGCGCCGGCCAGGCCAACGGGAGAATGAGCAGACCATGATACCCCGGCGGTGCACAGTTCAGGAATACAGTTTTGCTGCTCACGTCGACGGAAAAGAGAACATGGAGTTTGTGCAGGAAGTCGGCGCGCCAGTTGTCGTAAGTTCCTAAAAGTCTCACACTTAGCACTAAGAGTTGATTATGGATACTGACACACTTTAGATTCTTGTCCACGGTGAAAAAGGCAACATGACCCGCTTAAAGTCTAAACTTCTCTCTTTCAACGCCCAAAAAACAATTCCTACTAAAATCTACTCACCAGCCAATTGTGAGGAACTCCGCATCCCCTTCAAAACCGATAAGATCGCAAAGGTTGTGGGAAAGCTAGCCTCCATCACTCCGCCGATGCCTCGTTCTCTAACCCTTGATGGCAGTGAAGCTAATCAGGTTGGGGTAAAGCAAGAACCAGAGGGAGAAAATGTAGACATCATCAGCGGAGTGTTGATACAGAACGATTTTAAGATTAGCCTCATGGCGCCAGAGGATTTGAAAGAGTACGCTGGATTGACAACTACGACTATTCTTTGCCGTCAACATATTACACTATCGGCAGCGGGCATTGATTTGATACGGTGGGCTCTTGAAGGCACCTTCGGTGCCATCAAAGAGACTCGTCTCACTGATGCAGCTGTTGAAGGCAAGATGAACGGCACTGAAAATGGGCACAAGGAAGAAGCAGATGAGGAGGTCAACCGGACAGAGATCAAATTTACCGTTATGGATTGCGTAGGCGTGCTCGTCAAGAACGGTGGTAGGGTGGAAGTCGAGTGGGAAGGCAACGTAATCAACGATGGAATTGCCGATGCCGTCCTCGCCGTCCTGTTCACAGTCGAATCCTCCCCAGCGGCTGTACGGCGTAAGTTTCACTCCTATCATATTTTCCAGTCACACCATTTACTAACATATCCAATAAGAATCCTCAAAGCAACACTCGCACAACCATGGACCTCCAGCTTCAGACGACATTTCTGCTACGAAATTCACTCACCGCTTCAAGGATAAACCGCACCCCCACCGGACACCTGACCCTTCCACACGTCTCGCTCGCCTTTTCCTCTTCCTTGAGGCACAATTCGGCGAAGAAGCTGTCCGTCCCATTACCCTCCCTCGCAACAGTACCACGACAGCAACCACCAACGGAACACCGGCCGCTACTACAGACGCCGACACACCCCCTCCAGATGCTCCAGCACCTGATGCTACATCTGCAACAGATCCTCATGGCGTCACCGAAACTTATTCAGCCGATGACCAATTGTCTACAGAGGATAAACAGGAGTTGAAGCGTTTGCACAACCTAGGCATTCCTGTTCCGGGAGTCGAGATCAAGTTCGATCGTTTTGTGGCCAAGGTGTGGCTGGAGGATTTGGATGTAGAATGTTCGAATAATGCGCTAAGAGCACGTATCAAGGCAGTAGTAGAAAGAGGAGTTGAGACGGTTAGTGGTTTGTGGTCGTAAGAGTCAGTAACTTGATAACTTGAGAAATAAAAATATGGTCGAGAATTGCTGGCTTCATGGGGTTGTTTTTGCGTGGTGGCGAAGGAGGAAAATCTGCTTGTACTTTTGTCTTTCGCATTTATCTCTACCTGTTCGAGAAATGGGGCAGATATTCTGGACGTTTCAGCCTTGGAGTGAGAGAACCACGCCATATACGTTGAATACACATGTGACGCAAGAACCGTACAACGTGGCTTATCAGAGCACAACTTGATGTCGCACAATCACAAGACTACAATTTTCTCATGACCTGCACTAAAGTGACGAGTGACCAAATCATTCTGACATCTCCAGCCAGATATGGGCGCAAAAGTTTGAATATTGTCAAGCTAATTGCGGGGTGCGGAGCTGACATGTGATTCAGCATGGTGTTGGTGCGGTGCAATCTGCTTCTTAGTAGCTAGATATTAAAGCAAGGGCAGCTCTGTGTTGATAGAGCGGTGAGAATTGCAAATAAAATATATAAAAAGAAAGTGATGCGGCTGCGGGATTAACAGACCCGGGCTCCGGTTGCGCACGCACTAGAGTGCGGTGACGTGAATGGAGGAATGCCGACAAGGGCGGGTATCCGGATTGTGGTCGGAAAAGAACGGGTCCTCTGCCAAGCACAAAACTTCTCACCAACAACTAGGGTTTCTTGATCTCCAGCTGTCCATTCTCAACACCACCGCACTGCACCGCACCTCTCCACTCCACTCCACCCTCTTCGCGTCTACAATTCATATCAGCGAAATGGCCACCTCTCCTCCACCCACCTCGACCGGCTCCTCCAAGCTCGACGCCGCAAAGGCTGCGATCGGAGCCAAAGTCGACCCGACCGCGCCCACCGGCGTTGGACTGTACGCGCGATTCGCTTTCGCTGGTGCCGTCTGCTGCTCCGTCACCCACGGTGCCCTCACACCCGTCGATGTGTATGTTTTCCCGCCTCTTCAATAACTCTGGGCGATGGCAATGGCTGTGGAGAGCATATTTTTGCGACTCCCGGCGGCACATGGAAAATGACGACAGAATGCCAAGCTAACAATCTTCACAGCGTCAAGACCAGGATACAGCTTGACCCCGCTACCTACAACACTGGTCTGATCGGTGGCTTCAGGAAGGTCATCGCCAACGAGGGTGCTGGCGCCGTCTGGACTGGTTTCGGTCCTACCGCCGCCGGTTACTTCCTTCAGGGTGCCTTCAAGTTTGGTGGTTATGAATTCTTCAAGCAGCAGGCCATTAACATGGTCGGCTACGAGACCGCCTCCAACAACCGTACCGCCGTCTACCTTGCCTCCGCCGCCGTTGCCGAGTTCTTCGCCGACGTCGCCCTCTGCCCTCTTGAGGCTACCCGTATCCGTCTCGTCGGTGACCCAACCTTTGCCAACGGTCTCGTTGGTGGTTTCAGCAAGATCCTGAAGAACGAGGGCGTCGGTGCCTTTTACTCTGGTTTCGGACCCATCCTGTTCAAGCAGTACGTCACAGTCTTTTCGATGCCAGACTGATCCCCAAACTAACCATTCCACCTAGGGTTCCTTACACCATGGCCAAGTTCGTCGTCTTCGAGAAGGTCAACGAGGCCATCTACACCGTCGTCGACAAGAGCAAGACCTCGTCTAGCATGCAGACCGTCTACAACCTGAGCTCCGGTCTGATGGCTGGTTTCGCCGCCGCCATCATCTCCCAGCCCGCCGACACTATGCTCTCCAGGATCAACAAGACCAAGGGCATGCCCGGAGAGGGAACCACCAGCCGTCTGATCAAGATCGCCAAGGAGCTTGGTGTCCGTGGTTCTTTCGGTGGTATCGGTGCTCGTCTCTTCATGGTCGGTACTTTGACTGCTGGACAATTCGCCATCTATGGCGACATCAAGAAGGCGCTGAATGCAGTAGGCGGAGTAGAAATCGCGAAGACGAACTGATTTTCCAGTAGAAAATAGACGGGGAGTTGAAGTTTTGCGGTTCTGAGATTTCGCATTGGATGTAACAACTTCTTTTCAGTTTTTCCGGCTAGCAATGTACACTATCAGGCTTATTATGGGCGTATTAAACCGTGGGCCTATTGTCGTGGATAGAGTATATTCCATGTAGCCAGAATTTTACTTTGTTCCATGTGCTTGTTGTGTTGTTCTGGTATACATGTTTGATTGTCGTGATGCGTGTTAGGGCGTTTTAGTGCGGATTAGGGAGTTTTGGCTGGCCGGCTCTTGGAAAAAAGGGATTAGCGCTACTCGTGGCGTGGAATCATTGTGTCAGGTACTCGAAAATCAACAGTAGTAACGAAATTACCGGAGGAAATTTTGCGATTACTATCGGATTCTCTTGCTACATCCGTTTCTTCTGCTCCCATGTCCTCTTTAGAGGGGATTATCATATTGTAGACGTGTGGTTGATATCTCAAGACGCAACACCCTTTTCAGCCCGATCGGTGTGTCCTAATCGGGTATAGTGAAATTTGACATAGCGCCGAACCCACAACATGATGTGAGAGCAATCCGTGTCCGTCGTTTTGCGAAATTGTCTTCAAAGCCCTGCCCTTATTGTACCGATGAATAACCGTGTATCTCGTATCTTTTATTTCTCGATGTCAAAATGATTGGATTGAAAACTTTTCCTTGCTGTCTATGCACTACTTTTCCCCATTCTTCATGGGGGTCAAGGATTATTCGCGTTAACTATCAATTTCCGCATCATCAACACCATATGTAGAAATATCTAGCACCGCGATGCCACTTACTCGCAACCACAAAACATGGCAGCAAACTGGCATTCTGTACAGGCATCACTAAATAACATACTTGACGGCGAAAGCGGGGCCGAGCTAGGCTTCCCGATTTGCATGGACCAGAACCTGAATCACAATCTTCGACATGTAGTTCAAGACTACAGACAAGAGGTTCACGAAGTTGTTCAATGGGTCTACCGGACGTATCGTTCACGCCGGAGTGCACGTCCATTCACGTCAACTGGTTCAACACGCGTGGGCAACCCCCTCTCCCTCCGCCCCTTTTTGCCTGTGCTCTAGCTGGTCGAGTTGCGGGTACCGCTCAGCATGTGCGTGTGTGCTAGACAGCAAGCAGGTGGATGCGCTGCGACGTGGTTCCAACGAGGGCACGGCGCAACCACTGGCTGGCGTCGGAATGCCGTGCTGCACCAGGAACTTGCGACTGCGGACCTGCGGGTGTAGAGACTTTTGGGTCGGGCTAAACTTTCCGATAGTCTAACAAGTCGAATCAGTGGGGCTATTGTCTGATCTGCTTTTTTTTTGCCCAGCTCCGCACCGCGCTGCTCTCCGTAGACTACGCTTTTAGGGTATATGGTAGATCGTGCCTTGGGGGGAACTTTGATTGGACCCGGAGATCTGGCCATGGTAAGCAGTTCCAAAGTTCCTAGATGCCCTGTCTACTTATTTTGGACCTGAAACGCGTTCGGTGAGAATACTCCTTCCCAAAGTTATCATGAGCATGTTACCTCGCAGCATGGTTGTTGGTTTTGAGTTCTGTGACTGGGGACAGTGCGGGAGGTAGGGCTTACATGTATCCCTGTGCTTAGTCGTACTGATGAGCAGCGAGCGAACAAAAGGAGATGTAGCTCGGTTCTGAAAAAAGGAAAAGAAGAGGAAAAGGAACCAAGGCAGAGCTCGAGTTGACAATGGGAAAATGCTCCCTGTGTCGTCTAGTCTGCGAGTGTGCCTGTTCGGATGATCGGCATTGCATTTCACAAGCTCATGACTAGCGACCTCGTCCCCGCGCGCCCCAACGCCAGCCACTACCGTCACTTGGAAGCGCGTATCTATGCCATGGCAGCAGCAACAGTATCCCAGTCGTCTGGTGGGGGGCCGTGATAGACTACTGCGCAGCTGCAGCTGCGGCCTAGGCGTTTGCTGTAGCTTCCTACCACTTGCTGACCATGTCCCCTTCTTAAAATGCCAATCTCCTTTCTTATGTCATACGTAGCACAGGCAGTCTCTACTAATTTGGTTCAACAGCCTCTCTTTTTGTGTATTAACTGAGCGCCCATCATATGCCATAGCTTCCTAGACATCTACAGCTCCGGAAAGTCACAATGGAGGTACAGACCATTAATCAAAGCTACCGTTCCAAAGAAGGACCCCTCAATTGACGATTGGCATAGAACACTACCATATCAGCCCCATATGGCGATATTCGATTCAACACAGCAATTACACGGTCGACGCAATGCCCAGCAGCAGCCTCTTCAGATGAAACAGCGCCGAGCAGCAAACCACTGCTCTCGACACTGCCACCCCCGCCTCCATACATAAGCCACGACCAGTACCAACATGAAGTGCCAATAGCCGCGCACTCAGTCATGCCCCCAGGTTGTCGTCATGAGGGTTACGAATACCAGCAGCTGGTGATCCACGAGGTGATATCACATCCCTACAGCGACTTATCACGACCAGCCAGCCCCGATGACGTACCCCTTGCGCACCTCGTCGCGGCGCAAACGTACCTCGAGGACAGCGACGCGTCATGTACAGGCGAAGCACCACCGTCGTATGCGGTTGCTGTACGACAGAGCTACCGCGACACGCTGATCCAGCACATTCCGCCCGGGCAAGAGGGGTACGGCGATGTAGATGACGAAAGCGAGGTGGACATGGACATGGAGAGGCCGGACGATGTGCGGTATTCTGTGGAGAGGATTGCGGCTATGTTTGTGGTTGCGTTTGTGCTGCTGGTCGTGTCGGTCGTGCTGGGGTGGATGGTGTTGAGTGGGGCGTTGGAGTGATGTTGTAGTAGGTATGAACAGGGGACAAGTAGGTTTAGAGAAGAAAGGAAATATTAGAGGATAAAGGAAAGACGGGATAAAGGGACGGGGATGGGATGGACAGGAACAACAACAACAACAACAACAATGACATGGGCGCGGCGTTTTGGGGGGCGAATGTGGGTGGGTTATGGCGTTTTACGGGGCTTTGGATACCACGATCTTTGTTTAGCATTTCAGGATACTCGGCATAGCGGCATACTAGCCATGATGGCAATGGGACAATTTCCAGTTTACAGTTTGTGTGCAGTATGCGTACTTACACTTAGTGTATGGCGGCGGGTGTTGTGGGAGTGGGCAGGGAAGCCCTGGGTGGACCCTGGGGGCGTTTGGTGGGTCTTGTGGCATGGCATGACATGGACAGAGAGGGGACAGAGAAGGCTGTCGAGTAGAGTGCCGGTGTGGGTATGTATACAAATATACATTCTGCGACAGAGTATGCGTCACGTGTGGGTTGGGATGGCGGCTAGAAGGGGGGGGGGGCTGATTCAGCGTAGCCGATTCCGATTTCGTCGCCAATGGTGTACAGGACAGGCTGCTGACGGCGGAAGATGACCCGGCCCTGTGTTGAGCGACCCCGCGGCGTGTGTCTGCCAGGACCATGGCGATGGAGGACAGCGGGATATTCTACATCTCCGTTTCCATTTGCATTTGCAATTGCATCCATCCATCCATGCGCATGTGCCTGTACAAGGCCGGCCCCCGGGGACACGACGAGGCTGCCGCGCCGTCAGCCTTGAGCCACCTGCAGACTGCGCCGCAGCCCAGTTGGCGGGGCTTCCTTCACACAGCCTTGAGCGGTTTGGGACAGTGCCCAGCTCGCTGTCAGCCGCAGTAGCAGCCCTCGCTGATATCCTTGACCGCACCCCACCCGCACCTCGCAGCCTTCGCTCGCTCGCAGTCTGATGAATTCCATGAACACCCGTTTCAAGAACCTCGTGAGTTCGAAACGAAAGAGCTCCTCTCACACCTCGTCGTCGCCCACACCCTCAGCTGCTGCTGCTGCCACCCCCACTGGCCAGCAACGTCCAACCTCGCTCTCTCCTCAGGCCTCCAACTCCAGCAGCTCCTCGCTCCCTATGAATCCCCAGAATCCCCTGGGCCGCCCGCCCTCATACACATATGCTCCTCCAGGCGGCCTCGGTGCGCCCCCCTCTGCTCACGGCCGCCCTGCGAGTCCCCTCCCTCCCATCAACACGTCTGCGCCTGGATATCCTCCCCAGCAGCCGCCCTACCCTCCCCAGTCTGGCCCTCCTGGATACCCTCCCCAAGGGCCTCCGGGTCCTGGCTATGGCCATGGCTATGGTGCACCACCTCCGCCCGGTGCGCCTACGCCCCATGGCCCGCCCGCCGTGTACAACAGGCCCAACGCCATGGCAGAGGTCGCGGGCGAGGGCCGCTCAAAGGCGCAGCTGATTGTCGGCATTGATTTTGTGAGTAGCAGCCTTAGGCATCAACGCGCGCAGAAGCTGACCACAACACACTCACGCAGGGTACCACCTTCTCCGGTGTCGCATTCGCTTTTGCGACAAACACTGAGGCCAAGGAAGACATCATTACCGAGTGGCCTGGAGCGGGCAACCAGACCAAACAAAAGATTCCTACGGTGCTCTACTACGACCAGTACCAAAAGGTTGTTGGCTGGGGTCCTGACATTGCCGATGCTTTGGCCCCCACAGGCTACCCCAAGCCTGGCGTGCAAAAGGTCGAGTGGTTCAAGCTGCAGCTGATGCTGTCTGGAAACACATACATTGACCCCATCAACCTTCCCCCGCTACCCCCGGGCAAGTCTGAGATCGATGTCGCTGCCGACTACCTCTTCCACCTCCGACAGGCGATGCGGAATCAGCTGCAGAAGACGCTGGGTGAGGTATTCAACCGAGAAGAGCGCAACATTAGGTACTATCTGACAGTCCCCGCCATCTGGAACGATGCTGGGAAGGCTGCCACTCGCGCTGCTGCCATCCAGGCAGGTTTCCTTCGCGACGAAAACGACAACAGGTTGACACTCATTACTGAACCTGAGGCTGCTGCCATGTTCTGCTCCAAGACTGGTCTGCTCAACCTCAAGATACACGATGCTGTGCTCATTGTCGATTGCGGTGGTGGTACTGTCGATTTGATCGCCTACGAGGTCGAAGAGGAACAACCCTTCTCTGTTGCTGAGTGCACAGCAGGCTCTGGTGACTCTTGCGGTTCTACGGCGCTCAACCGCAACTTTAGCAACATTCTCCGTGCGAAAATCAGGAAAATGAAGCTGCCGGATGGCTCAAAGACTGCCGGCAAGGTCTACGCCAAGTGTATCATGGACTTTGAGAACAGGATAAAGGCCGACTTCCGTAACAACGGACAGAAGTGGGCCGTTGACGTTGGTATCGAGGCCGAGTTCCCTGAAGCGGGCATCGAAGAAGGATACATGACATTTACCAACGAGGAGATTCTGCAGTGCTTTGAGCCTGTGGTGAACCGAATTCTTGAGCTTGTCAGGAACCAAATCATTGCTATTCAGGCACAGAACAGGTCATTACAGGTAAATACATGCAATTTCAGAGCGAGATCATCTCAATGCTAACTGATACAGAATGTCCTGGTCGTCGGTGGTTTTGGTGCCTCGGAGTACCTCTTCCAACAAATCAAGCTTCACGTCCCTCCGCAATTCCAGTCCAAGGTTGTTCGACCCATGGACTCGGTTGCCGCCATTGTCAAGGGAGCCGTTACCGCCGGTATCACCGAGCGCATCGTCACACACCGTGTTGCACGTAGGCATTACCTCATGGCCACCCTTCAGCCCTTCAAGGAGGGTCACCACCCAGAACAATACCGCGTCCCTTCACTCGACGGCAAAGATCGTTGCAAGTACACACGTCAGATATTTGTGCAAAAGGGTCAAAGAGTCAAGATCGGCGAGCCCGTCAAGGTCTCGTTCTTCAGGCAGGTGGCGCCAGGCGCAACCCTCATGTACGAGGATATTCTATACGCATGTGACGACGATGTCTGCCCAGAGTACACCAAGGATCCTCGTAAGTCTTCTCCAATCTCAATCATAGTGATCGATTTCTAACATGAATAAAATAGGTATCAAGGAAGTCGTCACACTGACATCGGACCTGTCAAGGAAAAACCTCGAAAAGGACTTTGAACGCATGGATACCCCTCAAGGCACTTTTTACCGCGTATACTTTGACATTTACCTCACTCTCGACGGCTCAGAGTTCAACGCCGAGCTCGTCTGCCAGGGCGAGGTGATGGGCAGATGCACAGCGCGCTTTAGGTAAAAAAATCTTTTGCCCCCTTTTTGGGAGAAATGATCAAAATGTGCGCCAAAAGTTGATTTGGGCTATATATCTATACATATATTACTCATACACATACACACATACATGTATACTTTTGGGGCATCTTTAGTTCTCTTTTTTGCTGTTTTCGGTATTCGAGAGCGAGAGAAAGAAACGGGTTAGACGTGGTGACCGATTGGCTGGCGGAATTGTTCGTTTTTCCTGTGAGTATCTACTGGGTCATTTGACGCGAAATGTTGTTTGTTTTGTTGGATTCTCTTGAATTGCATACCCCCCATCATCTCGAAAAGGCCGAATAATGAAAATTACATTCTTTTTTGTTCGGTTGGTAGTGCCTACATCGGTGAAGGGATGCGCAGAATGGTGTTCTGGCTTATCATCGTTCCAACATGCCAGAAGACGATATCCTCCCCCATCTATGATCAGAACCCCCAATGACGATCGTTATTCAAACACGACATTTTTTTCAAGCAGGCAAATTATCAGCCTTACTTAACCTTCTCACCCCCTCAGCCTTCCTATCCTCGGCCAAAATCGACGCAAACTTACTCGCCTTGCGAATCTGCGGTCCCTTCCAATAGAAGACGTAGATCGGCACAACAATCAAACACGACAGGCACGCCAGCAGCGTAGTCGCATACTGTGATCTCTGTGGCGACGAATCCGCCAGGTTATGATACAGGGGTGTGGCATACATGGCGGAGATACCAGCGAGAAAGTCACGCGCGAACGCGTTGCCGCCAGTAGCAGAGGCAGAGTAAGGACCGTAAGCGGCAATCATGTAGTCGACAGAGGAGTAGTAGATTGCAAAGTTTGCGAGTCCAACAAGGAAGGAGAAGATCATTGGGGCTATCCAGTGGGTTTGGGGTGGGCCCATGCCTTGATTCGTTGTTAGCTTTCTATTTCAACGTGCGTTCAGGGTTGGTGCTATCATCTTACAAGTCCATGCGAAACCAAAGAGGCCAATGGGCTCAAATAGCGCGAGTAGCAAAAGTGGCTTGAGACGGCGCTCAGGAGTCATCCAGTCGGGACCGTTTTTCTTGCGCAAGTGGTCGTCGCGCCAGAACCAGGGCCAGTAGAGGAAGTAGGTGAAGAAGTAGGAGGCATTGATGGGAATGAATGCCCAGGCTACTTGGAGGGTTCCAAAGCCAAAGTTGTTGGGGAACGTCACGTTGAAGGCTTCGAGGAAGGTGAAGATGAGGGCGTCGGAGAAGCCGGAGAGGAGGGAAAGAAGGAGGACAATGGGTTCTCGAATGAACATTTCAAAAGGTCGGAGCCAGATTTTGCCGGCTTCTTTGAGAGAGATACGCGGCTTCTTTAGCTCGTTGGGGCCGTAGATGTTGGGGTCTTCGCCTGTTTCGCGGCGTCGCTTTGCTTCGCGGTCGATGAGAATTGTGGCTCTGCTCTCGGGCATGAAGAAGTGGACTGCTTGTACCGTTACGCCGAAGATGAGTTGGATCCAGAAATTCCACTGCCATGAGAGGTCTATAACGCAACACATCAGCAAGATCTTTTGTGGCATCGGTCTCAATGTACTTACAGCGTTCGATTGGACCGCCAATAACACCTCCAATGCTAGTTCCGATAGTCGACGACAACACAATGAAGCACAACGGCCAGTGCTGGTTTTCTGGCTCATACATGTCCGCGATAAGACCAAGTGTGACACTGCCTCCAGCAGTAGAGAGGCCGCCCTAATAATATCAGTATTGGATGGTATACACTTTGACTTCAAAACTCACCAAAGCTCTGCAAACAATAATGGTAGCAAAGTTCGGAGCCACTGAGCAAGGAATCTCCCAAATATTGATGAGAAACATGCTCAGCTGCAGAATTGGCCATCGTCCAAATTCCTCGCTCCATGGCGCCCAAAGCTCGCATCCAAATGAGTAGAAGACGAGATAGATCATCTGTCCGACTCGAGCTGCCTGCGTGCTAATACCAAAGTGCTCTGCGACGGGGTTGACGGCACTGGGATACACTGACGTGTTGAAGTTCATAGAAATTTGAATTCCAGCAATGGAAGCCAAGTACATTGCCTTTTTCCACTTTGGCCACGAATATGCGAGCTTGTCCCAGCACTCCCATTCTCGCAGCTCGCGCTTTCCATCTGGGCCGGGAGCCATGGATGGGTGCCGTCTTCCCTGGGGGTCAACAGGGACATTGTCAGTCTGCGACTTTTCTCCGTCGCTCATATCAGCCGACATTCTCGGGCGGTGTTGCTCAGCGTCTTTTTCAGAAAATGGCTGCGCACCCCCTGGCGTGGGTGAAGGGTGCCGAGACTCGATTCCCATGGTCGCGAGGCTGGCTGGAAGGAAAAAGCTGGAGAAGTGACTCTGGGTGTGGGTTGAGGTTTGAAGGCCCTCTTGAACCCAACAAAAGTCCACATTTGGCCTCCACTGTCCATATGACGTCTGGTCTCCATACTCGTTACTGAAAAGTACTCCTCCATTGCCAGAGCGTATGTCAGCGTGGGTCTCTCTACAATAGGATGCAGAGCGCAGAACATCGGCCTAAAAATTAACGTTGGGATCGGGCGCGTGTATGCCATCGACGACAACATGGCACGAGTATGTGTAGCAGTGGGCCCTAGTCTGACATTGCATCGGAGCTGTTTGGCGACAGACCCCTGTGGGCCCAACTATCTGACGACAAGCTTCGCCTGTGCAGCGAAAAATTAGTGGTGATGTTCTCGCTCCACTTCCCACCGGCATGCACGCACGCAGCCGACGACGAAACAACGACAGATCTACATGCGGCTCAAGATAAAGATGGGTCGAGTGGGTCTGGAGCTCAATAGTTCGCGAATTCTCAAGCAACTAGTGAACTCGCTCGGCAAACCTTTGGTTACTTGAGTTCATCGTGATCTTGTAGATAATTTAGTGATTCAGAAACTGCTGGAGATTGGGGCGATTGAACAATGTCTGGGCAGAATAGTGATTTCTAATCAACCATCCTGGGGTGCTTAATGTGCATGATTTTCTGATACAGCCTAGGTATTCGCAGTCGTCCGACTAGGATGTAGTGATGGGAGGCTCTGCGGGTGAAAACTCTTAGTGCAGCGGCATGACATCACTATGCATCCAGGTCCCACAAAGGGTTGCGGCACGACAACCACCACCATAAGGGGCCAGGCCTTATTTGTGCTTGTTATAGTAGACTATGCGAAATTATTTCACGTGCGATACAACAAGGTCTTGGGCGGTGCCATTGGGCCTGTGATTCAGTCGCAGCGTACTGAGTGAGCTAAACTCCAGAACCTTGCCTTGTGCATGTACAACGTCTACTGTATCATTACTTTCTATCACTTCCAGAGATATATCCATCCTAATTCATGTGATGGGGCGACTTGTTCGTTAGTATAAGACGTTCAACCATTCACTTCATTGTACGCACCGTGTCTGCTAGTGGACATGGACCAGGATCTTGCAATTCGATAGCAATCATCAATTACAATACCACATTGTATTGCCGTGAATTTAGCAACTAAAAGTGTATCCATAACATACTACACATTGTAGGAACATGGTGGAGTTTACCTTTCACATCGCTAATGCGGACGAGCAACACTGTGCACGCGTATTCGAGATAAATAAAAGTTTCCCGAGTAAACAACAAGTTTCATCAGATTAATAGTGAAATATACAAAAGACGTACCAGAACCGACATACACTGAATGCAACTAGCAGGAATCATGATGGAATGCTGTGACAATGACGAGGTGTCACTTAGATTGCACCAGGCATTGACAGGAGCCGGCTTCGCTAACCACCCAGATGAGATGGAAATCGAATATGATCCTCTATTGCATACACTAGAAGAACTCGCTCTCGCATCTCCCAAAGAAATGCAAGCATGTGAAGACACAATCATGGCAGACATGGACCAATGGGTCCCAATCGACGAAGCACAGGTAGGCGACGAAGAAAAGGATCCCAAAGACGCTGATGATATACCAGCGGAGCAATACGAGCAGCTCCGAACCAAATACCTAGATCTCGACTGCCAACCCACCGACGACGCCCCCTGTGCATGCATCGAGCGCATCAAATTATACGAACGGGAAGACCCAGCGGGCCCCAGCGAATCCTTTGCACCAGTACTCCACAAGCCCACATTCAGCACCCTTCAATCCAACCCGGAATTCGTACTCGCAACATGGGCAAAACTACTAAAAGAACCCTCTCCATCTCCCTCGCCCCTTCGCCCAGCCCCCATCAACCCCACTCCCGCAAAAAGATGCCCCATCAACCCCTTCCCCCCTTCCGTCTACAAAACCTCTCTCCTCCACTGCCCCTCCCCCAACCCCACAGCCTCAACCCCCACCCTCCCCTTCTACACGCAAGAATACATCCGCTCCCTGCGCCTCCTCAAGCTCCGCCGCCGCTGGTCCCACCTCCCCCTCTCAGACTTCACCACCGAACTACGCACACTCGTGCTCTCCCTCTCCAACGCCTCCAACAACCTCACCCCGTGGCCCCCGCTCGCCGCATGGCTCGCACAATACTACACAAAGATGCAGGGAGTGCCGAGGAATCGGCGGTTCAAGGTTAAGATGGGGTTGTTGAAGGGACTGGAAGAGGGGGCCAGGATCAAGGTTCGGGAGAGTAAAGCGGCGGTGAAGGAGTTGGTGGGGGCAAGGGGGGAGAAGTTGATAGTAGGGGTTTGGGGGATGGTGAGGAAGGGCGTGGATGATGAGTGTGAGGTTAGAGGGAGTTTGGGGTTGGGTAGCTTGCCGGAGTTTACGGATAGGGTTGTTGGGGGGATGTCGGGGGGTTGGTCGTGGGTTGATTGAGTGAGGTTAGATTTGGGGAATTAGTGGGGTAGTTTAAGTGTATGGTAGAGATTTTGGTTGGGTGTGAACGGCATGGTGGGTTTATTTGCGTTGTGTTTTTTTTAAGTCTACTTTTGAATTATCGTTTGAGGATTGGAAATTCATGTGAAGCATGATAGTCTTCTTCTTCTTCTTCTTCTTCTTCTTCTTCTTCTTATTCTTCTTCTTCTTCTTCTTCTTCTACTTTTTCTTCTTCCCGTTTGCATGTATTGGTTTTGTGACGTTCTATTACCCCGCTAATTGACTTTACAGCAAGATCGACAGTAGTATTTGTTGAGATGAACTAAATTCCCGTGACCCTGCGTCCAACTCTTCCCAATCCAAAAGTTCACAAACGAACCGTATGTTCGGCTTTTGTTCTCGCTTTAGTACTTTCTCTTCACGCACACCATATGAAGAGGAAATCAGATGATTCTCTTTTTCGTATTTGATAATGACATGTGAACGCGCACTGTATAGCTATATCGTCTATTTATTTGTAGAGCATACCCCTCTAGTCTCTCTGATTGTTGCTTTTTGCGCACCGTGTATTTAAGTTTTCAATAGATGTGTACAAGCTTTGAGCTTTGAGCGTTCTGGTGTTTTGCTTTTATCAAGGCGAGCAAGGGGGGTTCTTTTCGCGTGCGGGTGGTTGCCATGGAAGAAGAGGTTCTACTAGTTAAAGTGTGGTTGCTGCAAGGATAATGGTACAAAAAACAGCACTACTGACATTGCTGAGAATTAGCAAGGGTCCAGAATATGGTTGTTGGGGCTGAGATTTATTGATGGCGCTGGTCAATTAAAGAGAAACACTTCACATTTGACATGTGAATGTGTACTCACCACCGCATCAGTGTTCTCAATTAGCATAGCAATACCCAGCCTTGCCATAACGCACTTTCCCATGCCCTCCACAGAGGAAAAGAACCTCTGAAAAAGCAGCCAGGCCGTTGGAAGTCGAAAAGCATGGTCCATGGCTTCTTCTTTACTTCTTTTCTCGGCCTCTTCCCCACCACCCACATTGGAGTTCATCTTGCAGCGCTAACAGCGTCTATTCTCGTGCTCTCCATTTGCAGTTGGCGCACGTTGAGAAAAAGACATGTCTATCCCATTTCTATTGAATCTTTTTCTTTAGCCCCACCACTTCTACAAACATGCCGACTCATAGTCTCGCCAACCCTCACAACGATTACTAAAATGTGGAAGAAGAAAAAGGGGGAGTGAAATGATTCTAGCCTAGCGGATCATGGATATGCTACGCGACAATGTCGCCATTAGTTACAGGCGAGCGCGATGTCTCGCTTAAAAAGCTTTGTCCGCAGAGTCAAACACTGGTGTTCCCGTCATGCCTCAAGTTCTCTTGTTTTCTATGCTGTTTCTTATTTTTTTTCAAAAGAAAGTTTGTGACAGCGGTGAAAGTATGTGCATGCAAAATGCGTGTTTTAGATGTGAAAAGAGGAAGAAGAAAGACAAAGGGCGGCTACACAGATGCTGATGATGAGCAGAACTGATCCGTGCACGGAGAACAGTAGGTATAACAACAATCGCTGGGCGTGTATGTAGTGTATGTGAGTTGTGTGTCCGGACTTGCGCGGTGAGGCTGAACGCCACACGGCACGTGCATGTGCGCGCCCGAGTCAATCGACTGCCGGTATGAGATCAAGGCTTGTTACCCGAAAAACCATGGGCTGATGCACGTACTTGGCATAGCGTAGGCTTCGCTTGAGAGAGACGAGTGAAAAAAAATTTGACGGACAATCCGTTGGTAGCGCGTGTCTACATTGTTTACAGTAGTCTAGTGGCAGCCACAAATTTCTCGTAATACGATGGATGAATCGGGCAGGAAAAGCGACAGTGAGAGCTGTATGAATGGCTTTCCGAGATTTCGCATTCGCAACTACACCGGAATGCCACGCAATACCGTAAGCAATGATATTAGATTCTGTGAGCCCCACTCATCTTGGCTGAATTCTGACTATGCACTATCGGTAATTTGGAATAAGCACTATGGCAATCGCGATGCAGGATGATGCGTGAATTGAAATGTTTTTGCCATTGGGACTTCTATCTGACGCCCTGCTCTGTTGAGCCTTCTGAACAAAGGAAATGAAAAAAGGGTATATCAGTATGGTAAGTAATGAAGCTGCTATCCAAAAAGTTCGAATCCAAACGCCTTACAATGCAATCTTTGTCGCACTATGCAACGTCTGCGTGTTGTGCAAAAATGCAAAAAAATGGATAAATGCTGAGATCAGCGTATACAACGATGTACAAGGTGGGTGATTATGGCTCATCGGCGGAAAACCTTCATGAAGCTGTGACGCTTGCTGATACTTGGGGTCATCGGCCTGTCATCCGGGATGGGTGGCGGCGGCGGCAGGTTTGTGTGCATGGTTGTGCTTTTGGCGAAAACGGAAAGAATCGGCTCAGACTTTTTGGTGCTCATTTTGCTTTTGTTGCTCATCTTGCTGATAGGTCTCTGGGCGGCAGTCGAGTCGTTGATGGCTACCGCAGAATCGAGTGGACCATCTTGTGGAACATCCGCGGCGGCGACTGGTTTTGGCATTGGATCTGCCTTGGACAAGCCGCGGGAAAGCTGCATGCTACTCTTGGCTTTGGTCATGGCGGATTTGCGGGAGCTCTTGGTCGTGGCACGCTTGACAATGCTACCACCATTCTCTTCGGCGTGCTGGCGCTCTAGTCGCTCGATCTCGCCCAAGATGGTCATGCCATTTATAGCCAGGCTGTCTTCGGGAATGGGCACGAATTTGATAATGCCTCGATCTGATGGAACGCCAATGGACTCGGCCATGAATGTCTGGATCAAAGCGGCATTACGCTTATTGGTCGTGGGCTGTACTTGAATGGGCAAGGCATTGATGGTGAGGACGTAAGTGGGCTCAAAGGACCCGCCAAGGAGCAGGCATGCCGAATGGTTGACAGTGATCATGATGGATGTCTCGGGCCTTTGGTAGCGCGTGGAGAGATGGTGCGAGAGGTCAGTGACAAGAGTGTATTCATCTTTGATCTGCACCGGGTTGGTGGTTAGTGCATGTACAAACAGAGCGGAACTGGGGAGATGGAACACATACAATAACATTTGTCCGCAACTCTGCTACAATGGGGGCATCCTTGGTGACACGATCGCGAGCAGACGATATGTTTGAGCCTCTGTCGACGAACTGACTCTCGTAGAACTGGGCACGGGCACGTGAGGTCATGGGTCGCAGGGAGCCAGGAGCATGAGGCGCCGCCGTCTCTCGTGGATATTGATGCGAATTGTCCGGAACATCGATGACGGAATGGGGCGAGGATGCAAAGGAGAAGTTTGAGGCTGATGGTGACTGGGGGCCTGCGGCGGCGTTGTTGTCTGGAGACAGTAGGCCGGCGCCAGCTTGTTTGGGAAACGCAGTGGCGGACTGGGTGGAAGTGGATGAGGGCCGCGACATCTTGGTCTGACTGGAAGTGGAATTATTGGCTGAGTGGGGCATGGCAGAGAGGGAGAAGATGGGCAGGTGCGATGTTTGCCTGGGAAGCCGCGAGTGGACAGCCAAGAATAGAGATAGACGGGATTGGTCCAGAGATAGATAAAGGCTGCAAGTGGGCGGGGCGGCTAGCAAACGCTCGTCTTTTTGTGTTTCTGTGCGGCAGAGAAGATGGCGGTCCAAGAGTCGTAATGGTTATTGACGGCAGTAATGGTGGTAGTGGCAGTGGTACCAGCAGTGCCAGGAGTGTTGGTGGTGACAGTGATGGGGCGGTCCCTACAGTGGCAGTGGGTGAAGGTGAAGGCGAGGGCGAGGGCGAGGGCAAGGGCGAGCAGCGGGCAAGTGAGGGGGGGGAGAAAAAAAAGGACAGTAAGGTTGCCGGGGCGGCAGCATCAGCGTGAGGAGAGCAGATTTATGGCGAGCCAGTGTATGATATACTACGGCCTACTTGGTGGGCGTCTGGATTGACGGGCTCGCCGCATGCCACACTATCGGGTACATGGACAGGGGTGTCTGGAGCAGCACCAGCGTGCGGGCCTGGCGCCGGCAAGCTTTGGGGTTGGGGCTGGGGGTGTGTGTGAGCATGAGATGAGCATGAGCAAGAGGGAACTAGTTTGTAGGCGGTAGAGTGCATCCTGTAAGAGTAAGCCATCTGATCTGATCTGGGACTGCTGGGCTGATGATCCCGGCAGTGGGCTGCATCCTGCCTCGCCATCACCCATGAAGCCTTTGGCTCTGGGCGCGCACAGAAAGGGCCGCAAGCTCTCAGCAAGCCACAATGTCGCTAGGTATGCCAATGTGCCTTACATGCCTTCTGCCTTCACCGCGCTTTGTCCTCACCGCGCCTAAGCCACCATGGTCTACGGCTGAGAGACCAATGTCCACACATACTCGCTCGTACTTGTTGTCTTGCCTGCACGACCACGCACTACCAGTCGCTCGAGGACGAAGGCTGGGCAAGGCGGCTGCTAGTTTAACGCACCATAGAACAAATAAAGACTACCTGCATTGGGGGCCGGTTCTGCTACCGCACCTCACCCGGCGGCCCAGCCTGTGTGCATCGCCGTCGTCGTGACCACGTCGCCCGCATGTCGAGAATCTGAAATGGGCCAGATGTCGAGGCGTCCACACTCAAATGTCCAGATGTTGCCCCTCGGCAGCCACCAGGCCACGACGTCGTCTACCCTGACCCACCAGAGCCCACTGTACGCCGCATTCAGCTTGCTGCCCTTCCGCATTCAGCACCATGTCCGCCACTCGCTCGCCATGCATACCATGAATAGCTACATAGGCATCCCACACCCAATCCTACACACAACTACACCGACATCCCACCGCAGATAGCGAGCCGCTGCATCCACCCGCTGCCGGCCCATCTACGCATCCAGCCCGGCCAAAATGACATGCCCAAAAAACTAGACAAGCCAGCACTAAGCCACCAAGAGCGTACAAGCAAGCAATCAAGCAAGCCGCCCCTTTGGTTGCAAATCCGCTTCTGCGCTTCTGCTTCTTCTTCTGCTGCTGCTACACGCCCGTCCGTTACACACCCATCTGTGTGCGACGTGTCAGGCGCCCTGCACCCCAGGACCCTTCGAATCGTTTGCTGCCAGTGCTGTGCAACTCTGCCTTTTGCAATGCAATCTCATGTACAACCCTGTGTCTACGCCTGCCTTTCTTTGTTTCTCTGAAACCACGCCTCTTCACCCATTCTCCCCACCAACGCACGCCGCTGCTCGCCTCGTCGCACGGTGCCATTGCCCATGGTGCCATGCTGAGCACTTGTAGCACTCGTGCAGCACCTCATTTAACTTTACCGGCTCTGCCAATACGAGTTGAACGCCGCGACCGTGCGGCCCGTTTTATGGAATCGTGATTCGCGATCAAGCTTTCAAAAGCAGATGGGTCGCAGGGCAGGGGTTGGTGCTATATATTCTTGTACGCCTTACTGGATCCATCAGCCCGTGTTCCCGGCCATGTACGGTGTAGTGTATGTAGCGATGGTAAACCCGTAGAAACTGCACGCACAAACTTGTGTACGTATCAAGTACGACACAACAGCTACACGCATGCATGATGGCGGCAACGTCGGCAGCATCAGCACAATACATCACCCCTGCTGATAACTTACGCCCGGTAGCGCCATACAAATATACCGGCCTTATTACAGGTCACAAGGAATATGTCCATCTAAGTAGTCTCCCCAAACATAATTGATGACGTCGCGGTACCAGTGTCGCGTAGTACGGATGATGTGCACGTGAGAGCGCGCGCGCGTCCATCGTCTTTGGCTTTGGCCGCATCATCAACACGCGCCATCGCACTGCCCACCCCAATCGACCGGCCCCCCTCCTCCCTGACCTGATTGAGGCCTCAGCAACATCCATCATGCCTCCAAAAGCTGCCGGAGCCAATGCTGCCCGAAGAAAAGGGCCTGCCTTCAATCCTCCGCGTCCCGTCAACGCCGCCCCCCAAGCCTCCTCTTCCACCACTGCAAGGCGCGCTCCTGCACCAGCGGCATCCCGCGCAACTGGCGCTGCAAACAAAAAGAATGCCTTTCAGCCAGCAACTGACATCATCAACCTGTCTGACGATGACGCGCCTGAAGAACTCATAGATCAAATTGATAGCGACGACTTCGATTCCATAATGGAGGACGTCGGTCCTGCAACTGTACCAGCTCGCTCAAAGCCCCCGCCAGCCAAGACGACCTTGTCCGACCCCGTCGTACCTCGGCCGCTGCTCGCACGTCTGCTCCTCGAAAACTTTGATGATCCCGATATGCAGATACAGACGGGCGCAATGAAGCTCGTGGGCAAGTACATTGACATCTTCGTCACAGAGGCCTTCTTGAGAAGCAAGGACGAAAGAAAGACGGCAGCCAAGAACGGTGGTCTTGTCGATGGCTTCTTACAAGTCGAGGACTTGGAGAAATTGGCACCACAGCTTGTGCTCGACTTTTGAGCAGCCGGCTGGTTTGCTATAAAGACTTACGCGATTTGGTGCCGCAACGTGTGCACAAAACATACTTGAATAGCCAAAATCAGCAGCCATGGCGAGTTTGTGATATTATCGCCATGAGTAGCCCGAGGCCCGCCCATGGACATGTGCAGACTCTCGGAAGCCTTTACCTCCTATGACAAGATGTGCTTGGATTCATTGGATAGGAGGGGCGCTCACGGCTCTGCAGCTCGTCTAAATATGGAGTGAAAATAGAGTCGTCGCGTTAGAGGTACTGCGCGACTCACCACCCGACAGCGGCTACGCCATCAGGCCAAGGCATGCATTCATAATAATAGTCACAGCCATGTGCAGTCATCTCCCTCTGTAGAGTCGACACAAGACTGAAACGACCAGCAAGCGAATAAAGGATCCAATATTTTGACGTGTTTGAAACATCTGGCCGTACTTCCTCAATCCCAACATCTTCTCCAACGCCATTGTTCACATGGCCAAGAACAAGTGCTGTGGTGCAATCTCGCAAACAGAAGTTCCGACTGCCTAGCCTGGTCGGTTTAATGATTGCCGTTGCGACGCGCATCCTGAAGCATAACATGACAGGGCTCAAACATAGACGGAACGTGGAGCGTGTCGCATCGTCCACACCCCGGCACCGACTCTTCGAACAACAGCTTCACAACATGGTTCACACCACACAATGGCTCGCCAAGTGCATATAACTCAATATTCGTAGTGCCTGATTATTTCAGCTCTGTGTATTACTTGGTGAGCAAGAACAGTTAGAATCAGTCCTGTCGGCTCAAATGCGAGCTATCCTTAATGATCCTTCTGTTAAGCCTCATTTTGCAGGGTTTGTACTGAGTCGAGAGGCTGAAGCACTCTGCGCCTCCAACCTGTCGCAACCCCAACCCCATGTATCGGAAAACCTGTTAACCGCCGTGCCAACGCATGGCAAACCTTTCATGCCTTAAGACGGCCCTGGACCGTCACCTCAGGCTTCTCTTTTTCACTCCTGCATCCCACGTTTTCTCCTTACTTTGTTGCGGGTTTCCTTTGCATCTTCTTTTCTTCTCCAAACCTCACGGTCTTTCACCCTTATCTCCTAATACACCTGTTGGCTAGTCCAACGGTTACTTTGACGAACTCCAGAGCGCTAGTCGCCTTTGCACTCTCTTGACGAGACTTTCAATACTACAAACTCAATCGCCCATTTAATACTCGAGTCGCCTTTCGAAAGAAAAAAACTGCCACAGTTATTCAATATGTACTTCTCAACAACAGCTATCGTTTCGGCCATCTTCGGTCTTGCCGCCGCTCAAGGAGGAATGCTCAAAATGCACGTTGTCCAGGTCGGCGGACCCAATGGTTCTTTGGCCTTTTACCCAAACAATGTCGCGGCTCAGCCAGGCGACATGGTTCAATTCCAGTTCCACCCAAAGGTATGCCTAGTCGCTGTTTCTGCGCCTGGCTGTGTCCTTGAGCTAATCGTTCTCATAGAACCATTCCGTCGCCCAATCCACATTCGACAACCCTTGCATACCCATTCAAAACATCATGCCTAACAAGACCGACGCCTTCTTCTCTGGTTTCATGCCTACCAACGCTTCTTTCACAGCAACAAACCAGGTCCTGACTTACACTATTCGCGTTCCCGACACGAAGCCCATCTGGTTCTACTGTTCTCAGGGCAAGCATTGCCAGAATGGTATGGTTGGAGCCATCAACGCGTAAGTCACTCGCCCTTTTGTGATTCAATATGTTTTGAGACAAAAACTGACTATAGCACATAGGCCCGCAGCCGGTAACAAGACCATCCAGGCATTCACTGCCCTTGCTGCTCAAGCCTCGGAGAACCTGTCTCCTGGCCAGCCTGCTGGATCTGGTGGCATCACTGGCAACACACCCACCTCACCATCTCCTGGAAATGGCGCCGACTCTGGCAATGGACAAGGAGGTGCTGGTGCTGGCGGAAGTGGTGCTGGCGCCGGTGCCGGTGCCGGAAGCGGAACCGGTGCCTCACCTCCCCAGACTACCACCAGCAGCGCTTCTGGTCTCAGTGCACAATCCTTCATCAGTGTTGCTGCTGCTTTTGTTGCCATTACCTTTGCTTCATTGTAAACAGAGTAGAAGTCTTGTGGGCGGATTTTGAGATAGTTGGCGGCACATATGATACCATTCTTCTGATAACTGAGCTGGCTTTGGTAAAAGGACTCAGATTTGGGGAGGCGTTTTTTTTGTTCGATTGATCGAATGCATATAGCAATTAATATAAGACGAATATAACGTCCATCCCTGTGGGTTGAACATCTCTCCGCAGTGAACCACCAATATCATTCAAGCACGTTCTGCCCAAGTCGTAGAGATAATTAGATTTAAGTATACATTTGCTTGCTCTTTAGATCTATATCTATCATTTATAAGCCTTAAATAGTAAAATTATAGCAATTTAAGGGTATACGAATCTTTTGTGTTAAGCGTTAAAGCTGCAATAGTAGTACACCCCTATTCTACATTCCACAAAAATGCGGCTTGCTTATTCAGAGGTCTTATATAACTTATAATAAATTAATAGTTAAAGTTCTAGATATTACATAAAAATATATAGCCTCTAACTATATAGATACACTCTAAGTTTATCTAGCCCGCTGCAACTTTCGTTCGCTTTTCGCGAAAGGACTTTGCGTGCTGACACAGCAGGTTTAGAACAATTAGCGGCCTGCAACGTACACTTGTGCTATACCAGAACGACTCAATGTGTGGCACGAAGCTTGAGAGGTTTCGTCCGGCCATCACTTCGACGCATGGTCGCTTACTAGCTACTATTCTTAGAAGTCGATTAAATATCAATTTCTCGCGGTTCTTGTCAACTATGTGTAGAACAAATATTGTATGGCCTCGACATTCTTAACAAACATAAAGATAATTACACAGATTTACACAGACCTAACAATTTATCTACCGTTCCTTACCTACGTCACCTAACAAAGCCAGACTCTTCCTAATCCTAACCTTACCATGGTTGGCGCAAGGCCGGCGCCAAAGCAATTCTGACGAACATGCGCTGATTCGCTGCTCTACTTCAGCCGGACAAGCAACACCAATGAAAGTACTTGATGCATCTGAGTGTATGACGACTGTGCCTCAACTGCCCGCCTGGGCTGTGCGACGTTCATTAAAAATCCCTCAAAAGTACATCTTTCCTCCAACCTCCTTTTGAACACCTCAGTCCCCGCACATAGCAAACCATCATCAAAACCAGTCGTTGGCAACATGGCGCACGATCAGCCCGTAGCTCCTTCTATTATTGGGTCCGGAACTTGGCATATCTGCACACCTTCTGCAGCTTCCGAAAATACCACAAAGAGCACTTTGAGTAGCGAAATTCCGCAATCTTCCATCCCATGGCCTGGGCGAACCTTCATCATTCGATCTCGCAAGAACGGACAAGTTATCACGTTCTTGGACGGCGAGGTCGTGATGGACAAACTAGGAGGGCTTGGTACTTTCAGGTGGCGATGCGTCGAGGAGAAAGGTTGGATAGGGTTTAAGGATCCAGCTTCTGCGCAATATCTTGGTTATCATGAACATGGACTTCTGTTTTGTAGGTCTTCTCATCATCGAAACAACGAATACATATGTCCCCGAATGCGCCCAGAAGGTGGATGCGTTCTGCTAGTAATTCACGATGAGAATCTTCGTCCCTTGGGTGTATTTGGAAACGAATCGAAGAATGGGATCAAGCAGAAGATTAAGATTAATATGGACTGGAGCTCTGAGGAGATTGTGTGGGATTTTATTGAGGTACAAAGTTAAGAATAATGACGACTACTAGGGCGGATATGCCGATGCAAATGTACGCTTTGTTGGAAAATATGACACTAGTATAGCCACCTGTTTATTCGTGATGAAGCAGAACCTGAACTTTATCGTATTCACTAGAGTGTTGTGCCCGACATCCCAAACCGCAAATTCTATTAGTGTCCCATCATCATTGCGGCTTTAATATGCCTCCCTATTGTGAAGACTCTAACCTTAATGCGTCCATACGTCCGCGTGTATATTCTACGCAATTGGACATTAAATGATTGTAATTCTCTGGCTTCTAAACTCCCATTCTCACTATTAACAGACCCCAGATATATATAATTGTATTGAGCGTGGTGCATTTCGATGCAAACAAGAAGTCAGCACACAGCGACAGACGGCGGCGTCATCAGACTCGCTCATTTGCTGTATCATCCGCTTGTATAAGTTGCCTAATCTAGGCGAGAATAACGTTAGCTTCTTTAGCACGTTCCGCTTCGGTATCTTTTCGAGCTCTTGCAGTGTCCATCCGCGGGTAAACCATCTCCTTTTCTCAAGTGTAAACTCAGGCTGCTGCTTACTGCGTATAAAATCGTTACTAACAGAAGTACATGGAGAATTGCGGGAATAGAAGTAGCGCAGCATCGTACTGCTGTACCATCTTGATACAGTATAGAGAATAGAGAGCATCCAGATCCAAAGAAGCCATCGTGAATCGTGGTAGGTGCACCAGCTCAGATACCAGCAGGACCCTGCAATCCATCAAGGATGTCGCGAGCTGAGGATGCTGGCTTTTGTTGTATTCTTGGCTTGGTGATACAGCCTACATAAAGCCCAAGGCGGGGTAAGTAAGGAGTGGCTCCATGCATGCGCCGTGCTCTGCTCGCAAGGCTAAAGCGCGTCTGCATCGAAAGCTGCGGACGTGAGGCCCTTGGTGTTGTTAGCAGGGGTCCAAGCACTGACACGTTTGAAGCTTGCCCGTTACGACAGGGAAAACGAGAAAGCAGTTGCGCAAATGCAACACTCGTAGACAACATCTACTTACTATGTAGTTAGGCTGGGATTCGACTCGAGTTCCCCTTTTTATCTAGTAGCCGACGGAAAGCCGCGAGGCCAACGGAATCCACAACCAGTCAGCTTCTAAGAATAGCTGGCCACACTTCCAGCTCTTTTAGCATAGCACATGTATACATCGTACGTAGGCCGCTAAGCGTTCACAATTCTACTATATCAGCGTTCTAAATCCTCTCCCTAAACGCGAAGGACTAACACAACAAGCTAGAAAAATTCGGAGTGTACCTAAATAGAGGCTGCACGTCTTCATAGAATAGTTATAGGTTCTTTAGTTTATTATATATTATATAAGGCCTCCAAATAGGTAAGTATAGCTTCTACACTTAACACAAAAGATTCACGTACGCACTTTAAATTACTATAATTTTACTATTTGAGGCTTACTATAGATAACAATGTTAATGGTTCGTTGCGGAGGGTTGTTCGACCCACAGGGACGGGCGTTACTTTATTTAGTACTCTACCAGCCTTGATACCCAATGTTCCTGAATTTGAGCGTTCTATGAGTAATTAGCTGCGCTTTTTGCTGATGACTCCACCCGGCCATGCTTACACGGCAAGCCGATGCACACCACGCCCCCGCTCCGTCCAACATTCATCCCTCCCACGCCCGACTGCCACGTGCAGCATCTCAGCGAACCACAGCAAAGTACAACACACCATGTAGCCACATACTTGGACATGTGTAGCGAACAGGCTTGCGACTACCCGTCATCAATAATGCAGCACGGGATGAGTTGTGCGGCACTCATCGTCCGCCATGGCTTGGATCCCTCTTAAGTCTGCATCCCAATGTCGATTACGTCCAAGTAATCATGACTTCTCAAGACTTCTGGGGTCGCTTCAACCTGAGGAACGAAGATGGAAAGTCATGTATGAGAGCTGTACAGCATGCATATGTAGGGTATGAGGTGATGGAATTTGAACAGCAGGGATATTGCAGTTGCACGTTGTTGGTTGCGCCTTTGAGCGACAATGAGCACAGCGCGGTCGTGGATAAGGATCTGACAAAGAAATTTGAAGGATGTAGCACAAGAAGTGAGCTGATCGTTCAACTCCGGCCTACGCCTCACGCGCTTGATCTCGACATTATACACGTCGCAACCAAGACCTACCCATCACTGGCACCAACCGCCGCACTCCTGGACGTAGAGCTACCTGGAGGTCTGAAGGCTTACGAGATGGACAGAGTCTCCGGCACATCTCTCAGTCGTCTGATGCCACGCGCACGTACCTTGAATACAAAAGAGCAAGCACGACTGGAAACATTAGTCTTGAGCTTTGCCAAATTCATAGCACAAGGCTGGCAATGCGCGTCGGAAGCGCGAACATTACCAACACTCAGAACCACGCGGGCTGACTCGCCAATGAAAGACACACCAGATATGATCTCACAGTGTCACGGCAAAGTCGGCTCAAGCATTATCTATCGACTCAGGAAACTTGCTGCAGAACTACCCGACGCATCTTTGAGAAAAAGAGCAGGGAGGACACTTTCGGCCATACAAAAAACGACGGACTACCCCATTATTCTAAATCACGGGGATCTCATACCATCCAACATTCTCATCGATGAGAGTCGGTGGGAGATGACTGGCCTGGTCGATTGGGCTGAAGCAGAGTTTTTGCCCTTTGGAACGTGTCTGTATGGGCTTGAGCATTTGCTAGGATATTATGAACAAGATTCTTTGAGCACAATATCTGCATGGATCTATTTCGAACGAGCCGCGCAACTTCGAGAGGCGTTCTGGGAGCACTTGTTCGCAGCTGCACCGGGTCTGAAGACACGCGAAGATGAAGTAAAGATGATGCGAGATATGGGCGTGTTGCTCTGGCATGGTATCGCGTGGGACGATGGAGCTATTGATCGTGTTGTTAGTGAGTTTCGTGATCAAGAAGAATTAGTGAAGCTTCGTGCTTTTCTGGATGCGGATTAACTGAAGAGACTTTTCGGAGTCCGCCAAAGAAGAGGAGATGGAAGCATTATCGTAATCCTACTTCCTAATGCCTTTATGTTTCTTGTTACAGCGCTAGTTTTCTCAAGAAGTTTCTCCCAAATGTCTCTGACCTGGAGTGCCAGCTATATGTTTGTCTTCAAGATTGTTGTTCATATATGAGTTGCACCTTCCCCTTACAATGGATGTCCTTTCCCATACACCCCGCGCCTTCTATACACACATAGGCAACATCAAAACTCTGTTTTTACAATTCACACCCACCATTCTCTTCTCCATTCCATCTACTTTCTTGTCTGAGAGTTGCGTCTGCTCACCGTCAAAGAAACACTAGAACGTAGCGCGCGAAAGGATCGTATTCAACCCAGCCAGGTGTGGTGCTTACTACGATAATTCCAGAAACATACTGGGAGATAGGGTCTTGGTTTCATCTCATATTGTTTGTATGGCCTGGACGAACTTCGACACAACATGGTCTCCACTCGGCGGAGCACCGCAAATGCAAACCGTACAATCACCGGCATCAATAAGTTCAAAGTCACTGAACCGACTAGCGATACCATTCATGTTCAAGAGCCGCATAGAAAAAAGGCAAAAACCGCAGTAGAGATCCCGAAATCACCCAGCGTTCCACCTTCAACGGTGCTCTCCAGAAATATTAGTGATCATGATATCAATCACACTTCACCGATCACCGATCACACGTCGATAGCTGCGGCCACAAAAACGCCCAAGATAAAGAATCGTTCACCCAACCTTCCTAATCGAACCCTCTCTTCTGCTCTGCGAAGACTAACTCCGAAGCCTTTTACCAGCATGAGTGGTAGCTGCCACGACCCGATTGTTGTCAATGAGGGCTCGTCACCTCCCCGTCCAACAATACGTGAACCGAAACGGAAGAATCGTGATGAACAACCATCGGAGCCGCAAAGGTTCATAGAGAACAGGCGCAAGGATTTATATAGCTACGGCGCTCGGGGACCGGGATCGACGAATGTGCCTTTTGACAAAAGCACGCGAAACAACCACCAAAGTCACGACATCTACAGAAGGATAAATTCAAGGATGGTTTCTGTGCCACACTTCAATCCGAATGCTTTTCTGGTACATGGCCCATTCGGCGTTCCTTTCCCGATGCAACGTTCTCTTGCAATGCAGACATTCGCATATCAGCAGATCCGACCGAGCTTTCCAGTATCCTACGCTCCGTACCATCAGTTTCCACCTCCAATGATCCCGAAACTTATAGTTCCTCCTCAAAGCGAAGAAATCCTGTGCAGAAAAGTCGTCGAATATGTGCGAGATTTTTTTAGAACAAGTGTCCAGTCAAATGCCAATATCCACCGTCTAATCGAACACACGTTGCTCCTCACATCTCTCCTCCAGATATACCCGCATTCTAAAAACCAGCAAGACCTGTGCGAGGACATACGTACAATGTTGGCACTACAAAGCCATCACACGACGGCATGGCTGGGCTCAGAGTCTCGAAACATGCTTAGGCAGAAGGAAAGCAGCAGTGGCAACATTTGTGTCAACACACAGCCAAAACCCTTTCTGGGTGACACTTTGAATGAGGCGGATAGAGAAGTGAGACAGGCTTTCTCTGCAAGTGCAGAAATGTGGCAAGACGGCACTGGGAATGGCGTCGCTGACGTTTTTGGCACTCAATCCACCCCTTCTCCTATTGCGAGTCCAAAGGCAAAATCCAGCTAGACCACATCGGCGCATGTTCAGCAGCATAAAGGAGCAGAGCTGCATATTGCCAGTATCGATGTCGTGGCGCCGATGAAGCGAGCGCAAAAAGGTGTGGCGCGTCTGGCGTCTTCTTTAACTAAGAAAGGCGTAGAGTCGCATTACCTACTGTTCCTAGTAGCATCTCCCATCTCTTTTCTTGTCGCATTCGAACATCGAATTTGACTATAACATAGATTTCCCACGGTGATACTATGCTGTGACTGGTTTGGGTCTATCTATGCTGTGTACATACTTGACGTGACCCTGACACGGGGCATCGCGCTAAGTATCGAGTAGTAGGAGCGGCGCGATTCCGCACTCACAAGTCATCTTACAAACACATATCTAAGCTGTCAAGTCGCTTCTTTCGCTGCACGATAAATGCCGAAGCCACAATGCTTTCAATTCGTCCGGACCTGCATACATACCAGCTTCAGCTTCTCCTGCCACCCTTACTGCAGCTGACATGAAACCTTTTCGTCGCGTATCTTCCCTAATCACAACCGTACTTGGTATACAGCGAACTTCTGCGCAACAGCCCTCTTCTTCTAGCAACGCGACGTTAAATCCTCTCCAAGGTGTACAGCAACTTCTCATATCATCCTACGCCAGCAACATGACGCGTCTTGCACCTGTGATCTCCGTCTCCCACGGAGGAGGCCCCATGCCGCTTCTCGGCGATCCATCGCATACAGCCATTACAAACTCGCTCAAGACGCGGGTGCCCAAAATCCTCAAGCTAGGCACGCCAGACGCACCCAAAGCAATCGTCCTAGTCACAGCCCATTGGTCCACAACAAAGGTCACCATATCCAGCGGCCCCAAACACGAGTTGCTGTATGACTACTACGGATTCCCACCTGAATCCTACCAGATCAAACACGATGCGCCTGGGAGTCCAGAGGTGGCAGATCAAGTCGCCAAGGCGCTCAGTGAAGCGGGTATCGAATGCGAAAAGGATTCCAAGCGACGTAAGTCCTTCTCACTCGTCCTCTTTTTGTTTGGTGAGTTACATCGACTGATTACGAACCATAGCATGGGACCACGGCGTCTTCGTCCCAATGAAACTCATTGACCCCTCCGCCTCAACCCCCATAGTCCAACTCTCAGTCCTCTCCTCCGAGTCGGCCGCACAATCCTACGCAATTGGCCGCGCCCTGTCCACTCTCCGCAGCCAAAACATTGCCATTGTCGGTTCAGGCTTCGCTACCTTTCACAACTTGCGCTTGTTCGGTCAGCTCGCCAATCCATCGCTCCAGGCGCAGACTGCAGAGTGGAGTAAACACGTCACGGATGCTGCTATGACGGATGACGATGCGAAGAGGGAGGAGAAGTTTCTTCAGTGGAGAAAGTGGCCGCATGCGTATACTACGCACCCGAATGGCGGGGCTGAGCACTTTCTACCGCTAATTGTTTGTGCGGGAGCCGCGGGCACGACGCCGGGAAAGAGCTATGCTGACGCGCTGTATGGGACGGATATGTGGAGTTATCACTGGGACGAGGAGTGATTTCGTCATGACCCGAAACATTGAGGATATTCGACTATATAAAAATCTTACTTTCAAACCCAAACGCAAAAAGAAAAAGGATCCAATACATCCCTTTCCAAACCAAGTCCTTCCACCTGGAAACTCTTTTCTTTCCCCAACCCATTTTTTTCCTTAGTATACACAAACCCCCTTTACCCTTCACCTCCCTCCAATAGGCTTCATCCCATACCACCCAATAACGCCAATCCCCAAAAACGCACTCACCACACTCATCACCAGCGCCGCAATGCCCCTCGCCGTAAACCCATCCGGCAGCCTCCCGGGACTCCTATTCTCACCACTCAAATCCTCCAGGTTCTGTGTATTCCCCGCCGCATTCCCCTGCGTCGGCACACTCGCAGCACGACACACATCCCAGTGATCCTGCGGTATTTTACCGTCAAGTTGGCGCTGGACGGATAAGGGGGCTTCGATGATGGTGGCGGTTAACCCAGAGGCGACGTGCCATTCGATGTGGCAGTGGAAGAGCCAGACGCCTGGGTTGTCGGAGCGGAAGCGCAGGACGAGGTGGCCGTTTGGGCGGACGAGGATAGTGTCGCGGCGCATTGGGGTGGGGTTTTGCGAGGAGGGAGAAGGGGAAGAGGTGTTGTAGGAACCTGCTTCTGCGTCGCTGCGGACGAGGACTTGGAAGGTGTGGCCGTGGAGGTGGAAGGGGTGTCTTTTTGGGTTTTGTTAGATGTCTTTGTTTTTAGGGAAGGAGGGAGGAGGACGTACTTTCCGGGGTCCATGTTGTTCAGGATGATTTCTACGACTTGGTTTTGGGCGAGGATGAAGGCGTTGGTGTTGCTGCCATAGATGACGGGGTCTGTAGCGTTGGGTCCGGTGGAGAGGACGGTATAAAGGGTGGGTACTTTGGGGCCGACGTAGGTTACGTCGTTGAAGAAGGCACTGGGTATATGTGTTAGGTGTCTGATATCGGAAATATGGAAAGGAAGACTTACTAGTTTGCTCCGTCGTTCAAGACATCCATCTTTACGTTGAGAGTGATGGATTGGTCGACTCTATCGAATACTCCTTCCTTATCCCACGGTACGAGTTTGAAATCGTCAAACGGTTCAAAAGCATCTACGTCCTTCGCAGCTGGCAGTTCCTTTTTGTCGTCGTATACAAGCCACCCAGTGACATTTGGGTTCAGTCCTTTGGGCACTGTATCGAAGAGATCCTCGTCCATGCTGCCGACAAAGGCAAAGTTGGAATTTGTATCGTTCTTTGCGGTGACGAGCACGCTGTAGCGCTGAGCGGCAGTCAAGTAAATCATATCTGCGTCCATGGGCTCAGTGTATACGCCATCGACTTCGACAATGCGCATCGTGTGCTCCTCGAACCAGACATATTGGGCGGCAAAAGCGCCCATGTTGACCATGCGGAACAGATATGTTTTGCCAGGCTCAATACTGACAGTCAGATTCTGGATGTCGTTGAGTAGGGCTGCCTGAGGCACGGGTTCTGCGCCCGAGGGATTGGCAATGTTGATGAAGCTTGCGAGAAGGTTGTGCATTGAGTCGTGGTACCTGCAAATATCATCGTACTTGGTCAGTCACTCTCTTTCGATGATCCCCGTTTTAGAGGATTTGCTCACCAGTCAGATAGTGTTACTACGACCTCCTTGTCGTAAAGATCCTTGTGTGGACTCTCTGGATCATGCACGATGAGTGGTCCACGGAGACCATCAGGATACTGACCACGCTCATGGCTATGGTACCAATATGTTCCTGGTTGATTAACCTATAATGATCAGCTACAACTATTCTTCCTCGGAAACTTGATACTCACTGTGAAATTGTACGTAAAAGAGCTACCTGGAGGGATACCGCACTGGGTACCTCCAACCACGCCATCCATATGCGTCGTGCCATTCATAAATAAGCCGTGAAAATGCAAACTCGTTGACTGGTTCCCCAGTGAGTTCTTGACGTTGACAATGACCTGGTCGCCTTTTGTTGCTACGATAGCTGGGATGGGCCATTGCCCGTTGATTCCAATGGTTGGGCGATTATACTGTCCATCTGGATTTGCATATGTCCATGCTACATCGAAGTTGTACGTAACAGTCGCAGCCTGAGCGGTCGAACCCAGAAGTAGCAGTGAAACAAGGAAATTTGACAAGGAAATCGCCATGTTGGGCGGCGAGGTGAGAATTGAAGCGTCTAGTCAGCTACAAAGCTGTACTGGATGGTCCAGCAAGCAAGAGTACACCACGACGTACTCAGCTCAATGTGCCGATAATCAGACAAGACTAGGTCTGATTGTGTGAGCACGGAATCATCAGATAAATGGCACCAGACTGGTCCGATACTTGAAAATCAGATTATGCCTTGCCATCAGCTGCAGGCGACTAGCTGAAGCCACAATAGTTTCGGCGCCGAGTTATCAGATCATCTGCCGGAAGTTTGCAGTGTGAAAAGACACTGGTCAAACAACACAGAGCGGGGCATGTATGCTCTTTTGGTCAAGCCTGGTGTATGTACGGGCCGCATATCCAATCATGGCAGGCCTGCGTCAAGCATCCCGTCTCGTGATTTTCTGCGGGGTGCTAGCGATCAGCCTGTTATCGGACCATCTGATAATCTGGACCACTATCGGCCCAGCCATGTGGACAAGAGGCGCCGAAGAACCAATAAGCCTGCCTTAGCCTGCGCTATTAAAGTCTTGAAGTGATTTGGCGTGGCTGGGCATGATAATCCCGCTGATCATTGTTGTGGCGATTTTTGAAGCGTGTAGGGGTTTCGTGGGGGTAGCTGTAGTGTGGTATGAATGTAGTACTACTTCCTAGACAATGTGAAAACGATGGTTGAACAGCACCACCAGTATGCACCGAAAGCTTCTGAGAACAGTGACACCAACAAAAAAAAAACTTTCACAACATGTCATCGGTCTGCCCTCTGGCCTCGGCTCACAAACTTAATTGAATGCCAGGGTCATTGGGCATAGGTATTCCGAAACTCGGCTTTACACTAGCGTCATGATACAGAGACGGGATGCACATGCACGAGGAAGCTGAGAGCAGGTGCCGCCCACCCCCTCATCTGATTAGATTCTGTCTTCTTAAACTCGTCGCCCTTTATCTGATTCCTAGATTAAATGTCAATTGAGTGAGCTTGACAGCTATCAAGATGCCTAACGTCTTTGCAGTACCAGGTGTGTGAGCAGACTATACAACAACTGCCCCTCCACGCGCGCCTAGCGCCTTTCGTACTAACTTTGTACTACCAGTCTTCTTCATTTGCTTCCGCGAATGTCTGGAAACCAGCATTATTGTTTCTGTACTCCTCGCCTTCCTCAAGCAAACTCTGGGACCCTCGCAGGATGCCGCTGTCTATAAGCGACTCGTGCGCCAGGTCTGGTACGGCGTGGCAGCAGGTGTATTCATCTGCCTGATCATCTGCGCCGGCGTGATAGGAACCTTTTACACAGCGGGAAAGAATACTTTTGAGTCCGCTGAGAACATCTGGGAGGGCGTCTTTGGAATCGTGGCTAGCGTCATTATCACGCTCATGGGCGCGGCTTTGCTTCGCATTAGCAAGCTACAGGATAAATGGAGGGCTAAGATTTCTAAGGTGCTGGAGCAGAAAGATCGCAATCTACCTGTTAAGGGTAAATTGAAGCGCTGGACGGAGAAGTATGCCATGTTCATCTTGCCGTTTGTGACGGTGCTGCGTGAGGGCATTGAAGCAGTGCTGTAAGTCGATGCGACCCAACCTTTATAAAGTCCCCTCCAGCTAAATTAGCATCTAGATTCATCGCAGGTGTCAGTCTCAGCGCTCCAGCGACAAGTTTTCCCCTCGCTGTCATCTGCGGCCTGGGTGCAGGCGCCTTGGTCGGCTATCTCATCTACAAAGGCGGCAACAAGACTTCACTGCAGATCTTCCTTGTGGTATCCACATGCTTTCTCTACCTCGTAGCTGCAGGTCTCTTCTCCAAGGGTGTCTGGAGTCTTGAGCAAGATGCATGGGTCAAGCTCGCTGGAGAGGGTGCTGCTGAAGCCGGTGCGGGTCCTGGCAGCTATGATATCAGGAAAAGCGTTTGGCACGTCAACGTAAGTTTTGACCTCGTCTATCTTCAGATTCCTAGGTTGACTATTGCGCCATAGTGTTGTTCTCCGCTAGAAAACGGTAGTGGCGGGTAAGTATATGCCATTTCGTATACAAGATCCCCGCTAACGACGTCGCTTCACAGTTGGGGGATCTTCAATTCCCTGCTCGGCTGGCAGAACAGCGCGACCTACGGCTCTGTCATTTCCTACAACGTATACTGGATCACCGTCATCATCGGCTTCCTCTTCCTGGGCTGGAAAGAGCGCAAAGCCAGCCTCTCCCACACGGCTGAGATTGCAAGCGAGACATCCAGCGAAGAACGCGAAATTGTCACGGACAAGGCAGGCAACGAGCGCGCCGGAGTCAACACCGCTGTACGCGAGATTTGAGTAATAACAAAAAAGGGCACCCGCACGAGAACTCGGGTCTGCTTTATAAGGATAATGTCACGAGAGATGTATTGGGAGGCCTAGAAGACACAGCCCATCTTTCACAAAGGCTTATCGCGTATAGAGCCGACGCTAATGCGGTCCAAGATCCGGAAACAGAACTGCCACAAGAAATAATAGAATTATCCACACCATCTCCTGAAAAACACATTTCAGTAAAACAAAAATCCTCCGAGGAACATCAAACGTAATGTGATCGTCGATGTCGGCCAGGGCTGCCTGCTCTAGCAATGTGTATCTGTCGCACCGAACGCGTGTCGTTCAAGGGAGGGTTGTTTATCTGTGGGTCGTACTACTAGCAATCGATTGCAGCACGCAACAGTCAACGTCTGAGCACAAACCCCCATGTAACCTCGTTCTGCCATGTCCATTCCCCATGCTTCCCTTTTCTTTTCTTTTTCCCGCAATTCCCATTCCCCCCGTTTGTTTTTTGTGGAGATGCCGACTAACCCTCCCAAAACATGCGATGAATTACGAAGGCGCGGCTGACAAACACTGCACTGCTCAGCATTGTTGCCATATATAACTGCTATACGCTTGGTGTATCCTTAGAGCGTGGCTGAGTCCTGTCTCGCACTTCACCCCCCACGTACGCACACGCCTGATTCTGGGCGTCTCGAGTAGAAGGATGGAACACAGGGCTGTACTGGTTGGCGCGCAAGCGCGAGCGCGCGCGCAGCGGGGGGCCGAGTTGAAATCTATGCACGGAGTTGTACGCCCAAGAACCAATTTTACTTAAAGCAGTCGCTTGAACCCGCTTTTCGCTTTCCCGTACATGGTGTTCCCCCTTTCCCCAAATTCTTGCTTCACTTTCACTTTTGAACGTTCGGATTCACTCGTTCTTTCTCCTTCTGAGAGCAAACGGCTTTTGTGGGACCCAGCTGAAACGGTTCTCAGCTTCTCAGCTTCTATATTTACATATAATCACCTCACTTTCGCTTTGAAACCTTGACATACCGACATTGTCTAAAAGACGAACCTACGTGTAAAAGACAACCCAAATCCAAGCAAAACAAAAAAAAAACATCGAAAAGAAAGATGTATTCCAAAACCCTCATCCTTGCCCTCCTGGCAACGGCATCCACCACCGTCGCCGAATTCGCAATCATAACCACTCCCCTCCCCACCAACCTCAACGTCCTCACAGACGTATGTTCTTTCTCCCCCCCTCTCTCTCTAAACAACACCAACTAACCCCACACCCAGCTCTCCGCCTACAAATCCTCCATCCTCTCCCAAGTCTCATCCGGCCTCGCCTCTCTAACCGGCGACCCAGCCGCCATCTCCAGCGCCGCCTCCGCACACAAAGGCCTAGCCTCCTTTGCCGCAACAGCCACCTATTCGATTCCTCCCAAAGTAACCGAGATCGGGGCGCTGGAAACTTTCTCCACGACGCCAGTGTGGTATAGTGCGCTGCCGACCGATGTCAAGGCGTACTATGACGGGTTCAACAAGGAGGTGCAAGGCTTGATTGATCAGGCCATTTTGGGGGAGAGGAGGAATGAGACCGAGACCCAGTCCGGAGGTAGTCGCCCGACCGGAACGAGTGGTGGCGCGGGTGCGAAGGAGACGGGAGGTGCTGCCGGTGTGCGTAGTGCGGTGGGAGTTATGGGCGCGGGTATTGCGGTTGCAGTTGCGGGTGTTTTGGCTTTGTAGGCGGCGGATGATGTTAGGGGGTGGGCGTGGATCAAGGATCCTCAATGTCCTTGCATCGTCATGACAGGAAGAGGCTTGGGATGTTAGTGGTATTTTGAATGATGCGGCCTTGTTCTGTTCTCTTCTCTTTCGAGATATCTGGGGCTCTGTCCCCTATCACCTTTTACGACCTTCTCCAACGATACATTGTGTCTGGACACAAGTCCCTGCACAAATACTATGCTCCGTTCATATCACGCTAAAAGTGAAAAGTGCTCTTACGTATGTTTTTCTTGTTTCGTTTCTGTACTTGATTATTATGGACGAGACCATCCAAGCTCGTTCGAATATTATGCCGTGACACGATCTATAAGAGTTACAATATGTAAACGAAAGGCAGAAGTAAGTAGTGCAAATAAAGCGCAAGTGTGCGGTCAAGACTCTGGAAATGGAAAATAGAAAGACTATGGTGCCAGGGGCAAAAAGCCAAATCGCCAGTGACTACAAGATCGCTAATGGAAGAAGGTGTAGGAAATGCACAGTGACCGGTATACTTTAGACCACTGCATGGGGCCATTGGGTTACCCGCGCCTTGCTGAGAAAATTGGCATTGGCAAAGGATTTGCCATACCACAGCTGAACCTCAACGCTAAGCCAGTCCACACAGCCTACATAGGCAGACACAGCTGCGCGATGCGGTGAAAGTTGCTATCTCGTCTTTCAACGACATGTTTACTGGCTCTTCTTCGAGCCATTTCTTCTGGGTAGGCCTGCCAGCCTCCTCGCCTCACGGTCACCTTCGGCAAGCCATTGACTTGCTGTCTTCATCTGCACCCCATTGATCCATTGCTTGATTAGCATAAATGGCAGCGCTACCACCATGAAGATCCAAGGGACAGTGGAATCCATCTTGTTTGCGCGAGCCATCTCCATAGCTGCAGCAGAAAAGGGGCTAGCGAAGAACATGGAAGGCTCCGGGGCCGCGGGCGAGCCGGGTTGCAGTGAAGACGGGTTCTTGGAATCGGAGAACAGGGTCGGCGAGAGGTAGGGTGAGCTGAACGAGAGAAGATAGAGGGCGATAAAGAAGACTTCGTTCATGGCGCAGAGGGTGAAAAGAACTTTCTGCAGATATTGTCAGCAACTAAGGCATGGAAAGGGATATGCAACCAAACGTTGCTACATTTTAGACGTACGTTGTTCGAGTAGTACTGCTTCAGCAGCCAGTTCCTGCTCTCGTCGACATTCTTGTGGCTGCGCGCGCTACCACCCATGCTTAAGGTGGCATACATGTGCATGTAGTGGCTTGCCAGGTCTAGGGAAATCAGTAGCTGGAACACGATGCTCCACCTAGGGAAAGCCTGGGCCAAGAAAACGAGCAGACAGGTTGTTGTACACCTGTCCGTGACCATGTCCAAAACGGCGCCAAACTTGGTGCTCTGTTCGTATTTGCGGGCGGCATAGCCGTCCAGTGCATCCAGAAGACAGGATACGCTGTAGAGGAGAGTGCATGTGCGTGGGTGGAGAGGCATGTAGTAGAGCGATGTCAAGGCAAGGAAGACGCGCGAGTAGCCTACCAGTCTGTTAGCTAAATAACAGGAGTTGTGTGAGAAGAGCGAGCATACCAATCAAGTTGGGAATGAAGAGGAAGATGTTCTCTTGGGGGCCCTCGTGCTCCGGTCTTGGGGGCCTCACTGCTGCGCCATTGCCGTTGCCATTGGCTTGCTGCTGAACAGATGCCATGATGGAAGAGACTGTCTCTGTCGCACTGTCGCGTACTGTAATCGCAAACTCGATAGGTGCTGGACTTTGTGGCCTGAGATGTCCCGGATTACCCCGCTGCGCTTACTCTGGGGTGAAGGTTGAGTGCGTGCGCTGCTTACGCTCTGACGTACCAGGCAACAGCGATGCGTGTAGTAAGAAGAGCAGATAGAGGCTCGGAATCCAGTAGTCGTATGTGATCCGGTGCAAGGAGCCAGAGACGACGCGTTGATGGTTGAGCGGAGTGTGTCGTGTGAAGCCGGCGACAGCTGTTGGAGCTGTGCGGGCCAGAAAGTTGTCGAATGTCTAGTCGGCGCCGATAAGCCGATAACGAACCTCTGGGCTGCAGGGGCTGCAAGGGTCGAGGAACGCAGCGTCGTGGGACGAACCACTGCAAAAGCAAAGTGAAGGTATGCAAGTGTCTGCGGGAGAGCGTGTACGTGTCAAAGAGCAAGCCGAGTGCAGGTTTGTGGTACCTGGAAATTGAGCGCCAGAATTCCTTCGCCAGTTCGTCCGTCAGGTCCCGACTACCCGCCTAAGCCAGATAGGGGCTTGCTTGGCACATGAGGTCAACCGCACATCAGCCCCATTGTCACGGTTGTCATTATGTAAGTGTACATTTCTCTGATCGTACTATGCAAAAACACTAAACCCAGCTTTATGCCTACTCCTTGAAGCCCTTGAAGCTCGACTTGGCTGCAATCTTCTTGGACTTGGACTTCATCTTGGACTGCTTCTCCTTTGCAGTTCTTGTGCTCATGCCACGATCTTCCTTGCCCTTCTTCCACTGTTTGCCCTCTTTGCGCACATCCTTTGCTTCGAGCTTCTTCTTGTCCTTTCCGCTAAGCTTCTTCTTCTTGTCCTTACCTCCAGCCGGCCCGTTGAGCGCTGCCGCACTCCTCTCCTTTTCAGCCAACTTCTCCTTCTCCGTCTCAAACCATGTACGTCTCGGCCGGGCCTTGATTTCATCTTCGTGCACAATCAAGTTTTCACCGCGCTTGAGATCCCGCTCAGTGACAGTCATGGCACGCTCCTCTTTTTCTTCTTCCAAAACCTCCTCAATCTCCTTCTCCATACTCTTGATCTTCTTCATCCATCTCTCCGTCTCCTCCACAGGGACTTGACGGCTGACCACCTTGGCTCCTTGCTCGCGCGATGCCTTTACCGCTTGCTTGACCACTTTACGGTCCGGCTCTGCGGCAAGTGTACATGCTCGACCGCTTCTTCCGGCACGAGCCGTACGACCGACACGATGCAAGTAGATCTCGTGCGTCTGAGGCGCTTCGTAGTTGATGACTGTTGAAACGTTCTTGATATCAAGACCACGCGAGGCAACGTCAGTTGCAAGCAAGTAAGATGACTTGCCGGAACGGAATGCTTCGACAGCTTGAATACGCTATGGGGTCGTCAGTATCGTATTATGTACATAGTGGAGAGAACAACTTACCTGTTCTTGGCTCATGTTACCGTGAAGCTCGCTTGCCTTGAGCCCACAGAGTGCGAAGACAACTCGAACCCTATGCGCCTCTTTCTTTTGTCTGAAGAAAACGATGACCTTCTCAGTGTAGATCTTTTCACAGATGTACATCAAATATGCGAGCCTCTTGTCTTCCTTGCCTTGCCTTAACCTCACGAATTCCTGCGTCAATCCCTTGACGGTCTGTTTCTTAGCATCAACCATGAGCCGCACAGGCTTGTCCATACCAATTCGAATCAGTTTGTCGACTGAGCTCGTCATAGTAGCGGAGAAGAGCATTGTCTGGCGTGATTTGGGGATGGTGGTGAGGATCTCGTTCAGCTGACTTTCGAAACCTTCTTCGAGCATACGATCGGCTTCATCAAGAACAAGGATCTCGAGGTTCTCAACTTGAAAGGCAGCCGTGTTATGCATGTGGTCAATAAAACGACCGGGAGTTGCAATAACCACGTCTGGCCTCGTCTTCAAAACGGCTTCCTGTTCGCGCGAGGAGAAACCACCAGCCATCAACGCAAAAGTGATGTCTGTGAATGATGCGAGCTTCGTAGCAACATTGAAACATTGTACCGCCAACTCACGCGTAGGCATGAAGATGGCAACACGTGTGGTCGGGATCTTCTTCTGGCGGTACAGCAGACGCTCAAGGATGGGGATAAGGAAAGCAGCTGTTTTACCCGAACCAGTCTCGGCACCACCAACAACATCTTTTCCTTGCATAGCGATGGGAACAGCCTTGCTCTGAATGGGAGTTGGCTCCGTGAAGCCAACGGATGCTAGGCCCCGCAGAATAGGTCGCGAGAGCGACATAGCCTGGAATGATCCTGTCGCACCTTTTGTGCCCTTTTTCTTTTTGATCGTAACACTTTCTTCGGGCGCGAAAAAAGCGGCGGCCTTCTTGGCTTCAACGGCGTCTTCTTGCTCGCTTGCATCCTCATCTTCTGTCTCGGCAGCCTCGAGATCCATAGGGTGGGGAACGTGAGGTAAATCTTCCCCTTCGTCTGCATCGCCGTCTGACCCATCCTCCTCATCAGAGTCCTCGTTTGCCCTGTCTTGTTCATTGTCTGAACCCTCCTCATCCTCTTCGTCTTCAGAGTCGCTGGGAGCACCCATACCGAAGCCGTCCTCCGCCATGAGCTCGTCGTCGTCGCCGAAACCCTCAAAGTCACCGTCGACCGAGGCATCTGAGGATTCTGGCTGGGCAGTCTGCTTTGCCTTCTGCTTATTCCGCCTGCGCTCAATGATGTCGTCGACGTCTACAGCAGTGCTCTTCTTTCCAGACTCCTGTGCGACCGTGCCATTGTCGTTTCCCCAGCCGTCGAACTCCTCCACAAATCCTGTATCTATATCGCCCACAGCAAACTCGAAATCGCTGGCAATGTCGTCATTTTGCTCAATGTCCTCGCCTGGCTGTGGCATTACGTTGTCGTCTTCACCATCTTCGGGTTCTGGTTCAGGATCGGTGTGCTTTCCATTTTTTCCCTTCTTCTTGTCCTTCTTTGCCTTCTTTGAGGCGACTTCCTTGGGCCTGACACCCAGGTCCGGATCCTCTGTATATTTCCTCTTCTTGCCAGCGCCTGCTAGCTTTGCGCTCACCGCCGCAGACTCGTCGGCGCCACCATCGTCGGACACATCGTCATGGTCGGAGATGGTGTAGACAAAATCGTCGTCGAAACTGGGCGCCATAATTCCGAGGAGGATTTGCAAAAGAATTGTCGCGTGTGTACAAATTTCACAAGTCCCAAGCGGTCGCAAAAAAAGTTCGGCCCCGGAGATCTCTGCTGCCGCATCCCTGCAAGCCAAGGTGGGGCGCCGCTTCCGCCGCGACTAACTCGTCTTGCACATGTACACTTCATCCACAACAGACCGACTGGATGCCATCACATACGCTTGTCCAGGCCATGGGACACGACACGGCATTTGTTTCTACAGATTATGCATTTCCCGGCTGACATCATGTCTTACCTAACACCACAAACGGCTTCGTTGCAGTCCTATCCAGGTTTCCAACAGCCCGTGCCCACGGACGCGTCTGTTGAACAGTGACAGACACAAGTTCATTGGCCAACGATCCCCCGCCGCATTCAGAAGCCATGTTGATCTGGCTCGCATTCAGCAATACCGAGGGCATTACTTGGACTAATATTGTATTCCCAGTCCTGTACGAGGAGAGGCTACCATGTACACGCTTGCGTTGAACTAACACTACTCTATCGGCCAACATGCTCACTGGCCTGGCATCTAACTAACTTGGCCCCCACCTCCGTTATTTTTACAGCCACATCATCACCAATATGTTGGATTCGAGGCCTCGGGGCCCTGACAGAATCATAGTCTAGCTATATATCATACGTCATGCACAGACAACCGTTGAGTCTATACTGCTTTTTGGGGAAACTACGGGAAAAGCGGCTATCCGTGGGCCACAACCGCCTTAGTATGGTGGCCTGAAGACTCTTTAGTTCGGGTCAAGCACGAACAATTGGCTTGGGGCCAAAACTTAGAATCCATAATGACATCGATAGTGTTGTACAATACTGCACACTATAAGCCTCTTCTTACTCCACTCGTACTTCTCTCAAATATAAGTACAGCTTGTAGTCTCGGTATAATTGAAGCACAACAACACAGTCCAGACAATCACCTTCTCTCCTCCTTCACTAAACCAACAACCCCTCGCCAACATGCTCTTCTCTCGCCTTCCTCTCTTCGCAACCCTCCTCAGCGTGGTCACTGCTTGGGAAGGTAAGCCATACATGCTTACCCTCTCATTTTACTGAACTAACCAATTCTGAAGCCACCTTCTACAATGCTCCTGACTGTGACGCCAACGGTCTGACAATCTACCGCATAATGACCTCAGACGCATACGGTGCCTGTATTGAACTTGACGGCACCTTATATACCAATGTCGAATGCCGACAATACATCAATGGCGGTGCTACCAATTCAGAATGCACCGACGACAACATCTTCCCAATCTCCACTCTCTTCACATATGACGGCACCTACCAGTGCCGCTCTTACTATGCCGCTGGCTGCGAGGGACTGTACGATGAGCAGTCAAAGCATGAAGTCGGTGCACCTTATCAAAAGGAATGCGCGACTTATACTAAGCAGTACAAGTCTTTTGGTTGTACCAAGTAGTAAGTTATCAAGTGGGCGCTTTCCTGGATATGGCATGGCTAATGCGTTTGTTATAGTTAGTCCTAGTGTTTGATCATCATGATATGATGTAAATGGTGAAATTTTGAGGAAGCGATGGACACGCGGTTTTATTGAAGACAAAAGGAAAATAGGCTGACAAGGTATCCAAAGCTCAGTGGACCATTAGAACCAATAGAATTGACGATATCTGAAAACGATATTACTACTGCTATGGATCAAAAGATAACAATATCACATGTTATACCACTACTTGTGCTTCTTGAACTACTCCCCATATACTCAGACTTCCGCTTCGGAAATACACTATCATATCTCTCCCGTATTTCCTCTTTGCGCCGCTGGTAAACTGATCGACTTCTAGCGCAAGGTGCTTACTATCTATCTACGTGTTCAGGAAAAGATAGAACGTTGATCACATTTTAAATTAACTCTCTGCAAAGACTCATAATCGTGAGTTAAATATGATTAAGACGAGACATCGCGAGGTACATCATGTACTGTAAATTGGAATTTCATACCTTATCATCAAAGCTACCTATAAAGGAATACGTTCGCCAAACAGTCTTCGCGCATTCTGAGCAAATATCCCAGACCTCTCAGCATTCGTGACAAACGGCGACGTCTGAATACCAATCAACGATGGGCCATACGTAAAAATTGGTGCATACGGGAAATCCGTCCCAAAAAAGAGATTTGTCGTCGAAATATCGTAAGCCAGGAGTCCTCCAACCTGGTGAAAGTACGTTGGGCCTGCAGAATCCCAGAAGAAACGTGTCTTTAGGACGTTCATAGTCCGATCGTAAATTGCTGGGAATGACTTCAAAAGCCGATCGGCGACCGAAGGAAACGCACCACCAACGTGCGGAATAATGTAGTTGATGTTGGTAAAGTTCAGCAAGGTCTGTGTAACGGCAAGGTCCCCCAGCATACGCGCTGTCTCGAAGTAGAATTCAATGTTTCCGGTAGGGTATACAGTCGGGTTGGCCTCGATCAATGTGCCGTTGACGCGTATATACGGTGTCGTGGGGTGCACGTATATAATTTGGCTGCTCCCACGCGCGTTCATTGCTTCGAAGAAGGGCTTGAAAGCAGAATCACCAAGATAGCGCCCTTCAAAGTTCGAATAGAGCGCAATACCAGCGGCTCCGAGCGTGTCGAGCGCGTATGTAGCTTCAGCGATGGCATTTGGGGTATATGGTAGCGGGACGACAGCGTAAAATGTGAATTTATCTGGGTAGGCCCGAGCAAATGCTGCAGATTGTTCGTTGATCAGTCGCGCAAGTGCAATTGTGGCGGCCTGATCTCCTGGGTATACATTTGCACCCGGTGCAGAGAAGGCTAGGACGGCTTGAGAAATGCTTTGGCTGGCCATGAAGTCGAGGTGTCCGGTTACATTCCATGATGGTGTGGGATTCCCGCCGGTTCTGGGAACAATTGCACGGTACCAATCTGGTACGCAATGCGCTATGGCTATTAGATGCAAGATTGGAATGTGAGAATTTGAACATACCATGAACGTCGATGAGTCCAGTGAGATTGGAAACAGCCCGCGCTGAGAGCTTTGACGTGACAGCATCGGCGTATGTGGAAGCTATACTTTCAAGTGTAGAAGATAGATCCAGACCCGGAACAGCCCCAAGGTCAATCAAGTCTGTGTGGCGATGATCAGAAGTCCTGCAAACGAATTTGTGGGTATTGGAATCGTACCAGCTTTAGCGCGTTGGGCGATGGAGTGAATGACATCTGGGGGTTCATATCTCTTGGGCGAACCGCTTACACAAGTAGCGAATGCAACTGCCCATCCGAGCAGGGTAAATGATCTCTGAATAGCCCTCATCTTGATGTGATGTGAATGAAAGACGGCAATGGTAGAGGACCTACAGATACAAATGTTTTTATGCCTTGCGTATAGTAATCGACAGGCACATGGCCCAGAACAGGGAAGCATTCCATCTCTAATTACCATCCAATGAATGCACGCTGAGCACGATCTGTAAGCAAAGGCACTGCAGTAGTACGGGTGGGAGTGGATAAAGAGGCCCGCGCTAAACTCAGATCTGTAAGACAGGCAAAGACACCTGATAAGCGAACTAGAACTCTGCAGCCATATATTTCTATGCGCAAATTGATTGGACTATTTGGTAAGCCGAGCCTTTCTTATTAGGCATCAAACCATGTCCTACTCAGCTATGTGGGACTGCTACCAGATGTGTCCGTGGAGTAAGGCACGCCACCAATATGATCGGCAGGCATCCCAAGTCCGCAGCTGACAGTGGGGCGCCGGTATCCCCACTTGATTGAACCAAGAATTTGATGAAACGTTCTTCAATTTTCCTTTAGAATAATTACGTGCCGAATTGCTTCTTGACAAGAAGTTTGCAATGAGATGGTCCAGCCCAGCATATTGTCGGTTAGCACAGTGTCTGTTTTCATCTGACAAGTCCTTTCTCTTGTACATGATATTCGAGCGTTCGCCTGAACCCTTCTTTTCTCCAGAGTTCTCTGTAAACAGTTCGTCTAGCATAAACTCGCCTTCTTCATCACGTTTTGTCTCTTTCAATTGCTACCGAGCTCTCTTGCGGACGGTGTCGACGGTGGTTTCTGTAAGAATGCATGATTACAGATTTCATGTAAGTGTTGGGAATAGTACACCTTTTCTTGAAGTTGTAGGTTGAACCTACCAATTTGAAATAATGGTACATGATATTAGCATCAAGCTCGCCGTTGTGCTGACGGACCTCCTCAAGAGTGCCTCTCATATACTATCGATGACGGATATCGAGTAACAAATAACGTTGGTAGTTTCTGGAATAAAATGCAAATCAGGCTGTTCTGATAGGATCGTATGCGGGCTGGTGGCGATACGTATCATGGCCTTGGCAATATCAGATTCCGGATGCTTGACATTGGCGCCGACACCGCTGGGTAACAACCTATTTATTCTTGCCAACTATGGTGATCTCAAAATTCACTGGAATAATGTAGTCATCATTGGCGAGCCGTGTTGAAAGATAGAATTGAAAGAACGATCTCAGAAGCGGGAAGAGAGACTTTGTCTATACATAAAGGTCGCCGTGCTGAAGTTCGCTGGAACAGACATTCGTACAATGTAATAATGAGCAACTACAAATATCCCAACCCAGAAAATCGATATTGCACGTGCTAACCATGATTTTTGAATACTTACCATGGTTCGCGCGTTTTTTGGAGTGTCAGTCGGCGAATTTCCGTGTTCGCAGTCTTTACCATTCAACCACTCACAGACAGTGCGTTTGATTTTAGGCCTCCTCAAGAGGCATCACTGATTCTATTAAAGCGTTCTTCAAACTTATTTCTACTGCGTATCTGTGTATGGGAATAATGCGATGCGACTCTTTACTATTTAGCAATGATAGCTTCTCATAACTTGATATGCATCAACAGGCTACTTTACGAGGAGAAAGACATAGCGTTTGTGATTTCTCAATACTAACTATAACGCACCTACTTCTCGGATAACATGGCTTCCTCGAGCGAACCGTCTTGCTCACGTGGATTGAACAGCTACCCAGACCCGTGGTGTGCAGTGTATTCAAACGTGGCGACCGATCCTTCTGGTATGAAGGATATAAACCACCACTCCAAAAACGAAGCCAATCCCAAGAATGAAGTCATCCCTACCCCCAACCGTATTACCGAATTCTTCTGCCAAGCGGATGGAACCTGTAGAATGCCTACTGTGAAACCGCTTGGACCCGACCCGTCGATTTGGCCTTCAACACCACCACCCCCAGACCAGTGGTCATCTTCCAACACAAAATGCTCAATAGCATGGCCTGACCTTTCAACCTTTCTACCCGTGCCACAAGGCCCCATTGAACCACCAACTTCTAAATATCGACTGAAAACCCGAGAACAAGAAGAACCGTGCGAGAAACTCGGCAGCGCCGTGTTACTAGAAGGCAGTATACCCTACTTTGGCACCGGATGCGGAGAATACGGTCGCAAAATTGATACCAATGCCATATGTCGCTTCTTTGACAAAAACCGCATGAGGAGACAACAATGTGCAAAAGAAGACACACCACTAATTTTCTCTTCCGTCTTACCACCGTCCACTCGGCAAGCCGCCGCTCCATCCCGCCAGCCCGATTCACCACTCATGGTCTGTGCATATCCTGCACCACCACAACCTGTGACACCATCCGCTTCAAGATACGAAACCTACAGCCACGCACTCGCTAGCCGCCCCTCCTAAATCACAACTCTGCCATTCCTTCCGCGCCACCCCCTGATGCATGAATTTCCCGCGCTGCATAGAGGTCCCGACCGGATGGTTGTAACGACGAGAGATGAGCAAAGGGAAGAAAAGACACTCTTTTCGTCAACGACCATTGTGGCTTGTCTGAGCAATATTCGCGGCGCGAAAAAGGGCCTAGACATGCAGACGACGTTTTGTTATCCGGGTAAATAGGCCTAGTAGGTATTTGTGAAGCTCCGTGTATGAGACATCTCGTCGACTTTCCACATCGGAGAAAAAGTGGTGGGGAAGTGAGCTGGGTAGTTTGGTTTACAAGGGAAGGATTTGTTTCTATACTTACTACCATGTCATGTGCACATGTCGATCTTTAGATCGCTATCACAGTGGGTACCCTTTTCTACGACTGCCAAGAGAGGTATGTATACCGGCTGATCAGGTTAGAAGCGTGACAAATTCTAGAACGCGCCCCGCATGGTAGCAAAACACATGTCGAAACCGCATCCACAGGTGGGTCTGGTGTTGTCCTTGGCGAGTACAATGAGAGAACTTGCCTTAGGCTTCTAGAATCAAGGCTTGGGCGATGAAGATGGCAATAGTAACGCGTGTGAACTAGTAGTGGTAATGATTAATATTTTATAATTATAATTATGATGAATAGGGTAGTTTCATCATGTTCTGTAATCTTTCCAGAAGTTGTGTGACGGAGAAAGGGGAGCAACACGTAGATGATCGTAGCCAGGATAATGAAGTTCAATAACATGAACAGGAAAAGCAATTGCATTATCATTCAAGGGTATTATCCTAACTAAGAAGGCAGGCAGGTAAAAGGCAAAAATATATGGGGGCATTCATCGAAACAGCAGTGGTGCGAGACGTAATATTCAGAGAGCGCTATGAAGCTTGCCTGCGAGCTCCACATACCTAGGCCAGGTATTTGTGAAAACAAGGTATTTGATGCTGTCGTATGCAGCGTCGAAAATTTCGTCTGTAAATTCACTCGGTACTATGCTCTTTGTACTCGAGGTGGATGATGATGTTGTGTCACTTCGGATACTGGTTGGGCGACTGAGCGTGTCTTCCCATGGACATACGACGTTTTCCCGGAAGACGGGTGATTGGATATCGTCGGGCGTTTTGCAGCGTGGCATATATGGGTCGAATTCTACTTCTGCGAAAACGGTTTGCAGCGTCTTGAAGATCTTGTATTCGATGTTGATGGCCATCTCAGCGGTAAAAGGGTTGACGAGCGTGAAGAAGATGAGGGACGCCTCGTTAAACATCTGGCGGCGTTGCGCTGTAGTGACGACCTTAAGGCCGGCCCATTTTCTCCTAAAGTTGCGCACTTCGCGCAAGAAGATACAGTTCTCGGCTGTGAACTCACGGGCTGCGGCCCAGGCGATGAGGGGCTCGATGCTGTGTTCGATGCTGAATTCCAGCGCTTGCATAGATACTTTGGTTCTGGCAGATTTGTCGAGGCTCTCAATTGGCGACTTTTCGACCAAAATAGACCGTGAAGATTTGAAAGAATCAGTTTCGGAGATTGAAGAGCGACGATATGGCTGCATCTTCAGTGCGTCCCGGAGAGGGATGACGATCAAGACTTGCTGGCAAACTATCAGTGATGGTATGAACCTATTCGGTAGAGTCAGTATCAAGATCGAAGCACTACGGGCAAAACCTAAACTTACCATCCTGCTGGTGCAAAGAATCTACTGACGCTGGTAGCGATTTCCATGTTTGAGTATGTGAAGGCGATCCAAAGTGGTGTTCCTGGTAGACTACACAGAATGTAAGTAACTTGAGTAAGGAACTGGAAAACTAAACATACCCAGCAATGATGGCGAGTCTTGTTTGCCAGGCCCACGAGTGGACGTCCCTGATGTCACGGATCTTCCATAGAATCCAAGGGCCCACTAGCATCGTCCAGAATAGTTGAACGAAAATCGATGGAATCCTGCACTATGATTAGTTCAGACGTCCATCTTTTCGCAAACGCGTCACATACCATTCACCCCCTCGACGGCACTTGTGGTAGTCTGTAGCCACTCCAAAGAAGCCATAAGACGCATGAAAACGGCGCGAACCGAAGAACAATATAATGGCAGGAATAAACTGTACTGGTTAGCGCAAAAAACTTGTGATCCAAGCAGGCAGCTCTTACTGAAAATGCTAATCCAGTCAAGGTACCAAAGTACACCTTCTTTGCTGCATCGAGATCTCGCCACGCTTCGTATAGCCCACGGGGGGTGTATGAGATGCGCTTCTTGCGTGCTCCTTCAAGGAAGTTGCGCGTCAACCGATTCTGCCTCTCATAGACTGTGAGAACCTTTGCATTGCAAGCTTTGAAGCGTTAGTAAAGGCGTATGGTTGTAAGCTAAAGATACTCACCCTGGAAAAATGCCATGCCAGATGGAAGGAAGACAGACATGATCCAGAATTCGGCTGAACAAGGAAAGAAGCCATTCCAAGGGTAGACAAACAGGACAATGCTGAGATACACATGGAGCATACAAACTGCTGCGAAAAGCACTTTGATGTTTCGTAGTTGTATGCAGAATGCATCACGTCGTCGATATAAAAAGTAGAGCTCTGCAGATAGTGTGATGGTGTAGAATATGGCGAAGACCATGTAGCCTATCCCAAGGGCGTCCATGTTCATTCTCCTCTCGCCATCTAGCGCTCGTGGGCGCATGACGGCTGCCATGACGACCAGGCTGTAGGATTGCTGAGTAAGTGTGATAGTTTCGACTGATAGTCAACGAGGTATGAAGATTTGAAGACTCGGATCCCCCCTCTTACTTAATGGAACGAATGTGGAGACGTGTTGCTCAGAGAACTGATTTCAACAGGTACCGAGTACACGGCCCAAGTCATGCAACGGGCCGCAGGGTGAAGAAAGCGACATAAGACTGCAGAAGGCGGGAAGGCGGTAGAAGGATTGAGTTTGACGGGCACATGGGCCTGTTCTGGCTAAGAGGGTCAGCGGGATGTGTTTGGACATGGCTCAGTGGCCTCAGTCATAAGCGCTTACTCGAAACTGGTAAAGACGGATGCTGCTCAGCCAGAACGATTGTATGTTATTAGTGTAACGGAAGGGATGCGCATCTGCTGCATGGAGAGACGTGCAAACGCTGCATGCGGGTAATTGTCACAAGGCCTAACGTGCGAATAGAGGCTGCTACCTTGTCCTATTGCTACCGCTACAAGAAGAGACAAGTCTGATTGGAACCGCTAGATGCATTGGTCAACTTGTGGTGTCTGTATATTTTGAAAACAGCAAGATGATTGGATGGAAATGTTGAGCATGGGGCACCTGGGTGTGTGGCTCTCGTTTGTCTTGGATCATCGCGTCCCAGTTCAGACGTCGGAGGTTTCAAGAAGCTCCAGGAACCCCAGGAACCACTGTCGACTATCACCCCCGCACTGCATCTACCGTTTAACGGGCTCAGATGCATCGTTGCACTACTGAATTTCACCGCTTTGACCTAAGCTACAGGTAATCCAAACTCCACTCGCTTGGAACTCCTCTGTTCAATAAGCGTGCTGTTAGTATTGACCGACGTCACCCCGAATATCACCATAGCATCCATGGCACACTGCATCGCCGTACACGCTAACAGTCGCGACTTCGGCAGCCTACATAGCACTTATTGATGCAAATCGGCTTTTATTGTACGGAAGATCTATGCCGCTCAGTAGTTTCAGTTTCGATTGTACCTCTCTCCATTAACCGGCAGAAAGTCTGACATTCATGCGTTCGTTGACCCTTCGCAATTCCGGAACATTGAAAACACAACTCTACGTCAAGTTGGGTTCAAAACTCCTGTCAGTCTTGAGATGGTTTCAAGTCCGGTCTGATGGGAATCTGGCGGAATTCTTCTCGCCGAGATGTCATCGCGTCTGTCAAAAGCGTCATTGGACGTGGCATCTTCGTTGAGGCTTCACCTGCCTTTTCAGGCCGTGCAGAGGATTGTGGCGATCCCTGAAAACTGAGGCATACTACATTTCAGATGGCTATAGTTGCTCGGTTCAAAGAACCGCGTCGTGTGACAAGGTATTCAACGACGCTGTACTCCAAATGGAACCACGCCGGTTGGCTCAAACCTCTTGAGTAACTTGAAATAGTTATGCATTTTGCAGGAAGGCCACATCTTCATATATTTTCCGCATATGTAACGATAGTTGCCTGAAAATCGATGCAGCAATGTTCAGGAGACTGATAAGATATGCACCTACCCTAAAAGTATATTCACATACGCGAGATTATGAAAGTCTTGCTCAACTTTGTGCAACATTCGAAGCCAGTCAATCTTGCATCATGATATTGAGCACACACTACCCTACGGCTTTCTGCATATACCCGTCAACCCGCGTTTCCCCCACGAACTGCGTGACATGGCACAATAAGTTTGCTGATGCTACCGTACATAGCTGTCTCGAATCCATTCTTGATCTTCACTAGGAGATATTATAGTCATTTCGCCTATCCAATAAGACCTAACCACTCGTCTATACGCGATTTCATTCGGTGCATGGGAATCTGTGGAGAAAAGCGAATCACGATCTTCCGTCACTGTCGTATGTCAAGCACAAGTACACAGAAGTGATAGCGAAGCTTACTTGACAGAACTTTGTCAAGAATCTTCGCTCCGCTGTCACTCAGTGCTGAGTTTGTGATTAAGAACAAACTGAAGTGCTCAACCCCACATCTATTCGACTTGGCTGAGCGGCTCGACAGACGCACATTATCAATACGTTCAAGATTAGGCACTGCTGTTAGTATTTTTAACAAGACAACTACAGAAGATCCCATTACTAATACGTGCACCCCTCTTGTAAATGCAATTGTGTCCTCCAACTTTAACCATGGTTAGATGATGACAAAACTCGATCAACCACAGTTGAGAAAATACATAGCAATGAATATCTGCATCTATAGCTGCCTATGAATAATATATACTCTGTAACTCCCTTCAAAGCCTTTCAGAACATACACACACGCTCTCAGAAATAGTCACGTATCCAACATACCCAAGATGTTCCATCAAACCCATGTAACTCTTAATAATGTCTTCATCACACCTTTCCAGACTGTTTTCACCACACATTTCCAAACTACCTGGCTCCTCCCCCCAGACTCGCCTCACCCCCACCAAATTCCTCACTAAAGAAAATTCACGCAATTACCTAGCCTACGCATGGACCGCACGTCGAAAATGGACCCTCCTTACCGTCATCTCATCATGCCAAACCAGCATAACCTTCAACGCAGCCAGCTATTCCAACGCCATCCCCTCGCTGAACACGTATTTTGGCACCGACAATGCCCAACAGGGAATAACAGCCTTCCTGATCTCGCACGCGGTCGGGTGCAGGCTTTGGCGCCCGTTTTCAGAGGACATGGGTCGTAAGTCAGTCACGCAGGCTTCTCTTGGTCTGACCAATATGTCCGTCCTGATTGGCGCATTGTCAAAAAGCTTTAGTGGAGTCATTGGAGGGAGGATTATGAGTGGATTGTTGTCGGCTGGGTGCGACGTAACAATGAGCATCATCGAGGATATATTTGACGAGGACGAGCAGTTCTGCGCCGTCTTGTGGGCATCTCTCTTCACCTGTCTTGGTGCTGTCCTTGCTGGCTTTGCGAGAGGCGTAGTTCAACAATTTCTTGACTAGCGATGGAACTTCTGGATCCAGCTTATTCTTGGTGTGACTATACAGTTGCTTCACTGGCTGTTGGCGGAAGAAATGCGGGCGTCGGTTCTGCTGGATCGTGAGGCGAAAAGGCAAAGAGAGGAGGGCAATACAAATGTTTGTGGACCCAATTACGACAAAGCCTTGATGGAGATGTTTCAATGCGACAAATGGGTCATGGCAATGCTCCGGCTGTACGAGATGCTCATTTTCGAGCCTATCATCCTACTCTTTACTCTGCTGAGCGGCTACATCGATACTCTCATCTTCTCCTTCGAGAGGCACAGCTATCTCTTCCAGCAGTGGTTGTTCACAACTACGAGCGTTTCCTTCATTCTTGTCGCATTAGCGGCCTCGTGTGTGGTGGGTTACTTTACCTTCTTCCCTTTTATCAGTCACCACAACACGCGACGCACCAAAAGCGAAATCGTTCTCAGGGCTCGCCTCAATCGTCCTCTGTACTAAATCATCTGCCTTCCACACGGTCTAATCATTTGCGCTTTTGCCGTAGCAGGGCCGCCGCTCCACTGGTTTGATGTAGTTGTCGTGTCTGTTCTGGTTGGAATCGCAAACATCTGGTTGTTTTTGGCTTTGCTATTTCATTCTGTGTGCCGGTACACGTCCCGTACTTTAGGGGTCCGAAAGTCTGCGTCAAACCCAGATTTCCAAGATATTCAAAAGCCAGAAGGGGCAGTGTCAATGAAAGGAGGATTTTGGGATGAAAGAGTACTGTACATAGTCGGACTGTTGGGATACTAGGGCGGTTTGGATATTTCGAGGAGCGTAGGCGCAGGTAATTAGAATGTATATACATGATTCAAGTAGTTGAGGAATATTAACCGATCATTTTCCTAAATGTGACTGACTAGAGAACGATCTTCGTGTGTTTCCGATGCCTGTGGATATAGTGTACGTCATGGTAACATAAGCGACGTCCCTATCGAGCTTCCGACAACTTCCAATCTTACACCACCTAGGATACAACATCATGTCATTGACTGTAATGCAAGAATTTATCCTTGTGTAGATCTTCATAGTCTCTAAGTTTAAGATGTAGTTTACGTACTGCTGAGCCCACGGCTCAAGTCTAACAACCTCTCGCTCCATCCAAGCATTTCATACAGTTCCACGCGCAACCATGGCCCAAACAAAACCCAAAAATATTGTTATCGTAGGAGGCTCACTAGGCGGTCTCATGGCTGGAGTCGCATTGAAGCGTCTGAGAAAAGACCTCAACATCCGCATCTTCGAGCGCAACCCAACCCCCCTTCTCCAAGACCAAGGCGCAGGCGTCGTAGCCGGCCCAGAAGTGCAAAAGTTCTTCGAAACCCACGACCGCACCCACACACCACTGACAGTCTCAAGCCACCAGCGGCAATATCTCGATAAGGAAGGAAAGATCATCAGCCGCCACGACCAAGATCAACACATGACAAGCTGGGACCTCCTCTACCACCTCCTCCGCACAAACTACGACGGCACAAAAACCGACTACGCTACAGTCCCCACCCCGGAACCCGGCGAGGGAACAACATCCTATGAATACGGCTGCACAGTCACAAGCGTAGACGCCCCGTCCTCATCCTCATCCTCCCCAGACTACTCCAACCCCATCCAAATATCCTACACCCACACCTCCGGCACCTCACACACCACCCCCACGGACCTTGTCCTCGCCATCGACGGCCCCAGCTCCCAAATCCGCACTTCCTACTTCCCCTCCACAACGCGCACCTACGCCGGCTACATAGCCTGGCGCGGCACCCTCCCCGAGACCTCTCTCTCAACCCCCACCCACTCCCTCTTCACCAACACCTTTACCTTCTATCATGCCCCCGGCACCCAAATCCTCGCTTACACGATCCCTGGGTCCCATGGCACTACGGTACCGGGGCAGCGCTTGCTAAACTGGGTCTGGTACGTTAATGCTGCTGAAGATTCAAAGGAGCATGAGGATGTGATGACGGATGTACATGGAAGGAGGCATCATATCACGCTTCCGCCTGGCGCTATTAATCCGGGGATTTGGGAACGCCAGAAGAAGAGGGCGGGAGAGATGTTACCGCCGCAGTTTGCGGAGGTGGTGCGGGGGACGGAGGTTCCGTTTGTGCAGGCGATTACGGATGTGATTGCGCCGGGGGCGGTGTTGGAGGGAGGAAGGGTGGTATTGCTGGGTGATGCGCTTGCGGGGTTTCGACCGCATACTGCAGCGAGTACGAACCAGGCGGCTTTGGATGCCATGTCACTTGCTGGGGCGGTGGAGCGTTTGTTGGGAGGGGAGATGAGGGCGCTGAGGGAGTGGGAGGCGGAAGTTATGCGGTATGCGGTTGAGATGCAGCGACGGGGGGTGGAGATGGGGGATAAGAGTCAGTTTGGGGAGCATGAGATGCAGAGATAGAGAAGCTCTTGTTTGGTCTGGGTTGGGATATTTTTGTACAGTACATAGACACATTTACATGGAATGATGATCCCAGACTCCTCCCGTGCTTTAAGATGAATAGCAGTGGTTATTAATTTCTTTCAAGCCCCGCATTGTCTATATCCAAACACCTGTCTGTCTAATCTTCAGCAGCATCCGCCTCCAGCTCATCAGGTCCCAATTCTTCTCTTGCACCTCCAACATCACACTCATGAATAATCTTTTTCCAGCCCAGGGGTTCCGACGGATCTTTGATGTGCTCGATGGTAGGGAAGTAGTGCTCGTTTTTCTTCATAGTAGCGACCCAGGGAACATTATCAAACGTCATGACCTTCATGCGGAAGTACTCGTTATCCTTAATCTTCTTGATTTCGACGAGGAAGGCGGATAGATTAGGCGTGGGTACATTGTTGACGTGTGTGACGAAGTTTGTAGGTGCGAGCTAGTGGTACTGATTAGCAAAGGAAGATACAGAAAGAGAAGTCGACAAACTTACCCCGTACATGTATGCTGGTGAGCCACGGGCCCGCGAGGAAATGTAGACGTCTGAGTGGATTTTGCTAATTTGCTGACGCACGGCTTGGTGGGGACGGTGGAAAGTGGCACCACAGAAGCTGACTAGGCGGTCGGTCTCGAGGTCCTCTGTAGGAACAGTCGAGACCTTGATGGTCTTTTCTTCACGTTTGCGTACAATGACTGCGTCGAGTACTTCATTGTTGTACATAACGTCCAGATCCGGAGAGCGGGTTACGAGTTTGCCGTTGAGCGTCAAGAGGACGTCGCCCTCATGAAGACCATCGCTGTGACCCGAATCCACCTTCCGGACCATGAAGAGCTGATGGCGCTCTGGATCGGCCGTTTCTGTCTTTTCGATCCATTCCTCTGAAACACCCATGACGCGGGCCTGGCTCATCTGGACCGTCTGGAATTCGACGTTCAAGATGCGAAGTTTTGGCGTCTTGCCGCTTCGGATCTCGTTGAGTACCGGAAGAAGGTTGGGTGTCGCAAGACCGAGATGGTATTCTACGTCCTTGCCACTATGCGAAGTTCGCTCACCCAAGTATGAAAGCCAGAGAGCCTGGACAGTGCCATCCTCTGCAATAAGCACACCGGAACCGCTATGTGAAGCCTGGTTTGTGTCTACGGTGATGGCATCAAAGTTGGTCGCGCGGTACCGCGGCGTGATTGCACTAGCCGGAATAGCAACAGTAGTAATATCCGTGACAACCGTCTTAGCCACGACGGGTCGGAAGTTTTGGTTGATACCAAAGAAAATGGTCTCAGCACCCTTCTTGATGAAATCCGTCGCAAACTTGGGAGTCTTCACAGGTGCATTGACTAACGAGGCATCGTACTTGACAATGACATAGTTCTGTAACGGGTGCATAAAGACAACCTTTGCATCAACAAAAATGCTGTCGGCGATGATCAAGGATATGTCGCACAGGTCGTAGGGCAGGATTGCTCTCGAAACAAGGACAAGACCCTGGTCGGCATCAACCACAAGACCATAGCCCTGTTTATTCAACTTGGGGAAGCCGTCAAGTTTGATAGGCATGGAGACGTGCACGCGTACAAAACTGCGGACAATGTCTACAGCCTCTGGATAACTAGAGCTCATCTTGACAAAGTTGGCACGGCGTGGGACTGGGGGCACAGGTGGTATGGCATCGGCAAGTGGGCTAAAGTCCCACAAGCCAGTCGTATCATTGCGAGTTGCTACCCGAATCTTTGCGTGCCAATGCCTATCGATTGCAGTAATGCTGGTGTTTGCAGTGTGCAGATCGCGCAGGTGCTTGTACATCATGACGACTCGCTTGCGGTCGGGGATCTTCTTCATGACTTGAATGAAAGTGTCTAGGTCTGGTGTTGGCTGGTTGTCAACTTCTTGAATCAGCCAGCCAGACGTGTAGCCATCAGCAAATCTGAATGAGCCGGCTGCCTCACACACGTACACACCCGCACCCTTAAGCGAGATAGCGTAGAGGCGAGCTTGTTGGTACGAGAGGTCGTGGAACGAAGCACCTGCAACAGAAACAAACTTGTCGGGGGTAATGGCATGGAGGTCACCGACGTCAATCTCGACGTCCATGTTCTCTCCTGCACGCTGAATGGTCACAGAAATGGTTTGGCCCACATGCTCATCCAGGATTGCATCCAGACGGACAAACTGGGTGAGTAGCTCTCCATTGACGCGGAGCAGAAGATCACCCTCTTCGACCTTGTTCGATGCAGGACCTTGGGGGAGGACAACCTCGGCAACCAGCATGCCCGTTTCTTTGGGGAACTGGGTGCGGATATCCTTTTCAAGTTCAGCAGAGAGACCCAGTCGCCGACACTCGTCGAAGGGCTTGAGTATCCACTGCGTCTGGATGGTGCCTCTGGTGACGTGCTTGCCTTGGCGGATTAGCTCGAGCGCGCGCAGAGGGCGGTCCAGGGGTAAGAAATAGTCGGTTGCAGCACCGTCGGCGCGTCCACCCGCCTGCAGCGCAACAGCATATCCGTCGCGGTCGACCACAGGACTGCCCGAAGAACCTCCGCTAGCGGCAGCAGCGGCCTGTATGTAGTTTGTGTTGAAGTCGGAGTAGCCCTCGCCGTACTCTGGCGCGTTGCGATCCAGTCGGCTAATGACGCCAGACAGAATACTCAGCTTCTCACCAGCGTCGTTACCAACCACGCGAATCTCAACGCCAACCTTTGCATTGTCTGGGCGCAGCTTGAGGGCGGTGACGGGCATGTAGCGAATTTTTGAGGGGTCGAAACGCAGGATACCGAAGTCGTGTACAGGATCGCGGTAGACGGGGTAGACATCGCACTCCTCGTGGTTGTCGAAGATGCAGTAGCCGATAAAGGGCCCGGCGCCCACGACATGTCTGTTTGTGAGGATGTAGCCCTGTTCGGCATCGACGACGAAGCCCGTGGCCTCTGAGCTGACTGCGGGATCTGTGTCAAAGGAGCATGTCTGGCAAAAGTGAATCGAGACAACGCTCTTAACCACGTTCTCGATGGTCTTCTGCCACTCGGCCGTGTCAGGCCCAGAGGCAGCAGCAACGTGGGCAGGCGGTGGCAGGTCGTCGGCGGCGCTATATTCGCTAGGGGCGTCTTCCATGGTGTCGTCGTGGCCGTTTGTCACGCGTGCAGAGGGTTCGGGCTTGATGTGCTTGAGGGGGCGGTCGGTGGCGGGCGAAGTTGGGGGTTGCTTGCGCTTGACGGAGCCATTGTGGTCCATTTGCGGCAGTGGGTGGAGCAGGCGGCGGGCGCAGGCGAGCACAGTAGTACTGGGCAGCCTGGCAAACGGGCGCGCGTGGAGAAGAGCGAGCGGTCGTCGTCTGATTGCGCAGAGAGTTTTTGTGCAGGCGGCGACAGAGACTCGGCCAAGCAGCATGCCAGCCTGGGATCAGTTTGCAGAGGCTGACGCTGAGGCGGAGGATGCGGACGCAGACGACACACGGCACGCACGGATCGGGGGGTTCAGGCGGCCAGGCAGTGCCAGTGCTGCTGCTGCTGCTGCTGCTGCCAATTGCACACGGGGAAACTGGGAGAGAGCACGCGCACAAGGAAGCGCAGGCGACGGTGAGGACGGAATGGCCGCTGGCTGCATGCAACAAGACATGCTACTAGTAAGTAGTACGTAGTTTGCGCATCCGCCCCCTGCTCGCCGCCCGCCGCCCGGCCATGACTCAGCATATGCGGCATTACCTAATGCTGCATCCTCCCTGCATCACTACTCTTGCATCCATCTTCCACTATGCTTCATTCATTCATTATTCCATTGAATCCATTGAATTGTCCTACTACGCCCTCTGGCAGTCCCGACTCCATATCGCCAGAACAAGCAACAAACATGCTACTTGTCAATAGAACAAAGACCGCCAGATGTCTCTGCATACGTGGACGCACCCCACTATTAACACCCACCTCTCGTTGGGGCTATCGCAATGGACTTATCAGACCCCTACAGGAGAAAAAGTTGCCTAAAAAGCCCCCATCCATCAAGGCACTGTCCAAACTTTGAGTAATATACTCAGGAATCTCCTCCTCAGGAATCTCTTCCTTAATCATGAGTTCATTATCAGCACTGCTCTTGTTCTTATTCTTATAGGGAGTTGCCTTATTCTTCTTAGGCGCGCCCTTGTTAATACCATTTTCCTCTTCATTGTCGTTCTTGTTCTTGCGCTTGTTCGTCGTCTGGCCGTTGCTAGTCTTCGCTTCTTTCATGCGAGCAATATCCTTCTTGAACTGTTTCTCAAGACGCTCGATCATTCTCTTGCAAGCTGTGTCAGTTCGACCAGCTGGCTTAGGCGCATTCTGTAGTATCGAGTCAGTACGTGAACGCATAGCCATTAGCTACACTCACTTACTTTGATCTTGGCTTCAAGTCCGCCCTCATTTCCGCACAGAACGACGAGATACGCTAACTATGTATTAACTTGTCAGCTAGTGCTATTGTGCATGGATGGAGACTTCCTACCTTCTTGTCATCAGTCCACCTCTTGCCACTCACGTCTGTCTCACTCGACTCGTTCTTGGTAGCAGGCATGGTGTTGATTTGGTGTCGACTTGGTATTGACTTGATGTAGGAAAGTGCTGTTGCGATGAGCTGTTGCTGTTCGTGCTGCTGCTGTTGCTGCTGCTAGGTAGACTGTGGTAGAGAGTAGTGAGAAGAGAGAGCGTGATAGCAAGATATAAGAAGGATGTCAAATCTTAGGCTGCTTTTAAGTAAAGGTAAAAGAGACCCTAAAATTATTCTTACTAAGCCTTCTCGCAGTGACGTGTGATCATGGTCAAGAGAAGAGGGAGAGGTGAAATGAAAGTGAATTCTTTTTTTACTAATAGATATTCCTAATGTCTCAGCATAGCTAATTAGTACAGAGCTTCTTAGAACTAATTACATTGCATTTAATTGTGTGCGAAACCTTTCTAGGACTGATTGTAATGTGCAGATAAATCTGCAATAATTAGGAAGACAGGATGAGAACAGAGGTAGAGTAAATGCATATGTTTGTGGAAGGGGACAGAGCACACATTCGACGAATGCATGCAACATCCGTGCAAAGATTTTAGGAATCTCTTTACCTGGATAGCGCCTAATCATGTAGGGAACACTGAAATGTCCGCCTGCCCAACCAGCTGGCCAGAAAACGAGCCCTCCGTAGAAGCCATAGGAAGCATCAGCTCACACACGCAGTAGGTATTTAGAGTAAAAACCTAGCCATTACGTGACCAACACTAGAATTACCACCAGATTAGACTAATCAAACTATCCAGAAAACGAATTTAAAAAAAAATCAGCTCTCCGTTGGAGCGCTTTATGTCATATACAAGTATAAAATCGGTAACTCGAACAGCCTAACAAACAGTGCTGAAGGAGGAGCGCCGCTTAAGCAAATAGATGGAAAGAGTAAATGGAGCTCAAGCCGTACTTCCCTTCAGCACCACTCGCCGGGCTATCAGAGTTACCTATTTTATATCCACAATTCTATTCCACACTCACCACACCCTACATCTTCCAAAACAGCAACAAACCCCCACACCACCCCCGCACCTCTCCAACACTGCCCCGCACTTCCTTCCCTCCTTCCCTCCTTCCCCAAGCAACACCACCACGACAACCCAATGCTCGAAATCGCCGCCTTCACCGCCCCCTCCGCCATAACCGCCTCCCGCACCGGCGCCTCGCGCATCGAACTCTGCACCTCGTACTCCCTCGGCGGCACCACCCCCCCTCTCTCCACCCTCTCCCTCGTCCGCAGCGCAACCCACCTCCCCATCACCGTCATGATCCGCCCCCGCGGCGGCGACTTCGTATACACCGCTTCCGAGTACGCTGTTATGGAATCCGAAATCGACAGTTTAAAGGGTCTGGCTGATGGATTCGTATTCGGGATTCTAGATACAGAGGGAAGAGTGGATGAGGAGAGGTGTACGCGCCTTGTGCGGTTGGCAGAGCCGCGGGCGTGCACGTTTCATCGGGCGATTGATGATGCGAGAGATTTGCAGGGGGGGGTTGAGGCAGCCGTTCGGTGCGGGTTTAAACGTGTGCTAACGAGTGGCGGGGAGAAGAGCGCGGTGGAGGGGTTGGAGAGGATACGCGGGTTGCAGGAAGTGTTTGGGGGGCGGATAGAGATTATTGCGGGGGGAGGGGTGAGGAGTGGGAATGTTGCGGTTGTGAAGGGGATGACGGGGGTTCCGTGGGTGCATTCTGCGGCTGTGACGGGGGAGGGGGAGGAGGTGGATGGGGATGAGGTTAGGAGGATTAGTGGGGTGCTGGAGGGGATATAGGGGTGTGTGTTCATTAGGTGTTGTGTATATACGTTAGAAGCGTTGCTATATATAAGTACATATGGTGTGGGTGTTGCAAACGTCTGGTTTGAAAATTAATCAGATTAGATTAAAGCGTACATGAGAGCACCGAGAAAAGACATTCCAAATGAGGCAGTACCATCAACTCCGACATGTCCTGCGCCTCCCGTCTTCGTAGGTTGAGCATCTGTCCTCGTCTCCGTCACAACGGCCGTTCTACCCGCAATAGTCGTAGCTTGCGTGATGGTTGTAGCAGGGATCGTAGTCTCAATCTGCTGTCCGCCCACAGTCGCCGTAGCAACAGATTCAGCGACTGTTGTTGGTGCTGTATAGGTAACTGGAGGGAGCGTAGTAGTGAATACAACAATCGAACCCAGTTGTGACACAGGAATGGCACCGCCAACACCCGTGCCAGTAAACTGCGGTGGAATCGACATGGTCGATGTATTTGGCCTCTCTGCCTCGTTGCCAGAGTAGATATTTGCGCTCTGTCCGTCTTTGGTGTAGTTTCCACTAATCAGATTTACATCCGTGCCGCCAGAATGGTAATCTCCTGTTGCGATGGTGCCGTAAGAGCCATCTGGAAACTGAAAGTTGGTCGTGAATTTATCGTAGCACATTGGGATGTTGAGGTTCTGGAGGTTCACGCAGTCGAGACTAGGGTGGCAGGCGAAGCCCTCTGCACGCTCGTTTATAGAACGCGGCTCAAATGAGATGCCTTGAACTGAGGCTACAACATTGGTGTAGAGCGAGCTGAGGCCTGGTCCGACCGAGGGAGGTGTCTCGGTTGTTGCGCCGTTGGGTTTGCAGGCCTTGTAGGAAGCTTCGTCGTCTTTTTGGAATCCTTCGAAAGGCGATGCAGCAGCCACGGCGGCAAGAGCGAGGGATAGGTATTTTAGGGTCATGTTGACGTTGTGGTGGTGGATTATGACTGATTATGGGTATTGCACAATGTAGTGCTGAACGATCGATGAATACCACAACTGGCAATGAATGGCGAGGGAAAAAGAACGGACACCTGAGCGAAGGGCGACGGGTTGATCCAACGGCTAGGGAGAGGCGAGGGCGGCCCTGAATCTATATATCGCGACTGCAGCCCTTACATGCGGTACTAACAGGGTTCGTTAGACTGCTTTTTCCTTCCAGAGCTAGCCAACAACGAGTATCACGCGTGCGACAGGCATTATCTAATCAAAGGTACGCTAGTATACGAGGACAGTCGTCAATCGATTAGAACTACTCCTCGTTGCGCATTCACCAGATTTATCCCATCTGAATAGAAAACCGCATTTGTATGTGACTCGATGAAGAGCGAGTTGCGCACTCAGTGAAATCCGCCTCTCATTTCCAAAATCCTCTTCGTGTTCGCAACTTCTTGGAAAAAACGGTAACGGCAATCCAAGATTCTGCACCAAGGAAGCGGTTTTATTGACAAGGGGTTCGACACGGCAAGGCGGCAACAAGTGGAGTACAGCAACACCGTCTCATTCGCCAGAGGCACACCTAAACAATATCCCATTTTTTCTTGCCCTCCAGGTTAAAACCCGCCCTAAAAAGGCGCCTTTGACTCGAACCATCAATTGCAGACTGGGCTCGCTTTCTGTTTGGGTTGGAAAAGTCGCAGTTGGGCCAATAAAGAAAAATGCGGGTTGCAACGTCATAACGGGACGCCTTGTTCCCAGCAAAGAGGGTGCGGCTGGTTGGTTCCTGGCGGTGTATCCACTGCGTTGTGGGCACCAATTTATGTCACATGCAGTGTTCTCCCAGGGCTACTCCGTGCACTAGCAAGCGATAGGATTTTTGTTAAAGTGAAGTTGAACACGTCTTGACGTGCTACTGGATGTTCCGATGGAGGTTGCGCGGAAGTCGTACCATGACTCGTCTCACACGAATCGAGTTCAGCCTGAACGCATCTGCTTGGAATGACCTTAGGATCTTACTTTCTCAAAGTACCGTAAGCGATGCATACATATACCTTTTTTTCAAGCCGTTTTATCGTAACGAACCACGTGCGCCCCTCTCTGTACCCCGCCATTTGCCAAGCAGCGTGCAGTCGGCTTAAAATAGCATCTGAGCATCCAGGCAGGTACCGGTGCGAATTGTTTCAATATGCCGTAGTATCACCGAGGTTGCGACTGTAACGGCATGTTCATGCTACTGGTATGCAGGGACAAAGCAGTGCATCCGGACAAGATGTGGACTCAGGATTCCCGAGATCCGCATCTCTGCAGTGTGGATCATTGATATCCATATGGAAAAGGGTCGAGAAGCTTAGCATAAGTACTATTTGAACAGCAGCTGCGGCAACTAATAAGATGAGCAACCAAAATCTTGTAATATATCTCATTCATCTTCGCGAGAGGACTTCATATCAGATCTACGGTATTGTCGATACAGCCAATCAACTCAATCCTTTCTCCTACTGTACTGTATAGAAGCCCCTCAGCAATGCTGCTATGAACTGAAACTTGCAACAGTTTATTCGAATGTCAACTGAGCTTCTAGAATGAAACACGACAATGCACGTGACTATTGGTTTGAAACTTATCAACTCTCAAACACGATATTGAGAACAACTGGCCACATGAGCAAGCCAAGTACAATGCAACCTTCATGGCAGCAATGCATGCACTCGACGCATTTACACCCCACCCCCAGCTTTCCTGCACAAAGCACGCCAAGCTTTATCTAGACCCGCAATGCCAAGTTGCCTTGAAGCTTGGATGATTCAGACTGAGAGAAACATGAATCGATGCGTACACTATCAAACGTGATCCGGTCGTGGGAAAACATGCGCTAGAAACACAGGATAACTGCCGGGGCCAACACGAACTCAAGGAGACAAGTCCTCTGGAAAGTGTTCAATCGCCCTAAGACAATGGCTTCGATCGGAGGAAATTATCGAAAGAGCTAGTATAGATCGATGGTTCGGTAATCGGAGATAGAACTTGGGGCGGGCTGAGATGGTGCATGGCTGGTCTTGTTGTTCACCTCGGTCGAAGTGCATTGACATGATTGACAGCCACTCGAGGCGCAGCAGTTCCGTGCGCAGCCTTCGCATCATGCAATTGCAATCAAGATGCCGCCGTCAGGATCCGGATCGGCAGAACTTGTACACTACCGTACTCTACCTGATGCTGGAGTCTGGGAGGGGGGAGCAGATGGACGAGACGCGATCAAAACACTGGCCAGACCGGGTCCAAGCCACGCCCAGTGACATCATGGCGCCCGTACCTGCAGCGACACGCAACCTGGGTTTTTTGTATAAGTAAGCCTGCTGCTGTCCACCACTCAACACTACACTACGCGTTAGTGTGGCTGTGGCTTGCGACTGCTACATATTTCTTCCGGGCCTCTGTCTTCCTGCCCTCGCACTCACTTGTCTTCTTCAGCCTGCCATTCTTTTCTTGAGGAAGAGTAGCACGTCTTGGCCTCCTTGGTTCCACTCGCTGTCATCATTACAACACCAGCATGGTCCACCAACGCACATGGCAGCACGCGCTGCAACTCGCCGCGACTGTTGGTCTTGCCGGTGCAGTTGCAATTCCAGAGCCGACGGCTATCCCAGCAAGGGTGGTTGAGGCCCGTGAGCCACTCGTCACTCCAGCCGCGGTCCGATTCGACAGCCGCATGAGCTACGTGCAGAGAGACATTATCGACGATATCAAGAGTGGCGTCGGGGGCTATGCGCAGTCCCTAGGCAGTGTGCTGGGTTCGGACCTGCCCAGCTTCTTCACTGAAGGTAACCAAATCTTTCGGGGGTAGAGCGCGCTAGTAAAGCTTATGCTGACACTTCTTCTCTAGGCATTCCTGCTTGGTTCGAAGGCCTCCCTACCGGCTCTCAAGTCCTCAAGTCTCTCGACATTGGCGATGATGATTTGGCCTCGAAGCCTACTCAAGTTCTCAACGTTCCCCCGTATGCGAACTGGACCGACCAGGGCTGGAACGTCCGCTTCCACGGCAATGTCTACAAGTTCCCGGATATCGATCAGAAAAAGGTCGACGACCTGGCCAATGTCTTCTTGATCGATACTAGCATTGAAAAGCTGCCTCAGAACGAGCAAGAACAGGCACGCAACCTCACCCGCTCCATTTTCATTGTCCAGCAAGGCGACCAGAATGTTTCCATGAGCCTTGAGCCTTCGCCCATGCAAGGCGCCGACGGTGAGCCTGGTGGCGGTAACTCGGTCCAGGCACCTGGCGGAACCCAGTCCCTTACCCTTCCCTACGAGACTACCGAACTGGGCGACTTTGACGTCTTCGTACCCATCAAGTTGAACGGCCTCACACCCGGTAACCAGACCAATAACGTTCAGCGCCTCAACGTTCATACCAATGGCACGGACAGCGGCAATGCCACTGCCTTCCTTGTCCCCCCTCAGGGTATCACCTTCATCTCGGATATTGACGATATCCTGCGTGTGACCAAGATCTACGAACCCAAGGAAGGTCTCCTCAACAGCTTCGCCCGCCCCTTTACTCCCTGGATGAACATGCCCGACATCTATGCCAACTGGTCGCGTACTCTTCCCAACAACACGCACTTCCACTACCTAACCACCACACCTGAACAAGCTACCCGCCTCTACATGGACTTTATCTACAAGACCTACCCAGGAGGGTCCTTTGACACTCGCCCGCTCAATTTCTCCGACATCGAGGCCACCCTCTCCATCCGTCAGTACCTCCTCACCAAGGTTTTCGAGACATTTCCTGAGCGCAAGTTTGTTCTTGTTGCCGACACCTCAAACAGCGATGTCATGAAGGCCTACCCTAAGATGGCCCACGACTACCCCAATCAGGTTCAATGCATCTTCTTGCGCAACACTTCAGCCACTGACGACAAGATGTGGTTCCCCTACAACACCGAGGGCTTCAAGGGCTTGAACAGCCGCAGCTACATGTTCTTCCGTGAGCCAAATGACCTGACCGGTCTCGATATTGTCAACGGACAGTGCCTAAACGAGACGATCCCGCAGAACGTTACATTCTCCAGGCAAGCAGAGATTCTCGGTATCCATGGCGACAGCGCTGGCAGCAGGATCCAGGGTGGAGCAACGCTTAGCTTCGTTTTCGCCCTCTTTGCTGCTGTTGCTTTGTCGATATAAAATGCACATGGATGACGACACAATCAATGTTGAATGAAATGAGCGTACATGAAGGATGGCGTTTTGCTTGGTATACATGTGTGGCGTTAGGGTCTCTAGTGCAGCGCACTTGGTTTTGTTGTTTCGGTCTTATTCTTCTTTTGTGTACAACATTGATCCTGTACAGGGTCGCAATTGATAGGCTATGATACTACGATACTTGTTCACACTCTACGTCCCACACTTTTATGACACAATGTTTCAAGTGAATACTGATATTGCCAAATTCCTACCCGCACACACTTTCTTCAAACCGCCTCGCAATCTCCAGCATCTCGGCATCCAACCTCGATCCACTCAAGAACGTCACACTAAACGGCAACACACCCTCATCCTCCTCCCGCCCATTCAACTCCCTAATCAAATGCTCCCCCGCCGGCACCGCAACCCCACGCAAATCCAGCACATTCCCACAATGCGTAAACTCGCCTAGCACACTATTCTTCCCAATCGGATCCTCCAGCACCTCGTCAATTCGCCAATGCGTCGGCGTCGTCGGCACAACAAGCATATCGATTCCTTGCGCCGAATACGCAAACACGTCCTCTACCTGCCGCGTATACAGTGCTTTGGCTTGTAAATCGCGATATGCATCTACCGCCGAGCTCTTTCTCTGCGTCACGGCATCCATTAGCTGTGCGGTAACGGGATGCAATCCCGCTCTGTTTTTCTCGAGAAAGTCATCAGGAAGAGAGGCGAGGCGCTGGGATACGAAAGTTCCTTCGTACAGTAGCTCCCCTGCTTTTTGGAAGGGCGACCAGTTTATCGGTGTGAGGACGCCGCCGAGCGCTCGGAGTTTCGATACCGTGTCGTTGAACAACCGACGTGTTGGGGCGGAGCAAACGGCCAGCGCTTCTTGCGGCGGAATACCGAATTTGAAGGTTGAAGATTGAGGGCCGATGCTGTTGATGTGGCGTTCGAATGCTAGTGCTGGTTTCGAGTAGGGATCTAGGGCGGCGTAGCTTTCCAAGATCTGCCAAAGTATTCGGGCATCCGGGACGGTTTTTATAGCGAGAGCTATGCAATCGAGGGATAAGCAGGCGGGCGCTATGCCGCGGAAGGAGATAGTGCCGCGTGTGGGTTTGAAGCCGACGATGCCGTTTAGACCCGCGGGGACGCGCCCAGAACCTGCAGTGTCGGTGGCCAGGGAGAAGGAGACAAGGTTTGCGGCTACGGAGACGGCGCTGCCGCTGCTGGAGCCGCCACTTATGTAGAAGGGGTGGTAGACGGAGTGGGGAGTGCCGTAGGGACTGCGGCAGCCGACTAGGCCTGTGGCGAGTTGGTCGAGGTTTGTTTTGCCGATGAAGGGGGCGCTTTGGGAAATGACTTTTTCGTAGACGACCGCAGAAGTGGAGGGGATGTGGGCGAGGGGTGGGCAGGCGGTTGTGGTGGGGAGACCTGCGATGTCGATGCTGTCTTTGACGCTGAAGGGGATGCCGAAGAGAGGGGGGAGAGCGGTTCGATTGGGGAATTTAGTAATTAAATCTCGAGCGGCTTCTAGAGCGGATTCGAAGGGTTGGAGGTGGATCCATACTGCTGGATCAATCTTTTTGTATGCTTCGATTTTACCGTAGACTGCTTCGACGACTGTCAGGGGTGAAAGACCATTCCTGTAGGCTCGTTTCAGACTGAATATTGTGGGGTCGCCATCGAATTCGGGTGGCGTTTGAGGGGCGTAGAGCCGAGTTGAATATGCTTTGTGGAAAAAGGCTCAAGAGCCTCGACGAGGGGTTCTAGGCTGCCGATAAAGCCGAAGAGCCCTTGTGACCAGTGGATCATGTCTAATGTTGGCTTCTTAAAGCATGCATCATTGTATCCACTAGTTGCTTCCTCGATGCCACAGCATTCGAAGCCGCGGTCGTTTGCTTCTCGAATGGTTGTAGCGAAGCAGCACTCTGTAGTGACGCCCGATACGATCAAATATGTGATGGCTCGCGCTTTGAGCTGATGTAGGATGGGCGTGTTCCAGAACGAGCCTTTGCTAGGCTTGTCTATGACTACTTCGCCATGCAGCGGCTTCAACTCATCGATAATGTCGTGGCCGTATTCTCCTCTGGTCAGCAGGCGACCCAGTCCTCCCTTGTCGCCAATAACTAGTTTGTGCTGGGTGTTGCCAGGCGCTGCTTCTTGCCTAGTGAATTTTGATGAAGGGCAGTCTGAGAGGTCCGGTTTGTGGCCCTCGCGTGTATGAACGATGGCCATGCCTGTGCTTCGACATGCGTCTAAGAGTTGTTTGGTGGGCGCAATGGAAGCTTGAACTGCTTCCAAGTTTCCACCCTGGATCTCACCGAATCCTTGAGGGAGTAAGAAGTCGCGCTGCATATCTATGATGAGCAATGCAGTGTGATCCAGGGGAATAGAAAAGGCGTATGGCTTCGCGTCAAAAGAGATCATGTTGGGTTTCGCAGTTGTCTTCGTCATGGTGTCAAAGTGTAGGTGTTTACTTGACACTGGTCAAGATAACATACAAGGAGAGAGACGAAATGTTCAGAATTAGCTGAATGGATGATGGTATTAAAAGAGCTCCAAGCGTGCAGCAAGGTGCTGCATTCTTAGCATTCAACCCATTCTGAATAAATATTGTCATCTGCGAACTGCCCGAAAGCGGAGTATGCAACCAGCCTACGGCGAGCGGCGGCGCGAGAACTCTGAGGTCTTATCAGACCAGTACCAACCCCAATCCAGTTCAGCGCATCTTCTGATAAGCCGCATTTGTGGGTATCCAAGTCAAGACAAACCTGGTTTCTCACTCTACGGCTCATATCAATATGTTTCTGCCGAAAACCATACATTTCCTCACACATGTTTCGTGGTGCCGAGAGTTCCTATCTTGATAGACATGGATTGTCGCAATGGAACCTCCAATGTGGATATCTGCAGAAGCGATCTTGATACGGGCACCATGTCCTAGCCAAGTTATCTTTGGTATTAAACGGATCGCTGGTAGATGAGGATGAACAAGAGTTTTAGTATTTAGTTTGTGTTCTTCACACTCGAATACACACGACCATGTCAGTACTCAAGGCGAGGCTTAAGACAAGGCTTGCCCCTCACCTCCATCTGAGAGTTCCTTTCAAGAGCGGAAAGTATGGCTCACGCTGGTCGAACCAAGGTGCGTAGCCACTCAAGACTTGCTGACTTGCAACGATACTGATAGTCTACTTCACAATAGACATGGATCCAATTCCTCCGGAACAGCGCACCTGGGGCGCTCTGGATTACTGGGCATACTGGTGTGCGGATATGCTGGCTCCTCCTCTGATTTCGACTGTCAGTAGTGTCATGGCTCTTGGATTTACGGCTAGAGAAACGATCCCGATTTTCTTTTTCGGTTTTGCCATCTGTAGCGTAGTCATCACCCTCACTGCTAAGATGGGTGCTACGTACGCTGTTTCCTTCCCAGTCATTGTTCGCAGTGTTTTTGGAATGTATGGCTCCATCCCAGCCATTGCTATTCGATCTTTCGTTGTCATGATCTGGACTGCTATCCTCATTGTCCAAGCTAGCAATTACCTCCAGCGCTGCATCGAAGCCATATGGCCAAGTTTCATCACTTTTCTGAATCACCTGCCCGAGAGTGCTGGAATTGATTGTAAGTTACCATGTTTGCTGACAGGGTGACCAATCTTTAACGAGATATCAGCTGCTGGGTTGCTTTGCCTGTTCTTGTACTGGTTCCTACAAACTGGGCTGGCGCTCATGAAAATTTCCAAGTTGCGTGTTCTGTTTTGGATCAAGAGTATCATAGTCCCTCCGACGTTTTTGGCCTTGTTTATCTGGGCTGTTACAATCACAAAAGGGTAAGGTCCCTTTGCAATCTTAAGCAGTGTAATATACTAATGTGTTTGTCAGCGGCGGGCCGCTCATCAAGGGAGAAATGAAATTGGCTTCAAGGTATATGAATACCGCCTACTCAGTGCTGCAAGGGCTCAATGCTGTCATTGGACTCTTCTCTTCGTTGGCAACCAACATGCCCGATTTTGGCAGGTTCTCCAAAAACCGAATGGCTGACAACTATCAGCTCTTTGCTCTTCCCATAATTGGAACTCTTGGGGCATTGACACCGATGTTCGTCACCGACGCCCATTCATATCTCTGGGGCGAGTTTGAGTGGTACATGCCAAATGTTATTGCCAAGTTCGACTCCCGAGCAGCAAAGTTTTTCGTATCTGCCAACTTCCTCCTTGCGACCATCAGCAACCAGATTGCAGCGGGTACCTATCCATCCTCAAACGATGTATCGGGTATGATGCCCAAATATGTCAACAATTTCAGGGCTACCGTCTTTCTTTCAGTCTTTGCCACTGCCTATACACCTTGGAATATCGTTAGGAATGCGTCAGGATTACTTGCCTTCCTGAGCGGCTACTCCTGCCTCATGGGACCTCTTGCAGGCACAATGATCAGTGATTACTACCTTGTCAAGAAGAGTAAGCTCGACGTCGATCAGCTGTACACCTGCGCTCGCTTCTCGACACTGCAAAGCCGCTGCAGCTTGCCCTGTGTCAATGGTATGCAGACATGCCGTCAACCCTCAAAATGCAAGACATTTCTGCAAGAAAACTTTCTAGCGTAGGCTACTTCATCTCGGCTACTATGCCGTCGAAATGTCGTTACATCGGCGCATCATCCGCTCTTTGTCGTCGGCAGATGATGCAGAGCTGTACTTCATCTGCCGGCAAGCAGCACAAACACGACTCACTTCTGCCACGCGATTTGTTCAGTCCCTGCGACCCGAGCACCACCAATCATTCTGGTACTCTGGCTCAAAGTACAACTTTGTCCTCATCGGCTCATTCATATCTCTCCTATGGGTAACATCCAATACTAAAGACGAAGTAGCCCAGTAGCAAAAGAAGCTAGATGAATACAAGTGGATGCTGCGCCTATCGAGTAAATCGGCAGATTTTCTCGGGTCTGCGCTGACGCTGCTCAACAACTCGACTGTTACATTGGTAAACAAAGTGGCTGAAAATTTCGACATTCGCGGAGAAAAGACAGCCGGTCTGCTCGTGATGAGAGGTGCAACTTCTGCGGCAGCGGGCCTTGCTCATTTGGATACAGTTCGATCTACGCCTCCTGATTTAGCGCTCGCTGGGGCCGAGGTCCGTGACAGCACTAGAGGCACACCTCTTGATGGAAACAGCATGGACGAGCACTCGTGGTTCTAAGCGCTGACGGAAGGCGAGTTTCACGGCGCATAATCAAGTACAAGATGAACTCATCGCAGTGAGTGTTGATGTGCCAATGCGGCATTTCGTAGAGTAAACTTTGTTTTGCTCCGAGGAAACGATCTGTCAAATCGAGACCTCGTATTGAATTGAATGCATTGGAAAGAGTCCGAGTGCGATCGATTGGCCATGATCAACCCACTGGCGATGCATTTCAATTGTGCTTGTTCACGGATCGTATCCCTTGATTCGCCAAATCCCACATGGAACCCAGTTTGCCCCGGCCTGGAAAGAGTCGGGGTACCAAAGACAAGAGTCGGCGCGTCGGAACGTCGGAACACAGACGCCAGAGATCTTCCTTGGCCCAGGGCGAATCATCGCAAACAAGGCTGGTTGACAAATGCGGACCCGCGATTCAAGTCTTGTATAGTAATGAACGGGGGAGATGACGAGGAGTGCACCCATATACTTTGGCGCTGTAAATTTTACCACCTCTGAAATTACCAGAACAAAAGACGCATCTAGCCTCACATGCAGAATGACGCAAAGGAATTTGAAGGACTACATTTGTAATTTCCTCGTTGTATAGAAGATGAAGTGGAAAAGGCTGCGGCATGGCAGTTGACCGCACGTGGGTGGTAGTCGAGTCTATGGGATCAAAGGACCCAAAGGAGTCTCTCTCCACCATCCTCAATCTGCTAGATGACCTAGCCCACATCTCCACATCCCTAACCCCAAAACGAGGGGTAAAATAGGCGTGAAATTAAAAACAAAATCTATCAAGCAAGATAATTGAGATCGCATTGCGAAGCCAGTACATGAATCACGGAACCATACGTAAACCATTATCCGCAAAACATGCCGAAATCCCGCAAACATTCCTTTTTTCTACGCCGTACCGTTGAAAAGGAAAAGAACAAAGTCCTGCCTCGCTCTTATCGCAAGAAAAATCCGAGAAAAAAAAAGAACGAAGGAACGCGCGCTTAGTTCACGAACAGTTACCCAAAAGGAGCAGAGAGTCAGGATATCTGACGTCATACCATCCGTCCACAACAACTAGCATGTACGCTATCATTGCACCCACGGTTTCCACATACTTGCTTTGTCTCCCACATCCGTAAGTAGAAGGCACAGAGAAAGGGGAGAAGCAGAACACAAGCGGTCAAAAAACCCCAGCGCTAGATCAACAATTAGTGAAGCGGAGAAATAAAACGCACCATGCGCTCATCACTCCCTTCTTTACTGGGGTAAAAAAACATAACAATCCTGTTGGATGTAAGATGCTCCCAAGGTGCCAAGGACCTAGAAGCATGCAGGGTCCGTCGCATCCGCAGCGTGCCGCCGGATCTTTCTATTGGGCGAGAAGAAAAAAAGAGTTAACCAAGGAGAGAATAAGTGGTTATCATGGTGAGCATGGTTAGCCCCCCCTGCTAAAAGAAGTGCCACGCGGACAAAGGTTAATTCACTGGTTGGTGGACGAGGGTGACAACAGTGAGCGAAAGAATCAAGGAATACTAGTACTATAAACTTGGAAATTGAGGCATGTTGAGACAGGACTCAGTTGTAAAAGCAACTATCGTTGTGATCGTGATTTGTTAAAAGACTAAGAATACATAAAAATGATGATACAAGAACCTAGCAGTTCAAATCGCTAATGGATTAGCCATCAATTGGGGGGTATCTTTTTTTCTTTCCTGATTTGAGCACTTCATTTCAGAACCCGTTTCGCCAAATCCCATGCGCCCTTGTGCCCGCTAAAAAATAAATCATATAAGCCACAGCCACGTTGCAGTCGTAGATACGTCAAACAAACATCAACAGGTGATAGGTTGAACGAAGTATGAAAAACTTCATCGTAAAAGACTCAACTACGCCCAGGTCTTGGATGTATTGAGACCAAGCTCAAGATGCTGAGCGATAGCAGACGCAAAGCCACCGCCTGCATTCGACGAATGGCGGCGGCGCTCACGGCGTATTTGGTGCTCTGCTTCCATGAGACGCTCCTGGATCCAGGCACGCTGCTTTTCATCGTTGCGGATACAGTCGGTATTGAGGAGCTCAGTAAGAGTGGCCACAATCTGCTGATTGATCTCAGCGAGCTTTTGAGACTCTTCCGTGTGGATATCATCGACACTGGTACGTGGGGTCGCGTTTGTCCTGGAGCTGACAGGTATTGGGTCACTCGCTGTTGGAAACGGCGAGGAGTACTTCGGAGACGTAGGGGATGAAGAAAGAGATTGAAATTCGGGTGAGCTGGGAGTCATAGGTGCGTTGAAGGGGATCTCCATGGCCATACGACGTTGAAGAGCTTCTTTCTGGGCAGAGAGCAGCATGTACTTCTGCATCGATTGATGCTAGACACCAGGTGTTAGTACATATCGCTTCATAGATTACTATAGATGCACTTACCCGACATAAAGCGGGCCTTGACATGGGGCTCATGGTGTCGTTCAGCTTAGTATCGCCTGGTGTTTGCATTGTTGGCGGTTTGCAAGGTTTGATTTCTGATTGTGTGGAGATGTTGGGCCCTAATAGATATACCTCTTGACAATGCCAAGAGCGTTGCGTGGTGGGAGATCGGCGAGGCCCTATAAAGGTGGGTACCAAAGCCTAGTCAGTAAGTGGATCGAAGTGGAGCTGGGACGACGAGGTGATGCTGCTGTGAAGCCTTGGTGACGGTGACGCGCAAGCTGTGGGACGAGAGTGGTTTATGATGGTTTGATTCCAGAGATTATTTGACAAAGAAGGGCAACCTCGAGCTTTATGGCCTTCGAGCGACTTAACCGCTTTGCAACGAGAGCTGAGTAGGCCATGACGTCCAGTGAGGAGATTCCATCCAAGACATGGCGCGGCTGAGTCCGCCCTTCCAGGCTTTGAGCAACCGGGAACGTTTCGAACTACCCAGTTGGGATAGCCAGGGGTTTTGGGTGGGTGATGTTGTGATTGGTAGAGTCGTCCCCTTTGTTGATCTGCATGTGTTGTGAGGGGGCGCCTAAGCGAAATCACGTCACCGGTAGGGACTTGAAGTAGGACCCTCGGAGTAGAATCGCGATCGTTCAAACAAGCCCACTGACAAGTTCCAGCGAAGATCGTGATTGAGTGCTGTACCTGCATAGCTGTTGAGAAAACATTAGTGGGTTGCCTCTCACAGCTCAGCATGTGAAGACAACGACCAATGTCTGTATGCAATTTTCTCCGTGCCATCACAATTCCATCATGATGCGAAATTGCCCAAGTGTTACAAGAGATGACGTCGGGCTAAAACCCGAATTATCCCAGCCGCACATCTCGACAATGGACCCCTGACATAGTTCAGACACGCCTCACAAATCACCATCAGCTTATCGAATAGATGCCCGCGCAAGACATTCAGCTTGAGTTTCCATCCAGGTTAGAGAAATCCGGATCACTGAGCACAGCATCTGCTTGCTACGATTGCAGGCCTATGTGATTATGGGGCGGAAATCAGGTTTGGACGCCACATTTGTGGCTCAGTCTCGCACGTGTGCCGGGTTCCGGCTTAGCGGTGACGTTCCTGTCCAACCCTTCAGCACTAATCATATTCCACGGATGGAGTGTCTCGGGTTGTGATCATGGACGAGGCTTCTAGATGAAGGTCCAAATCCTTCGCTGATGCAACGTCCCGCACGTCACATGAAAACGCCACGTCGGGTCACACATAGACAATGAGGTCTGTAAAGGAATGCCCTGCAATCTAAGTGGTACGTGGCGATGCAATCAGGGAACCTGCATGGAAATCCTGGCTTTTCGTTTAGAGGGGCATCCAATTTGGCAGCACCTGCAGATTTCAAAGCCCATCACTTCCAGGTGTACGTGTCTCTCGGCATAGGCGTGTTTAGGCTGATAGGATGCTTTACGTCCAAAACTAAGGCTTGGTTCGATGGGAGTAGAACAACTGATGTAGTAATTTCGAGAGTCTCAAAAAGACGTACGCGAGCGTCACTCTTCAGTTGCCTGTCGCTCCGACCAGAAACCTTTGCCATAGCTGATGAGAATTTCCTGGCCACGGGCGATGCCCTTTGCCCTCTTTCCACTTTTGCCAGCACTGAGGACGAACACGCCGACTCGCTTCTCCACCTTGCCGTTTCCGCAGTCCACATGTATGTCGCGAAACTCGGCATTGGGTTCGGATGAGACTCCTCGGTAGTCGTTGATGAAGCGGGCTTCGTTGCCCATCATGGACGCATCGACGCCGATACCTAGTTCTCGGTCTAGTGAGAGGTCGTAGTCGGATGTTTCATTGGTATCATTCTGATCGTGAACATAGCCTAGATATGGCAGGATGAACGAGTCTGGGGGGAGCTGCTGGTTAGCACAGAGAGCATGTTGCCCAAACGCTGGATGAGCAGAGTCTGTAACTGGGGTAATCTTGACATTGGTGTATGGTCCACTAGGTTTGTAAACTGGTACATTGGGGCCCAGATGGGATTTCGGGAATACGATTGTCATGAGCTTCTCACGGGAGAGCTTCTTTGAATATGAAAGGGCATGGAGGTAAATGGCATGTCCGTCCCATCCCTTTGGTACAGCGGTTTGGGTTCTTGGCATTCTACAATGGAGCCGGGGAGGCCGTCCGATGCCTAAAGGACTTGGGGGCGCGGTTGACACGTTAGTTTCCGGTGATGGCAGTGATGGTGTCTGAGCAGATAAGAGGTGTCGGAGGCAGATTCTGGGTAGGTGGCGTTGGGGTAGGACAATGGGGACCGGTGAGCTGCCAGTATGGAAGAGCAAGGCTGCTCGTGCTGCCTGAGGGCGAGGGGCACTTGCCTGGGCGGCGTGACCTCGGAACAGGGGGGCGACTAGCGCGCGCCTGGATTTCCCTCACCGTCAATACCACTTTCACCAACAGGACACTACGCCTCACCATTCTCACCGCGATTCGGTACGCTTTGTTGGACCCAAGGAAATGACCACCGCTTGGGGTAAGTCCGCACATGGTAGTGGAGATCGAGATGCTCGTGTTACGTGGTGCACTATGTGCTGCTTAACATATTTCAATATAGGTAAGCCGATGCCGCGATCAATGCGTAAGAGCTTACTGCTACTGTAGCACCCACTAGACCCATGCGCCGCTCGAGGCGATACTGGATGCGAGATTACACGGTTCCGCCTGAAGGTGCTACTGCTCGTAAACCGGTGACGGATCACGCCTGGTCCGACTTACTGCAGAAGAAGCTTGTCAAAACGACTACAGCGTAGAAGCCATGCGCAACTACAGCCTCGGGCTGACGTCTGACAATAACGTCTCACTCTACTTACATGTGTATATACAAGGCTCCGCCAGGCTACCACTGCTATGTATGTACAACACAAGTGTTCATACGGCTATGTACGAACAAGCAGCACATGTCGGTCGGCTCTTCGCTCGATTAGTCAAAGGTCTAGAAGCCTGCGACGATGCAGGAACCCGTCAATATCCACTGGGAGCATGGACCAATGACATTGCATTGTCAGTTACAGACGGCTTGAATTCGCGCCCTCTCCTTTCAGCAGGTGGCTATTTTTGCGCGCACGCGGGGAGGCTCCTCGATATGTCAATGAGTGGACACAGCAAATCTCGGGGCTGACGGGCCTCGGGGGTGTCGCAATGCTAGCCCTTCGAGATGGTCCCTTAACCGTCGCTTTGTTCAGGTGTTCAGTGATGGAGCCAAGAGCGGTGTGGCCTACAGATGCCACGACGCGTAACTGAATCCACTTGACCAAGACGCTCAACATTGGCGTCGCCCTCTTGCATGTTTGTGCAGCCTGCCAGCCCGCATCTCTGCCGTCCTGCGGCTGGCGACCATAAGCTTCAGGAGAATCGCGCCTAGTGGGTGATTGAGCAGATTCGGCGTGCACAAGTCGCTCACTAGCCGACAGGGCTCCCAAAAGAGTTAGCATGGGAGTCGAGATCCTGAGACGACATGAGTCGCTTGGTAGGGAGGCTGTCAAACTCATTTCGTTTCTTTCCAGCATCCTCGCCCTGATTGGCTCGTCCAGCATGTATCAATAAACGACTCATAACGGCGGCCAATGTCGACGCTATCCACCACCTCCCCCTATTCCGTACTGTTTCCACGCACAGCCCGCGCCGCGGCGCTACCCCGACGCCACGCTAAAACTCTTGTGATGCTACCGAACGGAGACGGCCACGTCCAAGTGCCCCTGTTGATGGGGGTGAGCATTCTCGGCAAGGCCAGCTCCTGTACAGTTGTATATAATGTCTTCCCCAGCGTCTTCTTGAGTTTTTTCTCTACCACACACTCACTACACTCGCTAATACCCGGTTATCACCGATTACATTCGTTCTCTACGACCTCCTCCGCCCCTACTTAATACCAACCGTATTTAATACCAACCCCCTCAACACTCAAGATGCGTTCCTTCGCCGTCGTTGCTGGCTTCGCTGCCGTTGCCCTTGCTGCTCCTCACTACGAGGCCTACCCTGCCGAGTCTTCCTCCGCTCCTGTTGCCTACCCAGCCAGCTCTGCTCCCGCCGACTACCCTGCCAGCTCTGCTCCTGCCGGTTACCCTGCCAGCTCTGCTCCCGCCGGCTACCCAGCCAGCTCTGCTCCTGCTGGTTACCCTGCCAGCTCCGCTCCTGCTGGTTACCCTGCTAGCTCTGCTCCCGCTGGTTACCCTGCCAGCTCTGCTCCCGCCGGCTACCCTGCCGTCACCCCCTCGGCTCCCGCTGTCACCACCACCGAGGTCATCTCCGCTACCACCTACGTCTGCCCCGAGGAGACCACCATCACCTACGGACCCAGCACCTACACCGTCCCCGCTAGCGGCACCCTGAGCATCCCTCAGTACACCGCTACCTACGTCCACACCCCGGTGCCTTCCGTCCCGGCTCCTGCCAAGTCCACCCCTGCTGTCCCCGTTCCCGCCGTCAGCAAGCCCGCTTACACTCCTCCTGCCTACTCCGCCGTTCCCCCGGCTCCTCACTACCCTGCCACCAACGGCTCCACCCCCGTTGTCCCCGCCGCTGGCACCGCCACTGGCACTGTTCCCTCCCCCACCAAGTCTGCTCCTCCTCAGTTCACTGGTGCCGCCGGCAAGGCCACCGTTGGCTTCTTCGCCATCGCTGGTGCCGTCGCTGCTTTCTTGTAAGCACTTCGCTCTTGAGTGGTTTGTTGTGACGTGACTTGTCGTGTCGCTACTGTCTATTCTTGAGTTCGGAAAGAGGAGGGTGATTAAAATATGGCTTCACGGGTTACGACTTTAACTCTGCATCACGATTCAGTCCAGGATTGGGAGCGCCGTGTTTGTTGTACGAACCCCTGCTTCCTTGCGCAATTCTGTCGCAGCAGCATTTCGATGGAGATATAATACTTGGTATTGTAATACGCATTGGTTGAAATGCTTAGTCGCCCTATGGAGGGAGTCGTGTGGTCCAGGTGGCCTTTCTTGTTCATAGATTCTTTGGCTCTATCTCCGAAAAGAATCGGCAACATAATTAACAGTAGACCACCTACATTATATCTTTACACTTATTTTTCCTTTTCTGTGACATGTTGACTTTGTAACTGTTCGTCTTGGTGACATCTTCACTCCTGCTCTCCCACGAATGTTCAGATCTGACCGCCTTTTTCTTAGGCCATCTTTCCTTCGCTTCACCCGCCCAAAAAAAACTACTCTTACTACGCCGGAATAGTAGACATCCCCGGCCCGCCAGCACGACATCTCCGCTCAATCCAATTCGCTGCAACCCCAAATACTTACCTCGCCGCCTGTAGATAGCCGAACAGCGCTCACCCATGCAATCCCAATATACCACCAAGCCCACTACTTACTACCCTCGGTGCTTACTCGCCCTCTTTTCCCCCCCTCACACCCACCGCGTATGTCTCAACTCAAGGCACTAGAAAACAGAAACCCCGAGACGAACGGCAGGGCCGCAGATACGTGTAGCGAAAAGGGACGAAGCAAGTAGTCTCTACATCACGTCTCACATACAGTTGAAGTAAGCTTTCCTGATTAGTTTTTTTTTCTTACTCGGATATGCACCCTTTCTTTTGTTTTGTTTTTGTTTTTCCCTTTTTTTCCGGGGAGAAAAAAGGGGAGAGAGAGAGAGAGATGGCAATAGTGACGTAGGGGGCACGGAAAGGAAGGGGAAAACGTCTTCTTTTTGTTGGGCGCAGGCTGCAGGCACGAGCGGGTGAGGCGTTGAGGAGGGCGGTAGGCAGGTAAAGGACGGCGGTGTGCGTGATAGGTGTATGGGTGGGTGTGTTTTGCATAATTTGCGTGTGTGTGTGTGTGTGTGTGTGTGTGTGTGTGTATGTATGACTTGCATATGTACTTTGCCTTGTGTACGGTCTGTACATAGCGATATAGCGATATATAGCTCACGACGTGTCTATGACCAATAGATGGCCTTGCTGGGCATGAGATTGGTAGCAAGGCCACGGTGTAGGTATCTACCCATCTAGCTAATCAACTGCCGAGCGGAGTAAAATTGTCTCCTTCGGCGGCTTTTTTGACGATTTGGCGTAGAGATTGATAGACGGACGTGGCTTACCGCTTTTTGGGCTTGGTCGCGGAGATGGAGGTTAGTGCTTATACTAGGCTTCATTTTCTAGGATTGGAGGGTCGACGGTACTTCCGTTGATGATGCCTTGGGTTGCTGTGGAAGACGCAGGTACAGGGTTTAATGTCACATGTGTGATGGGATGAGAGATGAGGCGGTTGTATCTTAAATTCTAGCTAATCGGATGTTTTTAGGGGGGTGGTAGTACGAAGGCGCATCCCGGTCCCCTTGATCCCCCTCATCACAAAGGCATCCTGCGTACTCCAACTGACTTTCCTCCTCAACTTCAACACACACATGGTAGTTCTTCATATACAGGCTCTTCACTCAATTCGGTGAACCCTGTCGGCACCTCGCAACGCTCTTCCCACAATCGCTCGCAACGCCGTAGTCGCAGCACCTTCCGCTTGAGTTGCACTGGTATGCGTGGGTACTGACGCGCTTGGTGCGTATCGCATACGTGCCGGCGCCGGCGACGCAGTTGCCGCAGTATACGCCTGCAGGGAGGCCGCTGATGCAGGCGCAGCCGTTGTAGCTACATGCTCGTTTATCGAGAGGAAGGCTATCGCGGTTGGCCAAAGTGGGGTTGTTGTTGGCCTCTGGTGATGGCGAGGCGAGTGCCGTAACGGCGAATAATAGAGATAGCGCGTGTTGGAAATGCATTGTTTATTGGTTTTCACTTTCGAAATGGGTGTAAATGCTTGGGTAATTGGTGGGTATCGAGATTGAAGAGTGAGTCAGCTAGATAGAGAGTTTTATTGTTTGCTATGCGGGATGGGGATGAGGCTGCTGTTCAACAAGTATCGATTTGGAGTACAACCGCTGATTGGATGTACCGTCGTATTCTTCGCTTTCGAGCTGCAAGCCACCAATTTTTCAGCTGAACGTTGCTGGTTAGCCGCTTCCCCTCTCAATATATTTCAGCTGGAAACATGGGTTGCAGGAGCTCGCGTCCTTGCTATGATGTTAGCCGTGTGGAGTTTTCCATGAGATCTTTTACACCTTCCAATTGAAGCCTTGGTCACGAATCAACGATAGTAGTAGTACGATTAACACAGAGCTGTGTTGACTACATCGTGACACTCTCGATCCCACCGGCTAAAAAGATGTTGCGTTAAAATGATGATTCCAACTCCCCTTAGCGTCCGTTTTCATGCACGACATGTACTTCGTTACTTTTCTGTCTGCTGAGAATACAAAATATTACCTTTGACGAAACCATCTTAAACAACGGTTTCCTTTCCCCAGAATGCCCCAACTTCCCCATAATCTCTGAAACCCCATGCATCCACATCGAAAATCTAAGGGCCACGCATGTATACGTAAATCGCCTTGAGTGAGGCTAGGCCTATGAGCACGACAGGAACATATATCCTCTCGTGTAAATACTTGCATTTCCTTTCGAACACATTTACGTATACATCATCGAATCTGGCATATAAAACACACACTGCTACAAGCAAACGAAAAGTAAAATGATATTTCAATCTGAAACGACTTTCACATTTGAGTTTTTGGAGGGGAAAAATTAAGATAGAATGTCAGTTTCACAACTGACGTCGCTTCGAAACATGTCAGCCATTGACGCCGTTTCACGCAACCCGTGCGTTGGAATGCCAGGTTGAACTGTGAAAGCACGTCGTTGAGGCTGGGTGGTGACATGACTACCTTTTCTCAGATACAACGAAGGTCCCTATATAACCCAGGATCGCAGAGGCCCAGTAATGGAAGGCACATACACGTCTCTCCCAAAGATGAGCAATAATATTCGTGAACAAGAAAATATTGATCTAGGCCATCTACCTCTTACTATCTTATCTTGAAGACTTTGATCTAGTAAAGAGACACAAAACGCTACCTTCTATACCGAAATTCCGTCAAAAGAAAATGACGCCAAAACGCCATCGTATATGACCTCATAATCACCGTGCCTCTCACGCATGATAGCTCACAATAGGGTATCACCAAGCGCACACCTCACAATAGACACACCGGCACGCACTGTATCGCCCGCACCCTCAGCATCAAGGCTAGGGTTGACCTCGACAAGGTCAAGAGCAATCAGCGAGCCCGTCTCAGCAACGCACTCAGCAATGAAATCGCCTTCTCGCAGCGTGAGACCGCCACGGACAGGGGTGCCAGTGCTGGGCGCCCACATGGGGTCGAGGGCGTCGACGTCAAAGGAGAGATGGATCGGTGTGTCGTTTCCGATCCAGCCCAGCGCCATATCCATAACCTTGCCGATACCGTGCCTATTGCAAAAAGACATTAGCCACAGCATTAAACGACGTCAAACCACGTGCAAGAACTTACCTGTCAATATCATGCATAGAAAACGCCTTGATACCATGCTCCCTCAGAATCTTCTTCTCTCCCCTATCAATATCCCTCAGACCGATATACACAAGCTTCTTCAAGCTCAGTCGGTGCTCCTCCTTGATCCATCCAAAGACATCTTCGCGGTCCTCAGTCGCAAGGCCCGTGAGGAAAGAGACAGGCATGCCGTGAATATTGCCGCTGTCAGACGTCTCAGGCGTATTGATATCGGCATGCGCATCAACCCAGATGACTGCGATTTCCCTGCCGAGGCGCTCGCGGACAGCCTTTGCGGTACCGGAAATGGTGCCGATGGCGATGGAGTGGTCGCCGCCAAGGGTGAGGACGAGCTTGCCGTCTTTGGCGTGCTTGTACACTTGGTTGCTGACTTCGCGCGTCACGGCGCTGGCGAACTTGGGGCGCTTCATGCCCCGGTAGTCAGGGTCCTCGGTTGGTTGGAGCTCCGAGTAGTTGTGTACTTGGCCGTCGTAGGTGACGTTGTACTCTAGGTCTTCTTCTAGCTGCTTGATGAGGCCGTTTTCGATGAGAGCCATGGGGGCGGCATCGACGCCGGCTTTGGGCTGGACATGGAGTTGTTAGTTACTGGTACAGTGTGTGTGTGCAAGATTGTCGGGGGTAGAGAATCTTACCTGACCGCCGCTGAAACCGACTGCAACGATACCCAGCTCATGCCGACTAGGCAGGAAGTTGGGCTGTTTTGTTGGTGCAGAAGTCATATTTTTTCTACTGAAAAGGTATGTTAGTATGGTCGTTTACAGTGTTTCGTGCAGAGGAGTTGAGCGTGCAGAATGTTTGTAGTTTGAGGTTCCTTGTTGCGGAAGTGCGACTCGGAAACCTCCAGCTTGCCAAAAGAAAAGAAAAGAGATAAAACAAGACCAGGTCCTGTATGCAGCAGCATGGAGTTCTTACCTGACGTCGATTTGCTTTGATACTGCAACACGAAATATATAGTGGGGGTAATTCAGAAGATGCTAAAGTAGCTGTCGGAATATACAAGACGCCTATACCAAGACTCAGGTCTGATCAACAAGATGATGATGACAAGAAAAAGGAAACCACGAGATGCGAAGATAACACGACACAAAAGCAGGGCAGACGCGGGGCGCCCTTTTTATCTTTGGCACGGGTCTCGGTTGTTAGGTAATTATGTGTCGCTGGTTTTTCGTGGCCATCGTGTACACCTGTACTTAGGGGAAGAGCAACTTGAGGCTCTCGTCAAATTTATCACTTAGGGGAAGTAGTCGGGCCCGGAAGGTCTGGTAACAGATGGAGCGGGCCCACCACTAAGCAAGAGGGCCGAGGCAAGCCATGTCACATTAGGTAGGTGGCATGCTTGATCACCTTGCAGAGGGCGAGGAAGCCGAGGAGATGCAAAAGTGCTCGAGATGCGCAATGGAACAAAACATGTGTGTTGTAGTATAGGTACTTTGGATGTGTTGGTGTAGGGCAATTGAGCGGCCAGCAGACGGGATGCCATGTTGCGGGCACAGCAGAGTGGGATGCATGGCCTAATCCTTGCTGGGAAACGGCGGGTGCAGTCGGCTTTGCGCCCATTTCCAGGCTCAGCCGCTGCCGCCGCCGCCCTGGCCGTTATCTTCGCCCAGCTGCAGCAGCCTCGCACACCTGACCTCTGTTGTACACCGATTGCATAATTGCCAATACCCTCATATCCACTATCGTCAAATGTCCGGTCAGGCTATTCGCTTTGTCGCTGCAGTGACGGCCAAGCCAAGTACGGGCACAATCCAATTACTCTGTCATGTGAAGCCTGGTGTCAGTGCGAATCGCGAGGGTATTGCTACCATTTCAGACGAGCGCATCCAGCTATGTGTTGCAGCCCAGGCGAGAGACGGCGAGGCCAACAAAGCAGTGAGGCGTGTCGTTGCCGATGCGCTTGGAGTACCAAAGTCTGCTGTCGAGGTTATCAAGGGTATGAAGAGCAGGGATAAGACAGTGGCTGTTCGGACAAGCCGCTTAGAAGCGCCTGAAGAACAGGTTGAGAGGATAAGGGTTATGCTACAAAGGGTTTCTGGAACATAGAAACAGACAGCGTTATTCTTTTGGGTTAGCAAAAAATTGAACATAGTAAGTAGCAGAAAAAAAACCATTCATATCATGTCGTGATTTCAAGATGCGAAATGTGGCCAATTCTTAACTTATTATCATTATACGACTGTCATGGACAAGTCATTAAGGAGCGTTATATATATACATCGCAGCTATGTGCATCCCTCCGCAAAATTACCAATTACTTAAATGTATCTATGATACAACGCGTTCGTTCTATATATACTTTTGGTTTGAATCGAGTCGCAAGGGCATCTAGTATTGCCAGGCGCCAGGGGCATCGACGGGAGCTACCACAAACGTTAGCATTCTACATGTACTGAAAAGAGTAGAGTAGAATAGGGTTCAAACTTACAGGCAATGGCGCTGAATGAGAGGCACTCGTCGCTGAAGGTGACGTTGTCGAGCTTGCCGTAGACCTTCCATCCATCGTCCGCAGAGCCAGGGCAGGCAAGGAAGCCGCAGTCCCAGTTCAGGTAGCCAAACTGGTCGCTGTTGGGAGCTGGGGTGCGGCTGAAGCCGGTGACGGTGGAGCCAGGGGGCATGGAGGCAGAGTGAGCGGTGGTGTAGCCCAGGGAACCGTCAGGGCGGACGTAGACCTGCTGGCCACCGGGAACTACAACGCCGAGGCTGAGAGTGTTGTCGCCACCAGCAAATGTGGTGGTGTCGCCTGGTGGGCAGTTCTCAGCACCGACAACCTCGGATGGGCAGTAGGAAGAGGGTCCCTTTCCGCCAAGGTAGAAGGACCCGCCGCGAGCGTTCATGTTCTGGAAGTGGATGGGAGAGGCGCTGCGCTGAGAGATGACGGTGAAGTAGGCGCTGGTGTGTGCTTGCCTAGCAACAGGCTGAATAGCGGTAGGGGCTGCCATGGCGGCAGCGAAGAGGGAGGCGAGAGCAGTGGTGTACTTCATCTTGATGGTGTTGATGTTTGAAAGTCTGGAGACAAACAGGTGAATTAGAGGTGAACAGATAGAGTCGAGGTGTTGCGAAGTGGTAGAGTCGAGCTGATGGTCCTGTTAGAGGTGTCGTCGACGTCTCTTTATGTACAGACAGGCGGGACCATGCGACATGACCTTTCATCATCGCATGGAGCCGTCTTGCGTGTATGCGGAGTCGCTTGCGCACCTATCCAGAGCATACAGCCCTGTCTCTGGGAGAGGAACCCTAGTCATACACGACTGGCTAAGCTTATCCCACCGACGACTTGGGTGAAGATCAACCAACGCTAGCACAAGGATAGAGCAAATTCAGTGGGGCTACCCGTTGCGTTGTATTGAGATTGCCCACAATAACCGTCGTACCCGACCCTTCCCATCCGAACACGAGCGACGGTGATAGTGATCTTCTCGTGTTGACTAGTACAATGTTTATGAAGTCATGCGATGATGCAACTCTCGAGGCGCAACCTCACGCCGTCGACTTCCGATGGAATATCTCTCTGGCACTATTACAAAGCGGCGGGATTCCAAGTGGAGAGCATGATGCCATTGGGTACCAGTTCGTTTGAGATGGTCGCTTTTGCTCGCCAGGCAGTTCTGGACGGGGATTTTGCATCCCGAGAAGACGGTGTCCTCCTAGCACCTCCCTTGTTCATCCTCTTGCTATTTTGGTCTGGATGCCGGTGATATCACTAACGAATATGGACGTGTTTGTGCTAGCTGGGCTTGTGAGCCGATCAGCAGATGCAGCGACATTTCTGTGCAATCATCGAAATTGGTGGAACAAATCCACGACCAGGCCATCATCATACCGTTCCCCACTCTCGGGGTTGTGCCACACCCGTCTGACTAGCGCTCCTACTGTTGCCATGCCCGCAGATAACTGTACTTGCATGCGATAGTGAGTGCCTTTCGCCTATGTAGTGTATGTAAGCCCTCGTATTGCGCTTGCGAGACCCTGCGCCTCTCTGGGGTAACGTTGATTGCCACCCCTTGGGCATTAGCAATGTTACCTGCCATGGTTGTTTCTGCCATAAGACCGCCACTGCCACCGTCTGGCCCTCGTACGAAGCGTTCTTGTAGCTTCTCCGATCATGTCCGGAGCGGGTCCTCTGAAGCGCAAAATACAGGACCGTTTTGTCATGCCACATCGCAAGCAAGGCGTGTAGTGGTTAAAGAGCGCATGACATGCGACCCCTGTCAGCCAATATGGAGAAACTGCTTAATTTGGCCGCTCAACTAACAACAAAAGCTTGACAGACGGCTCGCATGGCTGCACCCGTGCGTTTCAATAGCCCACAATTCGCCTCTTGCATGAACCATGATTTGGGAACAAACTAGAATGAGCGAGCAGCGGTGAATATTTTGGGCCCAACTTCCAACAATAGAATAGAATGCCTTGACGCCGCTATTGACCGTCTTCTACATCCACAGACAGAGCTTGCCACTTGCTGTTCCAGCGGCCACCCAGTCAAGCGTAGGATGGAACTTTGCAACAGACGGTACTGCTGTAATACCATCGCCTCCCAGCTGCGCCAGCTGTTCGCCCTTTGCAGTGTATATGTCTACAAAGCGGTTCATGTTGCCAATGCAGAAGCGCTGCACATTGTCCTGAGGAAATTGCTGCCACTGGGCTCGTAATCTACACGCATAGTTAGCATTATAGTTTGTAAGTATTGCATATATGGGCCGACAAACATTGTAACCCATCGCCCAGTCTGGTTGTTGTGCGGCACAATAATCGTAGGCTCCATCTCGGCTTCTTCCAAGGTCGTCCCGGCCTTCCAGTCAGCACAGTTCCCGAAATCATGGATTTTAATCGTGTCATCGTATGAAGCCGTAGCCACTTGACCAGCAGAGTTCCATGCAGCGTGTGAGACAGATAGCTTGCTGGTATGCTCACCAACAAGGGTCGGTAAGCGATCATCCCCCTTGCCTGTGATTTTGCGCAGATCCCAAATCTTCAATGTACGGTCTAGAGAAGCCGTGGCTACGAGATGTGGGTGTAGAGGATGTAGAGTGAAGCCACCAATCTTCTTATCTGACAACTGGAAGACCTGTAGTCCCGCTGCCTTTTCAGACGGCGTACGCATATCGTATATGCCGAATTGGCCGTCGAGCGTGGAAAAATATAGCGTGTTCGGATCATCCTTAGAGATCTCGAGCCCAGAGAGCGGTGCTTCTTCGCTTGCATCAGAGGGTGAATAAACTTCAATAGCAACCCCTTTTGCAAGATCCAACTTTCGTACCGTCGAATCATATGAAGCAGAGTATAGTGTGTTGGCATCGTGAGGACTGAATTGGAACGTGTGTATTGTCCGTGTATGCGGCTTCAGGGTTGTGATGGTAGGCCCTTCTCTGTCCGTATCCTCATCATCTTCCACCTTCACCTCGGCAGCTTTCTGGGAAGCATCGCATATGCCCAGGTTTCCAAGTTTATCGCCGGCAAATACGAGAGGTTTGTCTGTTGTGGGATGCAGGGCCATGGAGTAGATGCGCTCGGGAGTAATTTTGATCTCATTAGGCTCAAAGTCCTCCCAAAGCTGCAGCCCACTCATGCGCTCTCGAAGCGCTCTCAGCTCTTTGTCCGTTGTTTCCTTTACGTCATTGTAGTCGAAAGTGCGCGCATATGGATCTGCTGGGCCAACAGAGAAAAAATTGCCGCTCTTGTTCCAGTCCTTGCCGGCGACCACAATGTCGCTGAAGTTGTATGCATCACTTATGCGTTGTCTCTTTGCGCGATCGGCCTCTCTTATGGCAGCGTATTCATCCTCTGCTTTGCGCTTCGCGACCTCACTGTCAGCCACAATGCCCCTTAGGCGTGACGACGTTCGACGCGGCGCAGTCTCTTCTTCCTTGATCTTCTTGGGCGCTGGCTTCTTGGTCTTTGGCCTCGATGGCACAGACGCCTTCGCTTTGCCTGTAGGCCCTAGACCTGCTTGCGCAGCTTCCATCTCGAGATTGCGCAGCAGCGCCTGTGTCTTTGCGATGTTTTCCTGCCTCTTGCGTTCATACTCGCTAACCTCGACATTTTTCCCGCGCGCCATTGTGGTCTTTTTTGTGCAATACGATACGATGCGACGCGATACGAAGGAAAGGACTGATTCGTCAAGGATCGAGGCGCTGTCGCGAAGGGCAGTGATGGATACTGTGGATTACGATGGGGATGCGAACAAGGTGACAGACGAATCGCGTCGGGAATTGATTATCACCTCCAAGATTTGCGGAACGTCCGATGTGTTCCTGAATATCGAGGGGCGAAGTCTTCCCGCAGTGCAGGACGAGGCCAGCGTCATTGCCACTAGCGTAGACACGGTGGACGCGTCAGTCACGTGCTGGCGCGTGCATCATCTAGATTCCCTTTTCAGCCTTGAGAAAGCCAATGGAGCGGCCAAGCCTCTCCAATGTGGGTGTGGGCGTGCAACGACGGGATCTAGCGAAGAGCGGATCATGCTGTCTCCGATGCGTGCGCTTGTGTGCTCGCCTATGTATGGTTGCTAACCGTCTGGCAGCGCGCCATGGACCGTCGTTAGTGCGAGATGTGATCGATTGCGGTCTTGGCAGGTTGGTCGAGTGGCCATCATCTTTGTCTATCGGCTGATCTGAACTTTGTCAATTCTAGATTCCACCACTATGGCACCCACACGCATGGCCACCTCGCTGTTCAGGACGTGCCGAGCAGCCTCAATTCGTCCAACCGCAACATGGCGACAGCGATGCCTGTATCACTCATACGATTACCCCTCGTCGCCACCATTCCCCCCCGCTGAAACGGCGATTCTTTCGTCTGCATACGCACACGTACCAAACCATGGCTTCACCATGGATGCACTTAAGCTGGGCGCTCGAGATGCTGGCTACCTCAATGTCTCTACAAATTTGCTTCCACGAGGCGTCTTTGAACTGATCAATTACCATCTCGTCACCCAGCGATTGGCTTTGCAAAGCAATGTTCAGTTCCCCGAAGAGAGCGAGCACGGGAAGAAGATGGGAGCCGGTGCCAAGGTCAGGACGTTAACGCTCGCACGGCTCCGCGCAAATGCACCCATTATCCACCGCTGGCAAGAGGTACGACTATCATGGTGCACTTCCGCGGACAGTCGGCTAATATTTCTCAGGCACTGGCAATAATGTCCCAGCCCACATATGTCCCTGCGTCCATCACCGAACTGGCCAAGCTCGCAGACGAAATATGGTTTCTGTCAGGCGACCAGAGCGTCGATAGTAGCTGGTACACGAAACGAGCAACCCTCTCGGCAATCTACTCGACGACAGAGCTGTACATGACACAGGATAAGTCGCATAATTTTGTAGAGACTGAGCAGTTTCTGGACAACAGACTACAGGATCTGATGAAGGTTGGTGGCTTCATAGGCAGTCTGGGAGAATGGCTCAACTACACGGGCCATTCTACTATCAATGTGCTTCGGAGTAAGGGAGCTCGTGTCTAGGCCGGATCTGCCTCATCCAGCGCCAGTTTTTTTTTTTTTTTTGATTGTGTAATAATATGTGTGGTATGTAGGCGCATTCGCTCCACGGAGCCAGAATAGGGAACGAGGTGATAGAGGAGGGATCTCGATTGCGACTCTGAGTGTTACAGAGATCGTACGATGAGGCGGGGGTTGAAGTGGACATCGCCGATGGACTACGTAGCAGTTTGAACGGCACAGTCATCAATCAAACGTTACTAGCTCACCACTGTGTTGCATGGTTCGCTCGGAATTTTTGCCCGGCGCCTTGACCTTGCCGGAGTTTGCTGGAAGCGTGTATGATCCGAGCTTCATGGGCGACTTCAACACAGCACCACATGACGTTATAGTAGGACACAATGCTGACTGGGGTTGAGACAAGTACAGCAGATGGTAAGGCTCCACTGGAAGCTGGCGTCGGTTTGCAGGCTGAAGAGAATGGCGCAGTCCAGGGGCTCATTGCTGAGTATGTATGGACGTACATATATGTAAAGTAGAGTACAGAGGAGTACTTGTAGGTACTACTTCACATCAAGTGACTGCTGATGACTGGCATGAACGGCCAATGACACGGTGGCGAGAACTCTAGTCGGACCTCTCTCAGCTCAGGGTCTTGTCGGGTGGGATGCTAGCAGCGATGGTCACAATCAGTTCGATCCAGCAGCTCCGTGGGCCACGCTAGGCGCATCATCATGCCAACAGAATCAGGGTCCAGTAACCCACGGTAAGAAAAAAAACATCATCCCCGGCACGGGCGCGCTGAAAGGCTGGGGCTGGGGCTGGGGCTGGAACTAGCCAGGGCGAAACGAGAGCAATCTCGATGGTGTTGTGTAAGGAGGGTACAACTAGCGCTGTGTCGACGACGGGTCGCACCGCCCGTTGAGTCGAGTCGCGATGGGTCTGAACGGAGGACAGGATGCGTCTGGAAGGTCGCACTGCCGGCAGTGGGAGAGGCTGTGTGTAGAGTAGAGTATAGAGCTAGCGTGTGGAGAGTAAAAGAGCAGGGCGTTATGCCGCATGGAGGCTAGCGGGACCCTTGTCCTTGATCACCGATTCAGAGAGGCATCGGGGGTCAGACAACAGACAGAGCCTTCTCTGGTGTCGCATTTACCGATAGGGTCCAATTCGGGCGATGGACAAGTGAACCGACGAGGCTCATCGTCGATGGGTCGCTTGATCTAGCCCCGGGTGCACCACACCATGTCTTCGTTCCCTCCCAGGCACCTCGATCTCCACGACCTTTCTTGGCATCGTGGAAATCGAGCACATCGCCATCCTTACGCACAGCTAGATCGATAATCATCATGGCTCCGGATTCAGAGAGCCCAAGAACCGCCTCTTCAGACCATCTGCTTCACCCACAGCCTCCATCCTCCACGCCCTCAGCCCGCTCCCTCTGTCCACCACCACCTGTGCCCGATAAACTCACCTCCCGAACCTCCGCTGCAGAATCCCCCCATAGTTTTCGACCGTCGTCCACGACCTTACCTGCCCTCTCGCACCTTGCCCATCCGTGTGGCGTTCGAACCCCAATCCCCACATACCAGCACCCACCTGCATTCCGATATCGACCACCCTCTTGCGCATATGTAGAACATCCTCTACCAATAACTCGACACATCACGCCAGCAACCATGAACGACCCTCCAGGCACCATACCGAAGCCTGTCATGAACCACCCGCGTCGTCCCCCCGCCCACAAGTCCGTCTCCCTCCGGCACAGCCCTCCAGCTTCTGCATCGGGCCTACGATCCAAGGAACGGAATACGAGCCGCAGCTCCCCAACCCTGGCCAGCGACAAGGCTAACCCGCCGTCGAGTGTGTCGCCGCAGCTTACCTCGCTCAAGAATAGCTCGGGAGAGAGCAGTGACGCCGGACAATGGTTCGAGAAGACGAACAACAGCGCCAAACAGAGCCAGTCTACTTTTGTTGACAGTGGGTTGTGTCTGAGTCCTCGAGTCGATGGAGTACTGCTAATCGTCATGCTGTAGATGAGCCGCCTTTTTTCCTCCGCAACTCCTCTTCGTCCGACACACCTCCCGACCACTCCCATTCCAATGCTACAAACTCAGCAATACCATACCGTCCCAACTTAGGCCATATAGGTACCGATGGCAGCAGTACAGAAGATTTCCGAAGCGTCATCGACGACCTGACCGTAGCAAACAAGCGCCTCAAACAGAGGCTCAAGAAGTATGAGAAGCTCTACGATGCTCATCTGCAAGACGAGAAGCTATTCGAAGTCAGGTTCCACGGTCTACCTGATCACAAGAAGAAAGAGTTGGAAGAGACACTGCGCAAATTTGCTTCTGAGCTCGACGACGGAACCACCAACGATTACGCGCGCGTGTCGGCGGCCTATACTCCAGCACTCGAGACTCACAACACCTCTTCGTCAACATCACGGTTTGCCGAGTCTGGCTATGCGTCCTTGTCAGCATCTGGTCAAAACTCGGCGGGAGCCTTAAATCAAGAAAAGGATCGTAAGATGACCCGGTCAGCATACAGCCGCCAGCAACAGAGCATTCAATCATATCTTCATGACATCCCAATGGGTTTGATGCCAAATACCAAAAGTGTTCCAATGACTGACAAGTCGAAAAAGAAAATGGTCGTTCGGCGCTTGGAGCAAATATTTGCTGGCAAGCGATCAGTGCCCGGATCGCACCCACAGCCAATGCAACAGCAAGAGGTTGCCCAGTCAGCAGCAACGGCAGATCGTGAGCAGCGGGAAGCGACTGGCCAACATTTCAGACCAGAAGGCCAGCGGGAAGCTCGCATCATGTCTGGCCGTGGCACAGCTCACGAAGATGAGGTAAATCAGAACGAGGCCATCCAAGGGCTGCGACCCGCTCTGCACATTGAGGAACATGACTTCGCTGGCTCAGGCTCTTCTCCTGATCAACGACCCACCCGTCCACTGGACTTGGACCCTTATCGTGCGCAGATACCAAACGAGAACATGAGTTACATCCGGCATCTTGGTTTCAGCCCACCCGATATGAATTCTGGAGAAGCCCCACTTGGCCATGGCTGGATATATCTCAACTTGCTTATCAACATGGCACAACTACATACCCTCAATGTTACTCCCGAGTTTGTCAAGGATGCCCTACAGGATTATAGCAGCCACCTCGAGATTTCTCGCGATGGACGCAAGATTCGATGGAAGGGCGGTCGCGAGGTCACGCAACACAGTGGCGAAAGTTCATCGGAGCATTACAGTAACGCCTCACCCAACGAGGCAGGATATTTATCGCCCTTCAAGCGTATGAAGACTGGAAATAGCGGCAGCGGCAGCGACCCCACTGGTTCTGACCAGGCAAGGCGATTGGCCCGTTATCAGCGCGAGAGAGAACAGAACAAGTTTGCCTACAAGCCACTATTCTTCCACAAGGAAGATTCTGATAACGAGGATGACTTCTACGGCTTCGATGCTAATTCCTCGGCAAACTATTCTCACCAGCCGCAACAGACGGGTAACTCTTCGGGATTCAGCAGCTCAGTTATGCAGAGCTCTTCTCCTAAGCCAAGAAGGCGTGAGAACGGACCCATGATTTTCTACAACAAAGCCAAGTTCTGTACTGACCTCAGTGGCGACAACAACGGGGCGTTTCTCACAATGCCCGGTAATTACCAAACTATTACCAACCAGCCCCTGGGCGCAAAGTCGAGCTCTGCATCGCTGAACAATGTTGCCACCGAACTTTCTGAGCCACGAGGCCCCTTGGATACCCTGATGATGGAGACTGAGTCAAACAACGGCTCACGCACCGTCTCAAGTGGAGACAATATAAGTTTTTCCCCAGAAGCCCTGAGGGATAACAGTGGCAACACCAGTCCGGAGCTCATGAATTTTGAGGCTTCTGGTATCGGTGGCGTACAGCCAGAGGACAACTTCTCCATCCATGTTCGTCGCTCGCAAATACCAATAGTACCTTCCCACGTCGCCGCTCGCCACCGAACAAGCTTCTATCCTAAGGCCATTCAAGATGCGCTCCGTTCCGAGCATGACCCAATGGAAACCGAGTCTCCACGGTCCAGTCCCCAGTGTGTTATTCATGAGAAGATTCTTTCCACTTCGCGCAAGGATTTACCCAACTCGACTCTACCGCCTGCATCCTTCCTCCCTCTCGACTCTTATTCCTCAGGCGATATCGATTCCGAATTTGCATCCGATGCTTCGTCCGAACCCGAATCCGATTCCGATTGCCCGGCTACAGCCATGCAAATTCTCAATATTGCGCCTGTCCGCTCGGATGAATCTCAAGCGTCAGAGTCTGATTACGAAGATAGCGACGATGGCATCGTTGACCTGCTGGCCACTGCTCGCCTGCAAAACCCCAATGCTGTTATTGCGAGCGAGCGTGAATACGATGCCGCACTTGCAGATCGCCTTGCTGATGAGATACCTGCTGGTAGCTCGGCAGCGACGGCAGGCGGTGGAAGTGGATTCAACAGTCCTGTCGGCGGTGCCCGTGAAGGCCAACAAGGAGAGAGCCAGGTTAGTCGACAAAGTGGATCGAGTAGTATGGCATCTGGTCCCATCAGATTGAAGCGTGCTAGGACCAGCGACTCGACGAATCCGCAACTGACGAAGAGCCCAAAGACCAGGAAGGCAGAGATCTAAAGTCGGTTTGGACGACTTTTCAGGGAAATTTGATTGCATCGCAGTTGGCTATTTCTCTTGTTGGAGTTGGAGAGGTTCCGGAGCCGGAGGATGTTTTCTCTTTTCTTGTGCATAGTTTTACGTCTTTGATACCCCCTTTTGTTGCCCGATGGCAGTTTGATACCTTCTTGGGCAACATGAATGAAATTTGCTTCAACACATGTACGCATGCCTCGTTGTGAACCTTGTAGGGCTACACATAGTCAATCAACAACCTAACTATGCTATCACACCGATCTTATCTTGTTGAATCTCAGCCGCAGTTAGGAATGTGTATTTGCCTAGTCTAACATTGCAGAAGTTGCCAGTGTGCTAAGGTAGCAACTTTTCGGTGCGGCATTTCATACCTTGCCTCTGTAATGGGCCATCCCCGAGAGACGTAGATTCAAAATCATTTTTGTCTTATACAACCATCATGTCCTTTTCTTATCCAAGAATGGCACGTAGAACTCTTGTATTAATCGTCGCACATCGATAGGAGCTCGGCGCGTCAAGTTTGCACTAGCGGTACGTCATAGTCGCCGATTCCCGCGTCGTACCCGCAAGTACCCGGTCCTTGGTCCGAGACGGCCCCTAAATAAATTTCAAAAAAAGGGAAAATGCTCAATGTAATAAGAGATTATGCCAACAAATCTCCGTTTCTAGTTATATTAGACATATTTTCATTGTGACAATCATGTTGTCTAGTCGCCTGTCCCAATTGCCTTCTGGCGTCAGGGAACTAGTGTCTGTAAGCTCAAGAACGGGTGTCTCACGAGTAGTACCATCATGTCGGGCTGGTGGTGCTGTAGTAAGGGGAAAGAGCTTGGAGCAGAAAAGGCGGATTACGATGGAGCAATTGAACCGAGACAAAGATAGTATGCATCAACCGCTCTTACATTACAACTACCCACTCCTGTCATCGAGACTAACAAGCAAATATCTAGACCGAGAACGTGTCGTCATTCTTGGATCAGGCTGGGCAGGCTTCACCGTTGCCCGCGCTCTTGACCCCTCAAAGTATCAAACTGTTGTCGTTTCTCCACGGTCATACTTTGCCTTTACCCCCCTGCTTGCCTCTACAGCAGTAGGCACACTGGAATTCAGAACTGCACTAGAACCCGTCCGGAGCCGAAGGACCAAAGTGGAATTTCTGCAGGGCTGGGCTGATGATGTGGATTTCAAGAACCGAACCATTACTATTGAAGAGGCGGTCGATGATCCAAAGCAAGGTGTGGCACTGACAACTGACCGTCACGCGGGAAAGACTGCAGAGCAGAGGGCTCTTGAGAAGAAGCAGGAAACCAAAGAGGGCAAAATGTTTGATGTGACTTACGACAAGTTGATTGTTACAGTGGGTTGCTACAGCCAGACGTTTGGCACGCCAGGCGTCAAGGAGCACGCCTTCTTCTTGAAAGACGTGGGCGACGCACGCAGGATCCGAAACCGGATTCTAGCCTGCTTCGAAGGCGCCGCTCTCCCCACCACTCCCGTAGACATGAAGCGTCAGTTACTAAACTTTGCTGTTGTAGGCGGCGGACCAACAGGCATTGAGTTCAGCGCCGAACTCCACGACCTGATCAACGAAGACTTGAAGAAGCTATACCCAGAACTCATCCAGTACCACAAGATCACCGTGTACGACGTGGCAGAAAAGGTTCTCCCTATGTTCGACAAGAAACTAGCCGACTACGCCATGCAAAAGTTCAAGCGCGAAGGCATCGACATCAAAACGAGTCATCACGTCGAGGAATTGCGTGCCGGAGCACCCGTGGAAACGAGTAACTCAGAAACAGTCCAAGACTCGCATCTCTACACACTTAGAATCAAAGAACAAGGCGAAATCGGCGTGGGCATGTGCGTATGGAGTAAGTGCTTCCCTCCACCCTCTTAAACCCCCCTTACTAACAACTTCCCCTTCTCCCAACAGGCACAGGCCTAATGCAAAACCCCTTCGTCCACACCGCCCTCTCTAGTGTTCGCTCCGCCCCTTCTAATCTCATAACCTCTTCTACTTCTTCTTCTTCTTCTTCTTCGTCGTCGTCATCGTCGTCGTCGTCCTCCATTCAATGGACCGTGAAAAAAGACCCAAAATCCGGTTCCATAGTAACAGACTCCCACCTCCGCGTTAAACTCGTTCCGGCTTCAGATTCCTCATCTTCATATGCAGAAAAGGACTCTGTACAAGCAGACAAAACAGAAGCAATAAACCCAGACGTCTTCGCCCTAGGCGACTGCGGCATAATCGACGCAACAACTTACCCCGCCACAGCGCAAGTCGCGAGTCAAAAAGCCGTGTGGCTCGCTAAGCAACTGAATAAATCGTCAACACTGGCAGAGTCAGCAAAGGGCTTCACGTATAGGGATTTGGGCACACTGGCGTATATTGGGAATTGGAATGCGTTGTTCCAGGGTGGAGGGAAGTGGGGAGGTAGATTGCAAGGGTATGTAGCGTGGATTATTTGGCGGGGAGCGTATATTACGCGGACGGTTAGTTTGCGGAATAAGGTGCTTGTGCCGGTGTATTGGGTGGTGAATTGGGTGTTTGGGCGGGATATAAGCCGGTTTTGAAATCCTGCCCAGGGGGGGGGGGGGAGGAGGGAAGATTAGTTCAAAGGAATCGGTTTAATTTAAGGCGAGAAGAAGATGAATGTTTTTCAGGGGAGAAGAAAGAAAAGGTAAAATTTAACACTCCGGGTATCCTTAAAATCCATCAAAACGCCAATAATCCAAAAGAACATCTGAATCTACTTTCCCCCCAAATACCCCACCACATCGCCCGCCCTTTCCAACCTCGCCCTCGTCTCCGGCAACCCCTTATTCAACGCCTGCAATCCTTCCACCGCCCTCTCCCAATTCCTCTGCACCTCCTCCTGCCTGACCCCGCTCTCCACACCCGCCACATCCCCCTCCCTAACCTCTTTAACCCTCTCCTCAAGCCCCACCCACTTCCCTGCCACCTCCTCCTCCTCCCTCTCAAAACTTTCTTCAAACGCCTTCGCTGCCACAGCGGGAGTCGTCCGCCTATGCTGACTAATCTTCGCAATAAGCGCATCGCGCCTCGCAACCGCATCCCCCAATTTCGTCCTCAGCTTTTCATCAAACGCTTCGAATTCTTCTCTTTCAACCTCGGTTTTCTCTTCTTCTCCCTCTCCCCCTACAATCCCTTGCATAGCGGAGTCGGAGTCGTCAACTGCGTTGACAACGTCAATCCCGTTTATACTAATGTTCTGTCGCATGCCGCGTAGCACCTGGGCGACAAACGCGTCAACGAGGTCTTCGACGCTGCGGCGCAGGTCGTCGGGTTCGGCGGTCGAGGATGTGACGGGCGGAAGGTGCAGGTCGAGTTTTTGGCGGGCGGTGGTGCGGATTTGCGAGGTGAGGTAGGAGAGGTCCGAGGGGGATTGGAGTTCGATTTTGCGGTGCGAGGAGTCCATGGTTGATCTCGATTGTGTGTGATGAGTTGGAGAAAAGAGAAAGATTTTGTGTGTCTTGAAAAGAAGGCGGCTCTGTTTCTTTGGGAAAGGTGTGGTTGTTGCTGGAGGAAAATGGTGCTGACTTGTTGTTTTCGTGATTTTGTTTGTTTGGCGGTCGGCGGAATGTGGATCGCGCTGCGCGACGTTTTGCGGCAGCCACGCTCTAATCGATAAGGGGGACCGGGGGTTGCCGAGGTGTGGGGTCAATGCACCCTGGATCCCCATGTGCTGTACGGAGTGAGACAGCATAGCGGACGCACCTGGACAGTTGAAGTACATATGAATATTTGATTTATAAATTTTTATTTATATTCTTTAAGTTAAAAAATGTCTCATTGACAACGAGTGAAGCATCCTGTAACACCGTGACCCAATCCCTCATGTAGTATGCACCCCCCCAGCGCCTACAACAGTGCCAAACGCCATTCCAGTCCCATGTCAACGTAATCCCAATAACGCATTGTCAAACAAAATAATGCCAGAACATATATGTACCAAGTCCACCCGATTATCGTCATCACTATTCAACTCCAGACCTCAGTATGTGTCGTTGTCACAGCCTTGCGAGTTACCGTGCAGCTGAGAGCTGAGAGCATGCTTATGACGGAAACATGTTCTTGACCTCCTCGTCCGTGAGTATAATGTCCTGGACAGGATCCTGGCGACACTCGAGGTCATCAAAGTGGTAATCGGCGTAGGACGGAAGGAAGATTTCTGGATACGCAGACAGAGGCAGTTAGCAATACATCCACAGCTGATTGCTTCGACGCAGCCATTTCTGCAGTACTGAGAGAGCGACTTACCCTGATTCCAATCAAATCCCTGGCTAGCCTTCACACAGGTAATCTGCGGGGTGTTAGCTGTCGTCCTGCTTGAAACACGACACGATTGTAGTCGCAGAATGCGGGCCCATACCAGACGAGGACATTCCTCCTCACCAACATTAATCACCGTATGCTCTGCCTTGGAGAATGTCGCACTCATCAGACTCTCTCTTCGCCTCATGCTGCTCGCCGACTGCGGGCTGTTGGACGGCGACGACGAAGCGGAGCTGCCGTAGGAGCCATAGGAGAAGCGGTTCTCAGTCGGGGTAAACTGGTAGTTGCGAGAATGAGAAGCGTAGCTGGGCGTGCTGGGCGTGGAAGCACTCGAGGACGAGGATGAGTCGATCGAGTGCCGGGACGCAGCAGGGTGCTTGCCCTTGCGCCGGGGGATAGCAATAGCATTGGATGACGAAGACATGTTTGGGGGATGGCAGCAGTAAGACGAGATAGAGTATAGCCGCAACACCCGATCAAAAGGGACAGTAGCAATTGTTAGCAAAAAGACGCCCGAAGTATCCGCACAATCATGGAAAGAGAGAGAGAGGTTCAGAGTGAGAGCGAGAGAGAGGGAAGAAGGAAAGCACAGGCAAGGTGGAGTGTGGAGCGACTTGGAAGTCGACGCAGCCTTGTGTCGGACTCGGCCAACCATACGGCGATGAGACGTGGCGGGCGGCCAATCAGACGGCACCACCTTGCTTCCGCCTGACGATCGGTCCGGGGCAGCAGCAGCAGCGGCGGCGGCGCAGCAGGCGTGTACGTGTGACAGGCACCCGTGCTTGGTGCATGAGGAGCGCATGAGGAGCGCACTCATCAGGGTAGCGCCATGCAACTGCAACTGCAACTTCACCTTGGACCTCTGGCTCCAATCCTTATCTCTTATCAACAACATCCACCCTCATGTCTGCCCTAGACACCACCCTGCCACGGTCGGCCATGTGGCCCGCTAGGTGACGTAGCGTGTATGTAAGGTCCGTGGACACCCCATGTGCATGGCCCGTTATCGGCCCACCACCAGACGCTCCGACATTGTATCGACCGACGGCTTGACGACGCCAATGTCTACCTAATAGTTAGTTGGCTCTGAGTCACCCCGTGCATGCATGTGTCAACGACAGTCATCTCGACTAACAAACAAGAGCCTTGCAGCTCAATTGCATTAAACAACAGCGCATTGGAAACTACGCTGGCCTGACACCATGGTATTTCATATCGTACATCTGGATATCGCTCGCGCAATTAAAAAACAAATGAAATAAAAACAAGAAAGAATCCATCGAAGTCGGTCCTGCCGAAACCCAAACCATGGACTCAAGTTCCACGAACACTACTAACATGAAAAAAATATTCCTTTCGGGTACCCGGACTCCCTTCGAAGCCATCCCACGAAGCGTGTGCAACATGCGTATTAGTAGCGAGAGACTATGAAGGTGTAGGTAGGAATCTGAAAAAAAAAGAAACACGCACGCAAGGCTGCTTGCAAATGCCGCCCGTTCAAAAACATGACAAAACAAAACAAGACTACAGCGACCCTCCACAACAATGTGGCTGATCAAAACCGCCCAAGTTGATGATACGGCACGACGCGTCGGCATCACAGAGGGTATCCTCCAAAAAGCGCACAATCGACTCCTGGACTCCGGCGCCGAGATGCTGATCAATGGTTTCGTAGACATGGGAAATGTACTCCGACGAGGGCGAAAAGGAGAGCATAAGGATGGGGTGGTTTGGGGGGGGGCGTCAAACAGCGGGGAATACGTAGTGGCAATCGGGGGTATCGTACATGGTTCGTGACATGTGTCGCCCGGGGAGAAGACGAGTCTACCATCCCTTCTTTCGGGCGAAACGCTTGTTGAGGAGGACCAGGACCTTGCTCACGTTGAACTGGACGTATTCCAAGTCCAAGTCCTCCTGATTATCTTTCTGCATCTCCAACAGATCGTCCAGCTTGAGATCCAGCTCCAGCAGACCGCGGTTGCGGCCCTTGTAGTGGAGTGAGATGACAAACGTACCGGGCAGCGGGCTCGTGAAGTTGAAGTAGATGTTGGCTCTCCTATTCTCTGGAACATTGCTCTTCTGAATCACGCCCTCTCGTTCAAGCTGCTGGTGAGTGAACTTGTACGGGCCCAGGACTTGATGCTTTTGCTGCTTCCTCGTCTTGCCCTCAGACTGACTGCGTACGTTGTGGAGATATGACTTGTACGTGTCAAGCTGGCTGACCAGGAAGCCATTGTGGTCGCGGATGGTGCGGAAAACCTCTTCGAGCTTCCTCGTCTCCTCGATCACCTTGTCCTTCATTGAACCCAGGTGGACAAGCTCTTGTTCGACTTCGTCTCGGAGCAGAGAAAATCCGTCTTCCTTGTCAATCACACCAGATTCTTGCAACTGGCTCAATAGCTCCATGCTGCGGATGCCTTTCTTGACCATGATTGAATCGTTCTTTGTCGTGGCGGCCGCCTCGGCGATCTTGTCCAGTCTCAATGGTCGTCGCGTGATTGATGTGTTTGCAGGCAGCGAACGGAGAATCATGACAAATGTGGATTTGGCCTCCATGAAGAAAATCTCCTCTTGCGTAATGTCGAGTGCAGCTGTGAGGTCATCAAGAGGCGTCTCCCACTTGCTGAACAATGGAAGATTGATGGCTCGGTTCTCCTTTCGCGGAAGCTGAGCAGGCGCCGGCCCCAGCTCTTGAAGAATCACACCCAAATGCGAGCTGTCCTCTTTTGCCTGCGAATGATTAGCATGTGAACATGTGGCTGCCACAATCGTCTCAAACTTACGAGTTCTGCTGCATGTCGCTCCAAGAGTGAATGTGTTGCATATACTTCATTGAGCGTAATAGAAAGTTCAAGATCCTTCTTGGACAATGCAACATAGTTGTCCATTTCCAGAGTGTCGTAAAAGTCTTGGACTTCGCACAGATCAAGCAAGAACTTGTTGATGCGCTCCTTGTTTTGGTGGATAAAAGGCTGCAATTTTACCATGTACGGCTCCTTTGCGTACGATGGCTTGTTTGCAAGATTCTGCAGCATCTTTGCAATGTACGTAAGCGTCCGCTTGGGGTTCTCCGCTGGCAGAACATCAATGAGCATGTATGATCTAGGAGTAACAATAGCAGGGTTAATAAAACGCAGGAAAAAGAAGCCACCAATGAGCGTGCAGATCGTCTGATCCTGGGCATCAGGATACTTTCGTCTCGACAAACTTCGAATCTGTTTGCAAATCCACCGGATGCCGTACGGCGTCTCTTCGAGACCTTTGATAATGGTTGTGAGGAAATTATTGGCAATCTCCATAAGCATGTTTACTCGAGGTTGGATGATGTTCTGCACCGTCTCGTTCTCGGCAGCTTCCTCTGCTGTGACGCCCTTTGGCATGTCTGGGGACAGAGTTCCTTGGAGTTCGTGTTCGGTGACCATTTTCTCGTAGACCTTGAGGGGGTTAATTTCCAGGTCCAGATCCTTGAGCTCAATAAGCGAGTTGATGCTGTCCTGCAGGACTACCTTGAGGTAGCTCTGACCAGGTCCTCTCCGGGTGTACGTGGTCATCATGCGCGAGACGGGGGTGTTTGCGCGCAGAAGCGAGCTATAGTCCGGGGTATTGTCAAATTGGTATGTAAGGACAGACTATAGCATGGTTAGTTATGATCTGCCAGAGTCATGTTGCGCAACGTACCTGAAACATGGTCAAGAGCAAATGCTCTTCTCGGCTCTCGTACTGATTTCCGTAAATTGTGAACATGACTGTCTGCAGTAGCGCATCAATCTCGGCCATGGAGACGAGGCGACACAAGTGCGCAATGTGCCGTGGTTCGGACTGGAGCAAAAACAGCAGGTTGCCATATTTTTGTGTCTTTTCGTCATTTGGGAAAAACCCTTCTTGGAGTTCAAGGCCGTCTGCGAGATGGTCTGCGACTTCGTTTTGCTGCGCGTATAGTCAGTACCAAGCATATGTACAGGGAAAATCATGGAGACGCACCTCCTCCAACGCCATGCGGTTCTGGATAAGGAGTGCTATCCGCGAGTCAAGATATCGCACATCCTTTTCCAGAACAAAGTTCTTCTTGGACTGAGACGAAATCTTTGCCTTTAATTCGCGCAATACTTTCTGTGCTGCTACGAGTTAGCCGGCGAACTAAGACGGAAAGATGGAAAGACTTGAACATGGCAGACATACCTCGAGCCAGGTCATCCTCAATTTCCAGCTCCTTGTCTTTTGCTGACATGGACAGGTACAGCGCCGTGACCGAGTAGCGCTTGGATTGGCGCACCGAGCGCGAGCCATCGTGCGACGACATTGTGTTCTGGCGCGAGACAGGTATGAAGGACGATGACGACGACGTTGATGCCCGCGAGGGGGCATGTAGCATGGAGACAGCCATGCTGAGCGTCGCCTGGGAGAGGAGGGTTTGGGGTGCGGTCAGGGCCAGAAAGGGAGGGTGTGTGTGTTGCGGCGCTAGCGAAATAGCAAAAGCGTGGGAGTAAAGGGGAGGTTTTGTTTGTGCGCCACGCTGGTCTAAGGCCGTGGGCCGGCGTCTGCGGTGGAATTGCAGCGGGAGGGCCCGTCCAGCGAGTCGGCAGCAGCAGGGCTCGGCGATTAATTAGGAGGCAGTGGTGTGGCAGCAAAGGGCGACGAAGGTACAATTGTCGGAGGAGGGAGGGAGGACGGCGAGGAACAGGCTGCGAGGACTAGTTTACGTGAGATGGGCGTTGGAAAGCGGCGGTGGACGGCTGGCGAATGGAAGGGCGAGGGAGCCCGAGACGCGAAATGGTGCGGGGGAGCTCAGACGGTGAGTGGTGGACAGAGGTGCAGCTGCGACATTCCAGAAGAGCGACGGCGCGGTGCTGGGCCTGGGCGTAGTATGCTCTAGAGCGAGGGGGTAAAGGCGGCCGACGACGGGTGGACAGGGACGTGTGGCGTGTGCGAGTGCGTGAGTGTGTATGTGTGGGTGTGTGAGAAAGAGGGAGAGTGGAGGGAATAGCAAGAGAGAGAGTGAGAGTGAGAGCGCGCGCGCACACCACACACACAAGAGAATAGCGAGAGTGGAGTGGAGTGCAGAGTGGAGTGCAGAGTGGGGAGTCGAGGGGGAGGGGTGTGTGAGTGTGTGAGCGTGTGTGTGTGTGAGTGTGTGTGTGTGGGTGGAGTGGGTGTACAAGATGGTCGGCTTTTGCAGGTCAAGGATAGCGGGCAGGAGCGATGGATGGGCGGGAAGGAGCAGATGTTTCAGTCGCTCGAGTCGGCATGGGCTGGGTGATGACAAGTGGGCCAGGGCGAGGGCGTGTGGGGAGCATGCACGAGGCCGCAGCTGCTGCACGCGCAAGTGGGACGGCCGGCCAAAGGGGTGGCGCTTGTGGATATAGAGAAAGGATGCAGCGATCGAGAAGAGAGCGAGGTCTCTTTGTGCGCAGGTGCAGCAACTGTTGAGGCCAAAGTCTGGGAGCTAGGGAGAGCTTCACAAGGGGCCATGGCGGCAGGGCATCCATCATCTGCACGCCCCCCTTGTGCACATAACAGGGCTATTCTGAAACTCTGGTCACCTGTGCTCAATTTCCCCTAAACCCCGGCCCTCTGCGCCCAAAGCGGCCAAGG